CATATATCTACTCGTCATCATCATCATCTTCACTTGAATACACAATTGTTGATTTTTTTGTTTAAAAATACTTTTTATTTCATTTCATAGTCTTTGAGTTGCCTTCAGAGGCTGCCCGGGGTGGCCTCTGAAATCGTTTTCAGCTGGTCGTCACGGCTAAATGAACACAAAGAAATGAATCTGAGTCTGGGGTCACGAATAGCCAAGACGGAAGAATGCCACAAGTTAAGAGAGAATCACTTACAATAGGTAAAAGAGAAATATAATAGAGTAACTACTGAATTAGCAGTTTTACAGTCCATTGTTTGGAATCACATCTGTTCCGTACAAAAGCTTCATTCTTTTAATCCAAAATTATCTTCATTTCCGCCATTGAAAACTCCTCCTCTTCTCGCGATTTTTTTTTCCTTTTTTTCATGTCATTTCATGTCTTTTTTCTGAATTTATTTTCAAATTGTGATGTTCCAACCCTGAAATCAGGAATAGGAAAAGAGGAAAACGTTCGAAAAATCTTCTTCGAATGCTCATCACATCAGAAGAACTACGACATCGTTGACGTTAATGTTGCCATTGTGTGGTTCGGTGTCAATGAGTCAATCAATCAGTCAGACGAAGAAGGATGATGATGTGATGGTACATTTTTCCTTACCAATCTTCCTGCTACCCGTTTTTTCCGACTTCATCTTAAGCCGCCAATAACGGAGCAATGATAAACGTCAGACAGATCAAAGCCATCCTCTCACATTTACAGCCGTTAAAATAATAAATTAAATAAACTTACATTCAAATGCAACCGATCTGTTCGACTGGAATTAACCAAAATGAAATATATCGTTGATCATTACGTGACGTCACACGTATATTCTAATGCGCAAAAGAAGAAAAAGGAAAGAGAGGGGAGGTTGTAATCATTTCCGTCTTACAAGCAAATGCTATTGAAAATGGAATAAAAAAAAGAAAAAAAAGGAAAGAATTGAACAATCACTCTCGCATCTACACTTTCCCCTTTACACATGTAAATATATATAGAGAGAGAGAATCGAATGGAAAGAATAAAATACAAAAAAAAATACGCAAAAAACCGATTATTGTATTTGAAATTCGAAAATAAAAGAAGTCAGGGGGTAGCAGGAGGATGAACGGTAGGGATTATCACTAATAATTTCATTAAAAAACCAATTATAATAGGTTTTATCTATTTTTTTTATGAGGATAGTCTGAAGCATTAATAGAATGGATGGAGATAGAGTGAGATAGAGGATATTCATATCTGATAACTTCCTACTACCATAGTTTCAAAAAGGTATAAAAGAAAGGTAATAAGATTAAATTGTGAAAGAAAAATTCCTTTGCAGCTGGTTGGTGGGTGACATTTGCAGCTTTGTATGAAATCCAAATATAGAAATGTATGAGCAGATGATGAGATATGGTGGATATGGTGGTATGCTATACCTTTCATTAGAACATGCACAAGATGCAGCCCAACCGATCTGCATAGTTTCAAAATCAAAAATGATCTACGTTGTTGACGTAGCCATGTACCGAGGGAAGTATGTTAATTTTAAAATTTCACAAAAGCAGATTAAACGGAAAAAAATTTGTTAAAGCAGATGTTGTCTGGTCACCTGGCCATTTGGACAGTCAAACTATGATTTCTTACCTTTTTTTTCATCGTCTGATTTGGTTTCTGAGAAGAAATTTTAATTTCATGAAGCAACATGTGTGTGACAATTTTGGGCGAAAAAAAAGTTTTCGATCAGAGGGGACCAGGTGACCAGGTGCGTTTCCAACTGACATTAACTGAATTTTTAACCTTTTTTTCGCAAACTAATACATAATTTAATGGAACTGCAGTTTCTTATTCTCGTATATGAAATGGAAATTTGGTTTTACGGCTGTTGAGATATACATGGAAAGGAAATGAATGTAAAGCTTTCATGTACGAAAGTCTATACCTAATTCAGTCAATAAACTCATACTGTTGACCTTGAACAAGCTATGAAACATGAAAACCTAAATATGATGAAAGCTTGAACGTTGATTCATACTTCATGGAAAGGTATTGCTTGCTCAGTGTCGCATATTTATCATAGCCTGAGGGAGTATATGGCCACCCAGGCAACAGGAAGTTGCAACTCATACAAGCGTCCTTGCGTTGAACTAATAACATATCAATCCATTAAAGAAATTTCGGAACAAGAATTCCATTCAAGACTCATTTCCGACTAAAAATATTCAAAATTGGCCAATTATAAGAGAAAAAAAGAGAAAAGAAAGAAAATGTTGCGCTTCATGGTGCAGGTGGCTGGAAGAAATATGTGGACCGACAGCCCCACGAATGACTTCGTGACCATCTTCTCTCTTATTTTCTTTACATATTTTCATCAATCTCTGTCTAATATCTCTCTTTTCTATTGAAAAATCTCTTTTTTTTTTGCAACAACTAGCCTCCAAGCCAGCCGGGCGGCGGTCGTTTGAACGCTCGAAATTGTCTATAAAATGGCTGCGATCGGCACTAAATGGCCCCAAAACAACTGCACTTTGACCAGAATCGCAACATTTTTCAATCACAGCCACAGCCACCGGGATGTGAAGTGAAAAGAGTATTTAAACAAGTGAGAGAGGGAGAAGACGGTTAGGAAGGTTAAGAATGAAGAGATAGAAAGGACACAGTCAAATGAAGTGCCAGGGGCTATATGATGCTGAAGACGAAGACGAAGAGTAAAATGAAAAACTTTTTGAGAATTAATGAGATATAAAGACAAATGAAGTGATTGGGTAAATGACAATCGAAGTTACAAGTCAATTGAATCGACTGGCTTCAACAACTGACAGTTTTTAATGATTGGAAATAAAAGGAGGGAAAAAGAGAATAAACACGAAGGAAAGGAGAGAGGGAGAGGTTAGAGAGAGGGGCCAAGAGGGACAGAGAGGCACAAAGGGTGAAAACGATAGGAGGGAAAATATCAAAATCTCACATATATAGCTTATGTATGTGGTAAAAAAAAATTTTTTTTATTGATGAACAACTATTAATGAAACTGGTCACACACACAGTTGAAGAGAGAAATATGGAAATAATCCCTTTTAAGTTGACGAATACTCTCTCTATCTCTCTTTCGCTTTCCCTCTCTACCTCTCTCTTTCTGTTTTCCATACAAGGGATATAAAAGTAAGGAAAATGTGAAAAATTTGAACAGTTTTTCAATGCAAAAGTCACAAAAACAAAGAATAATAATGATCAAAGGAAGTGTCTTTGTACATCATCGTTAGTCTTCCTCCATATGTAGCTTTTACTGAAATACAGTAAACTATTCTATTGGTTGATCTTTCTTCTCGTTTTAAACAATGCTCTTGAGCACTGTAGAGAGCATAAAGATAGTTGGATGAAGAGTGAGAGTGAGTAAGGATGAAGATGGCACAAGAAACAGATAGAAAGAGAGAGAGAGGAGAAGGGTGTCGTACCAGGCTATTGCTTCTGCCAGATGTGTTTCTTTCAAGCTTTTCTTACAATTTTCTTTAAATCCCATAGATATCACAAAGAGCTTTTGCGAGAAAAAGTCGTCAAACTGTCGAAATTAGTTTGAAAACCTCAGATGAGGGGCTGAAAGTCACATAGCAGCAGACAGGTGAAAAAGATATTTTAACATTTAAAATTCAACAAAGTAATTGGAAATTCTTGTCAATTATATTGAGATGGAATGGAGACAAGAATCTGATGGCTATATAGACAAGAATAGTTGTGAACAGCGTTCGAATGAATGATCTCGAATGATAAATTGCTCATTTCGATAGAGAGAAAGAGAGAGGGAGAGAGAGAGAAAGATAGAGAGAGAGAGATCTTTCATGCTCGAAGAAAATAACCAAATCTGGACTTTGAAGCCAATATGAGTTTTTGAAAAATGCTCTTTATAGGGAAAAATTGTTTCCGTTAATGGTAAAAATGATAAAAAAAAGGAAAGGAAGGCCAAAAGGAATGAATCTCAGTTGAATTTGGGTGATTTTGAAAGAAAAGTGAAATATGCAATGAGAAAATTATAAATTCACAATATCATATCTGCCACATCCCATTCATAGCACACAAATCATTTGCATCACAACACTTTAAATGACCTCAAACATTCCTCAAATACAACAAGAACCTTCCATATAAATCCTTAAAACTTCTATCATGTTTGTTTATGGGCAAATAATGGAAACTAATGCTAATTAGAAAAATTAATTTTAGAAGGGGGAAACGTCGTTGAATGACCAAGTGGATGTCTTAAGATTCCGTCCATTTCTACCTCCTCTCTTCTCCATTGAAGACCCATTGATGAAGCTATTTCCACAAACCATCTTATTCCTGACAAATCCACATCATTATAGCTTTAAGGGTGAAGATTAAAGAACCTTCAACGCAATTCTATCACATACAGAATTTGAAAAACATCCGTCATCATAGGAATGGAAGACGAATTAACGTTTCTAGTGAAATCAGTTCAAAAATGAGAACAAAGGTTGGACACGCGACTGCTTAGCATAAGACGATGAAGTGACCGCAACAGTAAACGGACAATATCATTCTGAAATTTGTCCAATGCTAAGCGGTTGACTTATCAATATAATCTGATCCAGGATTAGCTTTATTTTTTTTCAGATTAGCTTCCGTTATTATTCGCAAAGACTTCCTATGTACTTAATTGCGAGTATTTAGAAAGGTAGGAAACAGTAATTCACTTTTTTCAATTCCCGTTATTATATTCCAATCAACAGTGAAGATGATACAAATAAAACTGATAATAAAACAGTTTGAAGTTTTATTAGTTAGAATCCCATTCAGCCGCCGGTTACCCACAGTCTCTTTACTGTTCTAAGTCTAAGAAAGTCGTTTGCGCAAGCAGTGCACATAGCGCATATTCGGTGCTGGCGCAGTTTGTGTTTCTTCATTTTTAAAAATACGTTTATTTAGAAATCTTCTTCAATTGAACTTGTTGATTCATTTCTAATTGTTTTAAGCTATGGCTGGAGTAATTTTCGACGATATGTTCCTGGTGAAGACAGTAGATCCTGATGGAAAGAAGTTTGATCGAGTTTCCAGGCTCATCTGTGATTCTGAATCGTTCAGGTTAGCAATTTTCAAAATTCGTCCAATCCATTTTTCAAAAATTTGAAGTATGGAGCTTATACTGGATGTTAATACCCAGCTCTATCCCATGCAGTTGAACGACAAATTCCGTTTGATGATAGCAACTTCATTACGAGATGATGGTCTTCCTGATGAAGGCGAATATGATGCTCAGGTTTGCACTTATCATCAGTTTTTAATGAAAAGCTGTTTTTAGGCTCAATACCCTAGAATGAATCAATTCGAATATGTTATGTACGGGAAAGTGTACCGTATTGAAGGAGAACAAAATGAAAATGAACCGAGATTGGCAGCTTATGCTTCTTTCGGGGGTCTATTGATGCGACTCAAAGGAGAGGTACCTTGAACAATCAGTCCATAACATTAAATGTCATTTTAGGCTTTCAATTTACACGGCTTCGAACTAGATTCCAATATTTACCTTTTAGTGAAGAAAGTTGCTTTCTAAATGATCTGTCTTCCTTGTTTGTTTGTCGTTGTTGTTGTTATCTTCCAAACTTGTTGCATCACTGTTGTGCAATAAACTGTATAAATGATTTTCCTCACATGACGTGTAGGGGTTTTCTCCTTATATATTTGCCCGATTTCCATATTCTCTATCATTTTTTTCCTAGATGTCAGAAGGAATTTCTACTGATAAGATTCTTCAAGCAGCGAACGAAAGTGTTGTTGCTGACGTGAGTTGTAGTTGCTACAATGTTTTTAAACTTTGAATTTAGTCGGTAGGTGCTGAGGCTCTTGAAAGACTTCTGGGTGCTATGGAGTGTGGAAAAGTTACTGACGAATTGCTAGAAAGTTGCCCCGAGCTTGCTGCTGCCCAGAAAAACTTCGACAAATTGCAGTATAGAAAGAAGATCTTGCAGAGTGTACGTTTTCGAGCCCCACGTGTTCCGGTCTAATCATATCATTTAGGCACTCAAGAAGCAACTCGATGACAACAAGAAGAACAATGTTGGAGGCAAACCGAAGGCAGAAAAACCAAAAGCTGAAAAGCAGAAATCAGATAAACCAAAAGCCGAAGAACCAAAAGCGAAAAAGGGAAAGACGTATGATTAGTTTCCTCATTCGAGTATTTCACCTCACTCTGAGTTCAGCGGTGGAGCAGCTCCAAAGCAACAAACGAAGATGGATTATGTGAATGTTGAGGATTTCGGTAGCAGTATCTTGGGGTTATTGACTAGCTTGTTCAAGCAAGGATTAACCAAGGTGATAATCATTTATTTGAATCCTTTTTCTCATTTTTCCAATTCAGGCTTTCCCCGACATCCAAGTTCCTTTGACATTAACAGAGGCAACCAATCCCACTTTTGGAGATTATCAATGCAACTCTGCTATGGCTCTCTCAGCAGTATGTACTTTACTGGAATAACCAATTCATTGTTCATTCAGAAATTGAAAGCAACTGGAGTTGTTAAAAAGCCGTTTGAGGTAGCTAATGAGATCAAGGCTGCTCTCCCCACTAGCTCCCTATATGAAAAGGTTATCAGACATGTATGCGACACACTAAAACTATCGTTTTTAGGTTGAAGTTGTTCCTGCTGGCTTCATCAATATATTTTTGAATCAAAGTTACATTCTTGCTCAAATTAGAGGAATTGCTGTAGATGGCGTGAAACTACCTAAAGTCACTCGCAAGAAAGTTATTGTTGACTTCTCGTCTCCAAATATCGCCAAGGAAATGCACGTCGGTCATTTACGATCCACCATCATTGGTGATTCTATTTGCCGTTTGCTTGAGAAGATGGGATTCGAGGTTTTTTTTCAAACTTTCTCGTGTTTGTGATTTTGATATATTCAAGGTTGATAGAGTTAATCACATCGGAGATTGGGGAACTCAATTTGGTATGTTGATTGCTCACTTATATGACAAGTTTCCTGATTTCCTTTCCAACATGCCCGCAATCAGTGATCTTCAAGCCTTTTATAAGGTTTGTGACTAGTTTTTGAACCTGACCATATCGTTCGTTCCAGGAGTCTAAGAAGCGATTTGACGAAGATGCTGAGTTCAAGAAGAGAGCTTATGACTCTGTTGTAAGATTGCAGAGTAAAGAGCCCGAAATTGTCAAGGCTTGGACTCTCATTTGCAACATTTCCAAGAAATGTAAGAATTATCTTTCATTTTAATTATAATTGTTTCATCTCAGACAACCAGAATGTCTACGATAGATTGGATGTTGTTCTTAGAGATGTCGGAGAGTCATTCTATCAAGATAAGATGATTTCCATGGTTGAGGATTTGAAGAAAAATCGTTAGCTTTGCTCATTACTATATCCGTTCAATTAACTATGTTCAGACCCAGGAGCTCTTAAAGAGGAAGAAGGACGTCTTGTCATGTTCCCTACTAATTGTGAAGTACCCCTGACCGTTGTTAAAAGTGACGGTGGCTACACTTATGACACTTCTGATCTAGCCGCACTGAATTATCGTATAAATGAATGCAAAGCCGATTGGGCTATTTATGTTGTTGATGCTGGTCAAAATCTTCATTTGGAGGTAAATGGTTTCTTTTAAGCGAAGTTTGAAGAATTATTCACAGACCGTTTATGCTGCTGCTCGTGACTTAGGATGGTATGACGAGAAGGTGAAGCGTGTAGAGCATGTTATGTTCGGCCTTGTTTTGGGAGAAGACAAGTTCGAGAAAATTGTTTTCGTCATTTGATATCTTCTGTTCAGGAAAAAGTTCAAAACTCGATCCGGAGAAACTGTTCGCTTGTTAGATTTACTTGACGAGGGTGTTAAGCGTGCCGCCGAAAAACTAATTGAGAAGAAGAGAGATCAAGTTCGGTTTAACAGCGTTCATGGAAGAATAGTTTATTCCAGGAGATGACCAAGGAAGAGCTTGATGTTGCCAGAGATGCCGTAGCATATGGTTGTATCAAGTATGCCGATCTCTCCCATACTCGCTCCCAAGACTATGTCTTCTCTTTCGATCGCATGCTTGACGACAGAGGAAACACTGCGGTATACCTACTTTACGCTTATGCTCGTATCAGGTAAGGTTGAAAATACATATTCATTTATTAATGTTTTCTAGATCCATCGTACGTAACACTGGAATCTCTCCTGAAGAGTTGAAAGACTACGTTAACAAGACTGAAACACTTCCTCTATCCCACCCCAGAGAGATCAAGTTAGCTAAGCAAATTTTGAAGTTATCCGATGTGATTCTTCAAGTTCTGGACAATTTCATGTTACATCAAGTTCGTTGTCATGTAAATAATGCTTTTCCTACTGAACTGTTTAGATCTGTGATTATATTTACAACCTAGCCACTTCGTTCCACGATTTCTACAACGAATGCTATGTTATTGAGAAACTTGACGGTTTGTCAGAATTTATTTACAAAATGGCTTATTCTTGATCTTTAGGGAATACAACCATACATTATCATCGCTTGACTCTCTGTGAGGTCACAGCGAACGCTATGCTCACCTGTTTCGAAATTTTGGGTATCCGGGAAGTTCCAAAGATGTAAGCAAATTTTGTTGTTAAAGCGTTACAACTTGGTAATAAAGGATTTTTCTTTTTAATCCGTAGGCTCAAACAACTAAAAGATCTGCTAGATCTAGATCTTTCAATTCAATACTCACACCCATTTCATCTCAAATAAGCAGAGTACTGTTAACTTATGGGGTAAACCTTAGTAGATTCTACTTGCAGATAATACTACAAGTAGTTTAAGGTTAATCATTGCGATTCCGAAAGACAAAGGGTAATCGGATTCATGAAGACAAAAAACCAAAATCAAAAACCAATTAAGAACTTCTTGATCTTTTCGATATTCACACATCATATCTCGAACTAAGACGAAAAAGAATTTTTCTAGCTATACGATGTGAATGGTGAGAGATATTAATACTGATTTAGAAAATGTGAACTCGAGTACATGAGTACATTTCCAAAAACTCTGTGAAGGTTCCAATGATTGATCAACTTTTCATCTTATTCACGACAGCAACAGTTATGGAGCCGTTCCATGCGAACCATTCGAAAGTTCGGGTGCTGACCACCGAATACAACTACTGATCGCGCAAAAAGAAAATCAAGCAGTCTTCTCTAGCACGACCGCTCATCTTTTCTCAGAATCAGAATGAATTGTGGATCCATACCTATACAACCGATCACTGAATGCAAAATGAAAAATGAAACTGCTGGAAGCTTTCACGAACGACCGATCACGCATGAGCTGAAAATGAAACTCAAGTGTGCTATATTTCAAGAACGATCATCCCGCGCGCCTTGGACACAATGGTTTGAATTTTTAAAATTCTCACACCAAGGGGAACAACTTTGGGAAATGGAATTCGGCGGCCCGGATATAAGCTTCTATAATTTATTCTATAATTGTGAGAAGTACTTTGCGTTTCATTAAAAAAGGACAACTTATAACGTCAGTTGTACAAGATGTGTGGCCAATCTGTTAATGATCAGCTATTTCAGGATACCCGTACATTTGTCAGTAATAGCCCTTGTTATGTAGAATGGAAGCCATGTGTTGCTACAGATGAACCTAAAAACTGACGAATACAACGAGCGAATCATCAGCGTATAGTACTTAAAACTGGCAAAACCGTGTTGGCGCTGATCTCTAAACTTCCAGCTGTCTTGTTTCGCCCAATAGAACTTTCTTAGAATCGATGCATAACGATATATCCAATAATCATTGTATATTAGAAATTTGCTTCATAAACCAGGAAAATACTTGCAAATGTGATTCTTTGTTTGATGGTATTCCCTAAGATCTGCATCTTGCGAGTGTAAACAAGCGAACTGCGATATCAGATGGAATATAAGAAGTACGGGATAGTTTAACGTTGCACCAGGTCTGTACTTACTATTTGGATGTTTTTTTAAGCAGCTGTTTAGATCTTTTCTTCATTAATTGGCAACTTTCATTCCACGATTTCGAAAAGTGAATGTTATATCATTGAGAAGATTGATGATGAGCTGAGCGTTATAAACAGTGAAGTCTGTGTAATTTTCAGCAAAGCAACACATTAATTATCATCGCTTGACCCTGTGTGATGTCGTTGCCAGTGTTATGTAATCTTGTTTTAAAATTGTGGGGTCCGTGAAGTTCTAAAGGTGTAAGAACGACTAGATATTCGCAAGTTGTTTCTTCCAATTTGGAAACTCACGTGTCTATATTATCGTTATCAGTTGCTCATCAGCATTACTACCGTCGTTATAGAATTCTTCGGTGCTTTCATGTTCTTTTCACCTTTTATCCACCTCACGTCTTTCCTTTTCGTGGTTATAAGACCTAGATATTATCTGAAGACGAGCCATTCTTATATATCGTTTCTGTTTTCATTGTTCTCATCGATCGTTCTTAAATTTTTTCCTTTCATTGTCTTATTTTTTTTATGCCATACCGATAAATGGCGCATCACTTGCTATGTATCAAATATTGGAGTACTATCAACAATTTTGTTTGTTTATATAAAATCAAATTGAATATTTTCGAAAAAGATGGACAAACCGAATCTTGTCGTCTCTTCCTCATGGTGTCAAGGTGGAAGACCATCTATGGAAGATAAATTGTGTTTAGATGTTCAACGAACCGAATCAGGGAAGGTGAGGAGTTTCGCGAGTTTAAGGAAATTTTCGATTTCAGTTGAAATATGCGCTTTTGGGTGTATTTGATGGGCATGGAGGGGCATGTGCTGCTGACTGTGCAGCAGAAATTTTTCCTGAGCAAGTAAATCAGTTTTTGTGAGATTATTTAATGAAAGATGTTTTACAGCTAAAACAGAAGCTTTCTGAACATTCCTGCCCAAAGAAAGCTATGATCGAAGCTTTCAAGGCTACAAATGATCTGATGTATCAGAATTCAAGTGAATAACACATTTTTCTGAGAGATAGTTTTAACAACAAAATTCAGAGCATTGGAAACCGTTGTCTAGATTGAACTGCCCCAGCCTAGCTGGTACCACTGCCACTGTTGCTCTCATTTGTGGCGATACTCTCACAATCGCTAATTGTGGGGATTCAGTAGCAGTTCTTGGCATAAAAAATCAATATAGCTTCGGTTTGCGAATCATATGATTAGAGGGTTCAGTATCTACAATCACAGGTGATTGTGGCTGGTACCCCGTCGGAATTCGTGGCTCTGTTGTACATTCCATCAAAGGAGATGAGAAAAAGCGGATTAAGAGAATGGGTGGAACTGTGAGTGGATTTTATTCAAACTTATTTTCTTGTTTATTCTAGATTTCGGACTCTTTATCAGACACAAGAATCGTTTACGATGGATGTGTCAACCATTGTTGGGTAGACAGACAGAGATGTTCTCATAAGCGAATGTTTCGCCCAATACTGAATATGAGTCGTGCTTTAGGTAATATAAATATCTTTTCAAGCTGTATGCTTGCTATGATCAGGAGACTTTTGGTCTTACAATGCGGATGTTGGTGATTATGTCATATCTTGTGTTCCTCATGTGGCATCTTATAGCTTACAAGATGGTTCGCTATCTTATATTTACGTTTAAAACAGTTTTTGTAAGATTCTATATTCGGATTGTGTCTGCACACTGATGGAGTTCAAATGAGCCCTTGCGCTATTGCAAGGTGTTTAGCAGGTGATAACGCTGAAGAGAAAGTATCAAACATGATGTTCACGAAGACAACGAAGTGATCGTTTCAGGAGAACTTGGCACGAATTCCAAAAAGCGGGTGTTTAGCAGAAGAAATTCTTAACAATTCAATGAAGTCAGTTATTGACTTATCGAAAACTGATAATGCTACTGTGATCACTGTAAGCTCCGTGTCTATGATACTCTTCCTCATGTATTGTTTAGGTTTTGTTCGATTCTTTGTTAGGATGCGAAGTTACTGAGACGGGAAGCGAGCTTGGTAATGGCAAAACGTTTCGAATAAGTGCCTGAACGCTCTGTAATTCTCAAAGTTCTCCCTCAAATCCATTGTTTGATCTCACAGCATGGTTCTCTCTGTATAGTTTGGATAAATCGCAATTGCTTCTACCTGTCAGAAGATTTTTCGGCAGGGTTGAAGTTCAGAAAATGAAGATTTTTAAACTTCGCACTGTTATAACCTAGAATCTTGAACTCATGTCTTGAACAAATGAGTGTGTGGTATAGATACGCAGTACTACCTAATGTAGAGGTGAAAAGCGAATAAAGATACTCGAAGCGACAGCCACCTAGGAGTTGGTTTTGAAGGGAAAGGTTTAACCAAATCTGGCATGTTGGCATACCGTACTCTCATATAGACGGAAGAGAAACAGTTGGTCGAAGTAAAATATACATAATTTATTCTTTATATTTCATTTATAATAAGTTTCTTCACCGGTCCTAACAGTGCAATAGAAATCATCACAGAGCTTGAAGGCATAATGGTTTTACATAAATCTATCAAAGTGATTCAAAAATCGACCCGTGGTTTTGGCAATATTCAAAAACAAAAAATTTGATTAAGATATGTTAGGTAAGGCAAATTGTGAATATAAGTCGTCATCAGGGCGCATAGAACAAGTAATAATAAACCCGTTAACAACGAGGTATAAATATTAACGCTAATTGAAGATCTCAGCGGCCAGTAGGTTTAGGCTGCGTTGAATCGACATTACGGATAAGCTCTGTTTGAGCAATAGCTCCATGCTCTTCTTGTGAGAATGAATAACCATCTGAAAGAATGAACTCAATTTTAAAGTGATTGAGAAGCACATACATCGAGCTTGCTCAGCTAAGGCAAATGAAGAAGAACTTCGTCGCTCCATTGGCGCAGAACCTCGTAATAAGCGTATTCCTTCTTCCAGGATAGACGAAGAATAACTGCAAAACATTTCAATATTAGGTTATACACAAAGACATTTCAAAATTCCACAACTTCTTCACCACAGAAAACCATGCTCTCAACATTACCAACTAAGAAGAAATGCAAGATCATGCACGAACAAAAAGGGTGAGGGCTTTGTAAAGATATTAAGAAAAATCGGAACACAACCTCACAGTCTAACCATCTAACATCTTCACACGAAGTTCGGTGGTAGTTTACGGGAAAAACAGGCGGCATAAGCAATTCGCTATTCTAACTGTTACAAAAAAGATTTACGGAGAACAGAGGATAGTGGAGAATCTGCAAATCGTTCTCGACTTCTAGTGATAACTAAAAGCGCGTAACGGTAATTTGAAGAAACAGGTAACACGAACCACAACAACATATAAGTAGAGTAGGCTAGGAACGTCGTGGATGGTACTATTCATCCGTTGGTCGAACTTCAATTCGAGTGACATGATTTCCTTGCGGTGTTGCTATTGACTCCATTGGTAAAAGCTCGGTACTGCCATAATCCATGGCTAGGTTATCATGTCCACGAAGGCGAGAACTTTCTTTAGATGTGGAGATTCTGCGCTGTCCATATTCATCAGCAGATGTTGTTGTTCCATTCACTTTTTCACCACCACTAAACAGTCCAAAGACATGACACAAAATGGAAAGAAAGCTTATTGCAACATATGGAGATGACAGGAGTGTCTCGTGCAAAAAAGTAAAAAGAAATTATTGTTGAGGACATTGGTGCACGATAAGTCACACGATCTAGAGTTGAGCCTAGCGCGAAATGTTCGATGAAAGAAGCATAAGTCTGTTCTACACTCTCAGAACTATTTCAAATAATGCTGCAAGCGGTTTCGGCTTTATAGATATGAACATACACGAATCACAAAATCACGCCAGTTAATTCTATGCTTATTAGTGCCAAGTGGACAAACCTCGCTAACCGTTCAAATCCTGTTGCAGAAGGAAGACGTTTCAGATGCATTACGACAGTTTCTCTCTCAGTGGGAGCTGTGATAGTGAAAGTACTGAAATTGAACAAAATGAGTTTCGATCTGATCATAAGGAAAGTCTGAAAACAGACAGAAGTACCTAAACTAGAATTGGTATTTACGTCGTGCTAGTGTTAAGAAATTATGCGGCAAACTTATTCAAACGTTGGCTCATTTCGTTAGAAATTATAGGTAAGTAGCATAAAACTCTTGTATTTCGTTAGATAGAAAGTTCTTTAAGCGCTGTTCAGCGGAAGTATATTGATGGATCTTCCGTGTAATTGAAAGCTGTAATCGAGAAACGAATTCAAATACTAATATATATGTAACTTGTCATGCAGTACAACAACCAATCACACGGGTATAGAAGCATATACGATAACCAATCAGATGACTCAAAACTTACGAGCACGAGCAAACACCAATTTTCAACGATTATCACGTACCTCTTAATAACCAGATCAATCAGAAGTGTTGATAATGGAACAAATATGAATGCCAACCAAAAGCTAGGAGAAGACATCATAACTGATGCCATACCAGCCATGTCCGCACCGATGTTCTTTGATATATTGGGGAACACCTAACAGAATGATGTTCGAACTAAATAGCCAAGAAGAACTCACCAATGCATACAGCACCAAGAAAACTAGCCAAAGACCGATGCTGCCGAAACAGGCGACTAAAATCGGCCAGGTCCAAGAATCAGTTTCAAGAAGAGCTTTCAGACAAACTGTGGTGACCACAAACTTAAATATCACCAATTATCTTTGAGAACTTGAACGGCTCACAAACCGTGTACGCGCAATTTCCAAGCATCAACCATCCACCTGCTCTTCCGTTTTCCCAAACGATTTGTTTTTCCAGGAAAGCATAAGACAAGAAGAAAAGAATCAGAGAATGAAGAATTGCCATCCCAATCCACAAAGCAAATTGCTAAAAAAACAGTAAGCGAAAATTTCGTGTAAAATATTGTACCGGTAAAGTAAAAGCTTTATCTTGAAAACTGCTGTAGAGTGAAGGCTTTCGCATCATTTGTTCTGCAGGCACAGGCCGATCAAATAACCCAATAATTACTGGGGGCCAAGCAGTGAATATGACATTGAACATTCCGATTGTCCATCGCTCGAATATAGTTTGCCCGGACCAAGCTGAGAAAATGGCGAACCATAACTCAATGATGTATAGGCATATGTTTTTATAAAAACTATATAAGATCACTTTCACGGAGCGATCATAATTCCAAGCACCATGAACCTAAAATTAATATTGAGAGTTAATATAGGGAAGATATCACAAACCAAGAGCAGTCTTCGGAGAAAGTGGAAACGAGGTATAGCATAATCAGAAGCAGAAGCTGCTTGTAATCCTTCTTCTCCAGAAATGCCAACACCGACATTAGCAGCTTGAATCATAGCGACGTCATTCGCTCCATCTCCAACCGACATCACAACATGTTTGCCAAGAGATCGAACCATCTCTACTACCTGAAAAAAACCTTTTCCCAACCATCTATCTTTTGAAAATTCTCACCTCAGCTTTTTGCATAGGACTCATTCGACAACATACAACGGAAGAACAACGCAAAGCTAGTTTACCGAAATGTGCACGAGCTTCACCAGTTAATGCATGAACAAGTGATTTACCGTCGATAACCAGAGTAAACTCGCTGAAATAGATTTTCAGAAACTTAAAAACAAGATTATAATGCACTCACCTATTATTTTCTTCCAAATTAAACGCTCTGCTAGTGAAGTGTTCTAACTTAGCATATGTTTCATCGTATGTATACTTATCGACAATCAGAAGCTCAGTGTTATGGTTGCAAAGAGCACAAGAGTGAGCTGTAAGCATGGTATAGCAAGATAATACTAAGCACTATACCTATGTTGATGGCAGTTTCCCTTTTATCGCCTGTTAACATCCAAACTTTGATTTTGGCGGCCATTAATGCTTGAATAGTTTCAGGAACATACTGGATGACAAATATATTCCGAGTCATCAAAGATATCCTACCTCTTGTAACTTATCCTCTATAGCAGTAGAGCCAATCAACTCCAGATTACTTTCTAAGCTTTCAGCAGCGTCAGCAAGAGCTTTCCCTCTTCCTTCAATCATCAAACCAGCAGCTTTATATTTTGGAGCCCACTGTTCATACTCAGACTAGAAATGAAAAATGAGGAATAGATGGAAGCTCAGGATACTTACTCTTTCAATTTTTCTCATAGCAAAGCATAAAGTACGATATCCATACGAGGCATAGTCTTCGAGGTGAGTTTTGCAGATCTCCACTGCTTGGCCACTTCCCGGTTTAAGACGATCGAATATGATGGTATCCTAAACTTTAAAAGTTTATTGGAAACTGAAAGACTACTTACGGCTCCTTTGGTGTACAACTTTATGACACCTTCAGCATCCCGCACAATTACACTCATTCTTTTTCGATCACTAGTAAAGTCGATGACATCCAAAATTTCAATATTCTCGTCAATCCCTTTCTATAATGTTCAAGACGTTCATCAAGGAATAGCTTTGGTAAGCAACTTACAGCATCAATTACAACTCTTTGTGGCTGCCTGGTATGGAAAACAAATCCTAGATTAGCAGCTCCTTTAACTAATGCGCTCTCATCCGGTGAAGACCCTTGATAAATCAACTAAAACTACTGATTACAAAAAATAACAAGAAACATTCTCACCTCTCCATTATCCTTCTTCTCAGGTACAACCGTATGACAAACAGCCATCATTCTAAGCATTTCTCTTATCCTATTACTGTTACTATCATTCTATAATCGGAAGCCATTAGAAAGGTTACCATAATACTAGAACCTACTCTGTCACAATCTTCAGACAGTCTGATATCGGAAAATTCGTCGTTTTCATTATCTCCATAGTTAAACCCGTTAACGGAAATTCGTTTAAACTTCATAACATTCCTAGTCAATGTGCCTGTTTTATCACTCATCACAAATTTGACCTGCAAGAAGCCTGACTGTTATCTCTCACTGAATCAACATACTTGTCCCAATTCCTCATTCAAGTTTGAGGTCCTAGCAATAGCACAAGAGTCACTATTTGGATCATACATTTCGATGTCATTATTTATATAAATAGCCTAAAGAACAAGATAATATGAGAGGAGTTAGATAATATGTCCAAGTACCTGGAAGAATCTAACTAACTCCAACGTCACTTGTAAACTGATAGGGATGAGATTGTTGTAGAGAATGAAGAATGTCAAAACTCCCCATCCGAATGAAGATCTTTTGTCATTTACTGAAATATTCAAATGTTCCCACTATGTAATTTACTGAATCACCTAAGAAGTCTAGATACCATGATTGTGGTAGATGACTAGATTTCCACCATTCCAAACCGAGTGCACTAATTATTGCAAGAACTACTAAGACGGCGAAAAGAATCAAGATGCGATAATTTGTTTTTACATCGACAGTTCCACTGAAAAGAGAAAAAACATGATAAAGAAGCGATTATTTTTTACCTCTTCAGAGGAGCTGTTTTTGAGTTCATCAGAAGCTTAGCATCGTGGCCAGTGTATATCACAGCACCTAATACCCATGACGTATTTTTCAGACGAGCCCCTCGTAATAACAATTGTTCAAGTCCTTAAATCTCATAGGCTGATAATAATGTGGTGTATGATAGTACCTATATGTCTTTGTTCATTGGAAAAAGTAATATTTCCACTGAAATCATTTACATGACGATTAGGAAGCTCGCATTCAATTTCACATTGAAACTTTCTGATAGAATCTATAGAAGTGATAGAAGAAGTAAGTTCTAAGGCCTGTAATAATGAGTGTTTACTATCAACCACACAAACTGTTTAAAATACTTGTTTAATTTTCAGATTAGTTTCTCCATCCAAGTTGGAAGTTTCTATGTAAGCCATTCCATGTGCTTCACTTGATGAAATGAGGATAATATCCGCAGGAAAGAGTTGATCATTTTCTATCCTGAGAATGTCACCCACACGAACCTTCAAAGTACCGCTTAGAGATAAGAAATGACATGTGACATACCTTTTTCCATTCTTTTTTCTGCCATTTCCCAGTCTCAATGTCCAAAACTTGTGTTAAAAAGTTATTAACCTTACTATCTGCTCGTCTACGTTTCTAAACGAAGAATGAGTAAGAATCGGAAATGAGAAACTGAATAGGAACTCACGATATCTTCAAAGATTTCTTTCAGTGCTGATACACAAAGAATTATTAAAAAAGGAAAAGCAGTTGTATAGCGACCGGTTGGACTTACATCGGGTATTTGCTGAAAGGGGGGGGGGTTTAGAAAAAAAAAGAAGAAAAATATGAATACCTGTAGTAATGCGATAATTAAGAAAAATATATTGTTGTAACGACGGAACTGTTCATACAGAAACCGAGGTAAAAATGAAAGAGGATTGTATTTACAAGTACTGAAGCAAATTTTTGAATATTAAGAAAGCTAACATCAAGTACATACCTTATAGAATTACTGCAGAACTTCTGCGATTGTATTATCTTCCCTACGTGTATTTTACGAACATTTTGCTCAGGATGAGCCGGCATAATTGTTTGATTAATCCAACGACATTAATCAGTACAGACTTCTGTTAAGAATGTCAAAGAGTAATGTTATGATCGGTGGGAGTGTCTGAAAAATGAAAAGCATGAACGATCGTCAAAAAAAGGTAAAGGAGTTAATACATGACAAGAGAAATATAGTATCAGTTTGGGTGATTGAAAACAAACACAACTGATAAGAGCATAACTGCCCAACAACTTTGAACAAGAATCACATTAGGCACAAAAACTGATAATCGTCGTTCGGAGACAAGTAGCATCAGTATCAAAGAAACAACTTGGATTTTCAGTTCTCAAGAACTAAGCGTAAGAATCAATTCAGGAAAATTGTGTTTGAAGCTTAAACGAGAATCACTAAGGAAACATTCGATTTTAAGAAAGCTGGCGTGCGATCGAAAATCATCAGAAGAAGAATACGTATAGAAAAGAAGCTCCTTAACAAGGGTAATATGAGACAAGAAAAGAAATATATATCCTTGCTCCGTGTGACATAAACGAACACATGTTGGAACGATAAAAGCTGCAAATTGAATGTTAAGTTTATGACTTAGTGCAAGACTAAAAGTTAAGCTAAGTATTAGATGCAACAACAAAATACAAAAATATTGTCCAAGAAAATACAAAATGCGTCATCAGCTGTTTTCTGATGTCTTAACCGTAGATATTAAGCAAAGATATTTGAGCAATGATGTTTTCTGACATTTCAGTTATTCAATCATAGCAAAGATTGTAGAGCGGAACAGAGAGGATAGAAAGAAAGAGGAAGACACAGAGAGAGAGGGAATGTGAGTCAGGGTGAGACTTGCCAATAGGTATAAGATGAAGCAGCAAATGAGTATAGCAATTGTCTAAGTAAATATTAGCGAATAAAGGTTAAATATCATTAAAAAAACCTTGGGGAAGAAAGTTGAAATCAAAGAGAAGATAACCAAAAACTATTTCTTTAGTCAACGTAAGTGAAACGTTTTTCCAATAAAATCGCAGGCATAATAAAATATTTTTCCAAAACCGGCTTTAGGGAGCTGCTTAACGACATTCATTCTTATCCTGTCTTTTAACAAGCAAAATCAGAAAGGATATGATAGCGAAGGTCAAAACATATGAAAATCGTCATTCAATTCAGAATTAATCAATCAATAGATTAAGCATGACGGAGGATTATTGAAGCTTAAAAATGTTAAAATTAAGCATCAGAATTACAATTCAAGCATTCATGTGAATGTGAATCAATTCAAATAGTCTAAATCAAATTAAAAACAAAAGCTATTTTCAAAGTAAACAAAAGATATTTCTTCATTCGAAAAAATACGAATGAGCACAGACAATGGAGAGCTTTAACTGCAGAAGCTGTAAAATCGAAACGAACAATTCAAAGAAAAATTTCGCTTCAGAAGTCAAATGACTCTGTTGATCTTACTCGAAATTGAAATCATAAGCTTCTATGATGAACGGGTACACACGCTTCTATAAAGTAAAAAAAAACGACAGAAAGTGTAACAGTCGTTGACGTAAGCATTGATGAGGAACGTGAGTGATTTTCATCCACCAACTGAAGATTCCAGCTTCACATTGAGTGTCAAGCTGTTAGTTAGGAATAATTGATTGGCAAATGAACTATGGAGCTTAAAGACGGAAAATAGAAAAAAAAAGTCCAATCAATAAAGTTAGGAATGAATGAGGTGTGTATGAGAGGTAACATTAACATAACAGTTGGACGCGAAAAAAAAAACGATTGGCGAAAATTGACCAGCGCGATACTATGGATGAGAGAGAGGGTGAAAAATGAATGAAAAAATGCAATGTCAATAAGGAAGGAACATTGGCTATTTCTATCCAAAAAGTATGTGTGTATCTGTGTGGTGGTGCTGGTATCTTCATCGTTGCCAAAGCAAACGTAAGGGGTGAGCGAGGCTAGCGAAGAGTGTTCAATCAAGATCGTCCTCGTCATTTCAACGATATTTTAAGCATCACTATATGAACATGACTAATTTCTCTTGCATATAACAACATATTAGCAAAAGAAAAAAGACACAGGAAGAATGGAAAACATTGAAATTGATTGAAATACCGAATAATGCAGATATGGGTTCTTTCATCGCTTTCATTCTTTCCATTGCACCAGCAAATATTATATGTTTTGTTAGAGAAAAAAACATCTATGAGTAAATGATAGTTGAGAGGTCTTTAACTATGTGAAAGAAGGAAACAAGCACTTCAAACATGGAATACAAAACACATACATTAAATACAAAAAAAAACCTACAGAGCGACGTCAGAGTTGGCACTGAAAACAACTCAAAGCAACCGACCAGCTCATTATGATTAGTGTTTGTAAAAATGAAATAATAGACTCCACACGTACACGTGATGCAAGAATAAGCAAATTATGCAAATTAGGAGCTCTCACTGAATGATGATGAGTCTAGCTGATGATGTATAATTATATATATATTTATAATAAGATAATTAAATGAATGTAATAAGGTTAAATGAAATAGAACAGGTTGAAGAAGTTATCTGTGTGTGTGTCTGTGTTGTCATTTACCTACCCCAGGGATGAATCATCATTAAACAATCCTAATATAAACATCAAAAAATGAAATGATTTTGAACAGAATATAAAAAAAGGAGAATGTGAATCAATTTCATACAATGAATACTTTATGGAAAGGTCCTTGAGCGTCAAATACTTCTATTCAATGCCATGTTTTGACTTTCCGACCGTTTTGGCTTTACAATTGTTTTGCCATTCATATATGTACTCACGAAAAAATATATATTGAAGGAAAATTGAAAGAGAAACCTTTTTTTCTCATTCAATGGCAGCCATCTTCAGAATAAAAAAGAAGTTTAAGTTATTTTCACTATGTGTATGGACGAGAGAGATAGAGAGAGAGAATGGGAGAGCGAGATCAACTTGATGGTCATTGTATTTGACAACTCCTAAGTCACTTAAACACTTCGTAGAATAACAATGATGAAAAAGGTAAACTGGCAAGCGATGTAAAGCCTAAGCAAAGAACTTGAGTAAGAAATATTCCGGAAACGCCAAAGCATTCGACAATGAACATGTGAGCAAGTTTTTTCTCAAAAGGCGCAAGCGTGAAAGTTTTGTGAGGTTAACGGCAGACAAATCTTGCTTCATATTGACCTTCAAATAAATAGTGCAAATAGATGCAAATCGATTTTATCGTCGAAAAAATCATGAAAATCAGCAAAATGTGAACTAAATGAAACCTTGCGAAAAGGGATGAAAAAGCGGACGATCAACACCGCTAGACAGACACAACTGTTCGGAACCAAAAAAAAACAGGACAAAATGAAATATTTGACAGAAGAACTTTACTTTCTTACGTCAACCTGTACGTGAAGACAATTTTGTTTGTGGAGCATCATAGAGAAGAACAATTGCGTAGACTGGATCAGAATCACAAAGTGAAACGTTCTTCAGGAGAACTAGAATTAGATGACGATTTTCCGAAAGCAAATTGATCAGAAATGCTTTGCGATCGGAAGAAACGGTTATTTGTCCTCAACCAGCCTAATAGTATATGTATATAATCGCTGAAACATTTAAAAAGCTGCTGCGGAAGTAGAAAAAAATTATTTAAAAAACTGGAATTGATCAATAATCCAGATATGAGCTGGTCCATAGGTCAGTCCTCATTGATTATTTTGTAAACATATATTTAGGCTGAGTGAGCAGCTTGATATAAATAAATAACGATCTTGTGCATAGCCTTTTTATTATTAAAATAATTTATTATGTTGATTTCTAACACACATAATTAGCATAATTCATTGATTCCATTAGTTTTCATGAAATTAAAACGAAGCTTAGCAAGTATGCATGCTGCATAGCAAACCAACAAAATCAGGTGAACGTGCATGATGTGGATTGGCAGCATTCTTTTTCTCTGAAACGAAAAAAGTCTCATTCATTAGTTATATATGTAATGTATAATTCATGGCATTTCAAAGTATGCACTGAAACAAAAAGCGGAATAGATGCTTCTGTTGACGACACACACACACACAACAATCGCAAAAACACATTGCCATTCCAGACAATGGGCTCGTCTTGACGTCTTCCCTCTTTTAATAAATATGCATATAAATGTGATTGTTTAATATATTAATATTAAATGATATATCTGATCAAGTGAAAACAACGTTTGATAACAAAATTTTATGAAATTGTACGAAAAAAGATATACAAAGCATATAAGTGGGCAGGCCATCAGACACATTATGGAACAATTCTTTAAAAAAAAGAAAAAAATATACTACATTAAAAATATGTATATATTTATATTTATATATATATATAACATATGAGGTTAGAAGATCAACCGGTTTTCATAGACAGAGGGCCTTAATGGCAATGACTTATATGGAAATATACAATATGGATAAAAGGGGGCAAACCCGCAACACGAATCTGTGATCTGTTAAACGGTTGGGAAAGAAAATTTAAAGAGGAACCAGACAAAACGCATAAACTAAGAGAATTCAGAATCTTTTGATTACAGAAACAACTCGCTGAGTGAATTTGAGAGAGAGAGTGTGTGATATATATAGAGAGAGAGAAAGGAAGGAAGAGAGAGAGTGAGAGTAAGAGGAAGAAGAGATTAAGAAAACGACACAGGAAGAACTCAAGCAATGTACATGAATACCTTACTGTTACAAGTCGCTCTTTCTAGGATAACAAAAAGAACTAATAGTCACCAATCTATGCATTTCTATCCAGAAAGAACAAAAAGAATTTAAAAAATACAGGGTGAAATGCCCTGCCCTCTGTTGACCCATGACGTAGAGATGAATAAAATGGTGTTTTACCCGCAAGACATTTGAAACCCGTGTAGGAATATACGCTAAGTCCAAAGAAATAACAACAACAAGTTGCAACAACTACTATCCTCTACGAACAGAAAACTGAGGTCTAGACCAATTCCTATCGACCGTTAGGTATCGAATCTTGACCCTCACGTTTCATTTGAGCCATTTGCTGGATTCCTGCAGGAAAAGGACCCTTGTTATAAAGCCCTGGCATTAAATTCTGTAAACCCATTAGGTTGGGTTGGAACATAGGTCCAACTTGGCCTAAATTGGATTGAGAAGGCATTCCAGGGTTTTGAGGCATTCCTATAAGAATGAAGAATAATTAAAAGCTTTCTATCAGAAATAACATACCAGGTAAACCTGGGAAACCGAGTCTTTGAGCAGCGAGCAGCTGGGACAGCTAAAAGTGTCAGGTTAGCAATTCAAATTGTAAAAAATTCACACCTGTTGTTGTTGAGCTGTTTGACCACTCTGGTTCTGTTGCTGCTGTTGAACTTGTTGCTGCTGGCTCAAGAGTTGACGGAACAGAGCATCACGCGCAGAATCTCCAGTAGATTGACCAGAGGCCACAGCATTAGCAGATTGTTGAGTTGCTAACAAAAGTTGTTGATGTTGTTGTTGCTGCTGCTGTTGTTGTTGCTGCTGCTGCTGCTGTTGCTGGTGATGTTGCTGCTCCATATGAGCTCGGAGGAGGTCTATTGGATTTCCGGAAGTGAGTCCGGATTGACCAGCGGCTTGGGATGAGCTTTGTTGCATATGCTGAGCTTGCTGCTGCTGTTGCTGTTGTTGCTGTTGTTGTTGTTGTTGAGCTTGCTGTTGTTGAGCATGGGTTAACATTTGCAACTGTAGGAGCTGCGAGGGATCGAACCTCAACGGGAGGTTATGAGGTTGAAGAAGCAGGCTTTGTTGTGCTGCCGATAAACCCTGTAACTGGTTCTGCTGAGAACTTTGTTGGCTAGCTTGATGTTGTTGAAGTACAGCTTGACCATTTTGTTGCTGCTGCTGTTGTTGCTGCTGCTGTTGCTGATGTTGTTGCTGCTGTTGTTGAGCTTGCTGTTGCTGTTGTTGATCCCTGACCTACAGAAATTTAATTACAAAGTTAAATCATCTCATTCAGCATACCTGTTGTAAAGCTAACTGTTGCTGCTGCTGCTGCTGCAGATATGCTTGAAGGAAAGCCGTTTCCGCACTGTTTTGTAGGTTTAATGAGCCTACAGAAATTCAATTATATCTCGTAAGCAGAGAGAGGAACTCACTATTATGTTGTTGAGGTATTGGTAATCCTGAGGTAAGTGAAGCCATATTGGGCATTCCCGGTCGCGTCATTACTGATGGTGGCCTTTGTGGTGTCAAAGGAAGCGTAGTAGGGGGCTTCGAAGCAGCAACATTTCTGAAGTTGAAATATATGTTTAGAAATTTTATGTGTAAACTAACGCGGCATTTCTTCGTTGCAGATCCTGTAAGACGGAGAACATCTGAGGGTTAGAGAAACCTAACAAAGCCTGTTGTTGAAGTGCCAATCTGTAAATGACATAGATGAGAATGACAAAGAAACTTGATAAACAAATAAAAAATGTAAAAATCTTACCCTGGTTGAGGAGTTCCTGGATTGGCTGTAGGAAGAGCTTGAGGGGGTTGTGGTTGCCTTTGCATTATAGCTTGGGCTTGAGCAGCTAAAAGTTGAGCAGCATCGGCTTGAGTCTGAAACAATAGACATAACATTGCAAAGAGCATGAAGGATATCGAACCTTGGGAATATCCTGTTGTTGTTGCGGCCTATTTTGCTCATTGGAAGACTTATTTTCTAGTTGCTTGTTCCGACTATTTTGGACATCTTGACAGAGCTTCACATGCATCGCTGACCATCGGCTTGGCTTCTGAAAAATATAGCATAAAACCAAAGAACAGAGTTTTGAAAAGAGTATGTCAAAAATTGGATTGCATATGATTTTCGTTTTACTTGACAAAAACAAGCTCTTTTCCACCCCCAAAACGAACACATTTTGGACGAGTCTTTTTTTCTGCCCATATATGCTTATATGTAAGTGGACAAGGCGCATCAGCTGCTAATAAATACTTTATGATCTTTTTAAATATTCGAAGGCTGATGAATGATAGATGCGCTAGAATGTCACAGTAAAGACTGAACGAAATACGACTGAATGAGCATGCAAACTAATGAAGAAAGCATGACATAGTCAAAACGAATGCTTCAAAAACTTCCCAGCTCGCATAATACATGAGTTCAAAAATCATCTGTTATTGTCTGGCGTTTGGCAACATATGACCAAAAATAGCACTCAAAAAGTTAGCAAAAAAAGAATAAAAAATGGACAAGTGAATGATTGGCGGAAATTTGAGTTTAACAAGCTCAATAAAGCAAATTACGAACCTTAGCTAATGGAGTTGTCATCACACGTCCTAACAGAGACGCTCCCGCCAATTGAGGAACATTTGGAGGGAACTGAATCTGATTAGCTGCCGCACTTGGAGCCCCAGTTGCAACACCGGAAGAAACATTTAAACCGGCGGCTGCTGCTGCTGCAGCGGCCGCTTGTTGGAGGATGGCAGCTTGAGGATTGTTGTGCTGTTGTTGCTGAAAAAAAAAACGAATTAAAAAAGAATCCAGAATTGCATTATCGTGTTTGTTCAACGTGAGCACAAGAAACTGAACACCTGGTCAAATAATAGAGTGCAGGCATTAAAGAACGGGGGAAGCTTAAAGTCAAAGACGCAGTCAAAACAATGACGAAATACTATATATGGCCATGATATCATCAAGTTTAAAGAACGACGTGACACTTTTAGATCGAGAAAAATTTGTAGGTTGTAACTAAAAATTAATGAATCTTCAGAACAGCTGTCTAAAGTGAAATGGACAAGAGAAACAACATTACACTATGAAATGAACTTCTTTCAAAATTGTTTCTGTCTTTTTCAAAAACAACGAGGATCTAGCTGTTGAAAGTTTGAAGAAGAAGGAAAAGAAGTGGAAAGATGAGAAGGAAATGTTTCGGCGAAGAGAAGAGAGAATCAATCAGTCAAAAGGTTATCCTGTTCATAAAAAACGAAGAAGATATAATTTCATATTTTCAAATGTTTTTCCCCCGGAGGAAACAAACACAGAGATCGAAAAAGAAAGAGACAGAGAACTACCACTGACATACATCAGATCAAAGGTCTTTGATGCATTTATATGCATGCATTATTCTGCTCAACCTTGAATAACAGAAATTCAAAGGAGAGGAAGCAAAAGCTGTTCCAGGCATGGACACAAAAAATTGCCTAATTAGGGAAAACACCGTTTGCTTTTCGTCTTTTGGCTCATCAGCCACCAAAAGAATTCAAAGAAATTCGCACGTAAACTGATCGTTGCTTCTCTTTACACAAAATGACAAGAAATAGAAAATAGGTGTTTGCCCTTTCGCAATTCATCTTAGACCCCCTTCTATCTTCTCCTTTCTCTTTTTTTTTCAATTTCAAGCCCTTGACATTGCTAGAAACACAACAACGAGAAACGCTTTTTGTATAAAAAAAAGATCTTTGAATTGAAAGAAACATTCAATTGATATTAGATCAATTTACAAACTTTCATCTGGGACAGAAAAAAACACAAAAACTATTGATTGGCTTTAAACGTTCCGCTTTATAATCGTGGCGACACAAGCGATGGATGACCAGTCTCGTTATTCAACACTCTCCCTCTTTTTCTCTCTTTATTCTCGGAAGTCCATTCATTCACATATGCGATTGAATTTGCATAGGAAATGAAGGGAAACATTTGATTGTCGTCACAAACAAACTGTACAAGTTCGAATTGAAAAGATTTCAAAGTAAAAGAGCTGTTCATACATCTCTCACACCTCACTAAAACTTTCTTTCTCTCTTAGCATCTCCCTCTTCCCTCCAATCATTCATCTTCAACAGTTGTAGTTGTACGAACTAAGAAGAAAACAGGAATTCGCATAGAACAGCATTGAATTAGTGTCTCAACTAGTTCATATGTAGAAAGTGGACAATAACATGGAAAGAAACTAACTACATTAGAAATACATTTCACTTTCGAGACAAGTAGTAATGGCTAAGTGGGCCCCGAGAGACTCGACCAAAATGCCCATAAAAGCCATGGGAGGTTTCTTCGGTTTTTCTTGAATTCATAAGATAAGAAACTGATAACTGAACCCATCCCTCTAGCCTTCTTCTAAGATGAATTCACCCCAGATAAGAAAGCGACAATCTTTAATTTTGAATGTCTGAAGGGCCGCCCTTCTGCCCTAGAGAATTCAAACAATCGCTTTGGGAATTTTCGACCACTATCTGGACTTTTATTCTTTTTCAGACTAAAATAGGCATTGATCAGATAGGGATGACAAAGATGGAGAGGAAGAGAGAGGAAAAGGAGGGAAGTGGTATGTATGTCTAGTGCATTACGATTCAAACGTGGCTTGTCGGCGAGGGTAAACAGATAAGATAAGCGAAACTGCTCAAATATCCGAAACAACAAACAAACGGGAATTCTGTCATAAAACGTCTAGAGCTGATTACAAACTCAATAAAATGAAAAGAAAACATTAAAAAATGTCAAAAGACTTCCCAAAAAGAAGATAACCCCTCTAAGAAGTGACAAAAACGCTTGAGAGAAAACGCTGATCAAATATAAGAGATGACAGAGAGAGAAAGAGCGATAGTGAGATAATGTTACAGCAACAACGATAAGTGTAAAAAGAATAAAAAGAAATAAAGAAAATACTAACCTGCTGCATTAATTGAAGGAATGGCTGAAGGTTTGCTGCTCCACCCGCGCCCGCCAAGAGGTGAGCAGGAAGAACATTTTGCAAGCTTGCAGCTAATGCTGGATTTTGGAGTAACCTCATAGGATCCAAATTGGGAATCAATTGATTCATTTGGGCTGTGAGTAATCCGTTCCCAGATTGAAGAACAGTACTATTAGATGTAGCAGCACCAGAAGATGTATTCACAAATAATGAAACTGATGGAGCTGAAGTAGAGCTAGATAAGGAAATAATAGAGTTAGGAATACCATTAGAGGAAATAGGAGTATTGCTAGGATCAGCTGGATGATTATCTGAAATATGAAAACCATTAGGAAATGAAGTAAAAAACGTAATCTCGCGAGACTTCATCAATTATTCGATCATCAGAAACCCCTGCTAACCCCCTCGCCTCTCTCGAAGGCATTCGCAATTGAGTACGCTAGCCTCACCCACACGCTATTAATTAGCTTTCAAACAATTACAAACCTCCTAAATGGGAAAAGAAAACACTTTCATAAACTCTGAACGGCTCAGCGCAAAACCTTGTGCACGCAGAATTTCAATTAATTCTCGGCTCAACAGAGCGTCCCCAGAGGGAAATATAATTCTGAGAATTTAAGATCTCACAAGGCAGGCTTGTCGTTCAGTTGCGCTTTTTCTCTTTGGGCACACGCGATTAAGCTCGACTGAATAATACTCCCAATCATGTGCCCCTGGGTGCAAAAGTTCTGAAAGGAACTGCTCTCTCAATAGTTGCCAACAGGGCAATACAACCGCATCACTTTAAACTTTGATTGAAAATGAAATCACAAACTTCAAAGGAAATTGAGATAATGCTCATGGATGAGAACAATTCTATGAAAAATGAACAAATTTCCAAAATGAGAAATAAATTATGTGAAAGCGTGAGACCGAAATAAAATGCAAATCAAGAAATGCCAAATAAAGACATGGGACTTGACAAATTGCCAATTCCAGTGTACGAATCATATGATTAAACATAAATAATCTATTCATGATAAAATGTCAATTTGCTTTTCAACATAATTCACGAACATATCGATATTATCCATATGGGCTGTGTAATGAGATTACCAAAAGAGGAACGTCGAGAGAACTTTCGTCCTCGCTCCCTCTCTTCTATCCTTCCTCCTCATCCCTCTCTCGCTTCTCTGCTGATTATAGCAAATCAACATGTCTATAAACTCAAATTACATCACTTTTCCTGCACATTCCCATATCTCATCTCATCCTCAACGATCATTCAAAAAACAATGTTGGCGAGGCTTTGCATGAAGTAAAGTGCATATGTTTATAAATGATAAAACTAGACGGAAACTTAATTTGCCGACGGTCAATCAAACGTTATTTTCGAACTTGACGAATCTCTTTCGCCCCTCTCTCTCTCTTCTCTCCTAATCGATTAGTCTCAGGTCTCTCAAGATGAGACACACAAATCAACATAGAATATAAATTGAATCGTCGTTCTCAACTGAACGGGTGAAAACGAGATACATCTCTCCTACTTAAAATTATAGCCGGTCTCTGATGACAGAATAACGAGTTTTAACATATTGAACATCAACGAAAGCAAAAAGTCACACAAAAAACTGCGTGAAGAAAAGCACAATGAAAAATGACCAGAACTTACTTTCATTCACAGCTTGAGAAGGCTTAATATCAGTCGAAACAGCCACTGAGACAGGATTAGAAGAAGACACAGAGGGGTTTTCGGACTTTGCAATACCGATGATGCCATTTCTGCAAAGACAAAAAGTGTAAAAAAAACTGAAAGTGAGGCTTATTTTTGTTTTAAAAATCAATTAGAAATGCCATAGGAAATGAAAACATAAACGAATGAATCAAATACAATCTGGATAATGTCACTTTCCACGCATTTCCCATTAGCCGGGGAAAGAAAAACGAGACGAGACGAGACGAGACTCGAACATAAACTTGTATCTTTGAATCGAATTTCACATACAGAGATAGCTTAGGTCATTCGCGTTTTTTTTTCATAGATTTGTATCGAAATTCACTCGAAGTATGCAATTAGGGGCAGTCGGTCGTGCGCGCAAAATAGACACCCTGAACTAGCATGATAGGTGGAGTTGTCAAAGAAGAACAACTTTGACGTTGTCGTCTGTGGGTGACCAAACGATACTAACAGACGACCTTCAATTCAATATCGTTTCATCCCGAGACAGTCTTCTTCTCTATAACGGAACGAAAGCGAAGGTGATGCCGACTGTAACGTTGAAATTACGCATTAAGGAATTCAACTTTCTTGATTCTCTTCACCACTTCAAACATCCAGCTTTCCCTGTTCTAGAAGGAAGCCAGACGAACAATGATTGCTTAGGAATCAAAAGGTCAGAAAAGACAGAAACTCAGCTGAAGAAGAAAACTAACAGCGTGTAGAGAACGGCCAAAATAAACAAATGTCTGTGCAATCGAAACGACACACACTCACACATACACACAAACATAAGAATTGGCTAAGACGGTCAACATAGAAAATAATGAAAAAGGAATAGCCATAAGAAGGAACAATATTTCAAAGTAAACAAAAGAACGAAAAAAAGATACACGTACCGATATGATTCGTCGAACCGAGCTGCCTTGAGCGGAGCTGGTGATGGGGCTTGGCTTGCAGGTCGTTTGATACAACCCTCCGCCATAGACCCGGGGCTTTTCATTTTGTGGCCTCGGGCGGCCTTTGGTTGTTTCTGTAATACAATTTATATTTAAACAGGCAAACATGTAGCATTTTTTTGTTGAAGAAATTTCAATTTCAATAAGAAAAATGGGAGCAGAAGAAAAGAGGAAAAAAAGAAGAAAAGTAGGAATGACGTGAATTCGGGAAGTCAATATCTAGGCAGACGAATAGACGTGAAGAGGACAGATGATAGCTAATAGATTGAATGAATCTTGAAAGCACTGAGCTAAGAATGCGCACAAGGGTTGTTGAGATGATAATGACCATCAGTATGGATTGAAAAGAAAATTGGAAACACGTATGTTTTGGGGAAAGCCAACGAGGACCACAACGACCATGTGATGATCATAAATAGAGCATGGGCACCATGGACATGCAACGAAGAGTAAACAAGGGTGGAACAAGAGACGAAGAGCGTGAGTGCGAGAATAAGAGAGAGAGTGTGCTAGACCCCAGACAAATCAATCAATGTGTTCGGACGAATGGATGGCTAGGCCAGCGCAACTTACAAACTAGGAAACGAATAAACTGATGAAATTTTTAGAAGCCATAACGATGGTGGAAGGGGCATCAATGAGAGAAAAGATAACGAGGCCAAAACATAAAAATTAATTAAAAAGCAAATACGAAAACGTTTTGAAACTTCAATCAAAGACACGAATGAAAATGAACGTAAAGAAGATCAGAAGAATATCTTTTAATATTCTTGCAAGGGCTAAGATAGGAGGGGTGGGAAAAGGGAGCTGATTTGTATATCGTCAATCCCCTTTTGTCGTATTCATCTTATCCACACTCGCAATATTATCAAATGACTGCATCCTTCAGCGATAGAGAGAGAGGATAGAACGAAGGTGAAACGATAAGAAAGATAAGAATTTGCATGAACGAAATATCTGTTCTGAATGTGATACTGAACGGAAAATTCTCTTAGGTAAAAAATCGATGCAAAAAGATAACACGTAGACGGAAAAAAGTCAATTAGGAATTATAAATACGAATTATAGCTTAGAATATTTAGAAACAGATACGAATCAATTAGACTAACAACTTTCATCAAAATTTTCTTGCGAGGTCGCAATTAAGTCAAATAATAGCCAGTAGCAGAATGGAGAGAGAAAAATCGATAACAGAGGCGTATGAAGCTTGAGAACTAAACGTCCGAACGCGATATATTCAATAAGATGGATAAACATTGTATCGAGAACAGCAAAACATAGAACATGGGGGTGGGCAATACGATTATACATTTTTTCAATAGGGCAAGTTCTTCTAGCCTTTTAAAGCAGAAAAAACGAGGTATCCAAGTGGGGGAGGATAATGAACTTGCGGGAACGAGCAGAGTCAGTCAATCAACCGACCAACCCAACCCAACCCAAGTCATTCATTCAGCCAGTCAGTCAGCCGACTGACGCTCCGGCTGTTGTGGCCTTTCAGCCAATAGTTGCTGTGTGTATGTGTGGATAGAAGAGGAAAGAGTGAGAATGGGAAAGGGAGAGCTGGGACAGGGCAAGGGACAGCCGGCAATCGTCCTTCTAGGCAATTTGCCAAGTAGACAGACAACTAGAGGAAATAGAAGCAGACCAATCGTTATGAGCAGAAGCAGAGTAAAGAAAAGAGCAGAGAACGAAGTGAGCAGAGAAGCCAGGGTGGCAAGACTGAGCTAGCCAGTTAGTGAGAAGAATGATGAAGGAAGGGAGGAAGGAAACAAGACATAGCCCCTTCGTAGTTGAACTGAAAAACGGAAGGCTGTCGTCGTAGGAAAGCGCCAGAGCAGACCAAGAAGACAGAGTAACGACAGACATAGCAGCAGCTGCAGCAGCGACAAATATTTGACATGTGGTGTGGCGGGGAAAAAAGCCGACGTGATAGTGCGTGTGTCAGTCAGGTGAACAGAAACCGAGCATCAAAAAAAGAAGGAGAGAATAGATTTCAGTACAACGAACACAAGTCAGAGATAGATCATCATGGTTTAAAAAATCAAATGAGAGATGCAGAGGTTATATTTCCTCAGCTGCTCAATGTTCACAAGCTCATCATAAATACTTTTTCAATATTTGTAAAAAGGAAGCCAGACAGGAGCAAGGACGGGAAGGGGGGGAGGGGGAAGTGAATTTACTAATAAAACGTTGACAACTAAAATGATAACGATTCGTATATTATAAAAAACACACATCTCCTCGAAAAATGTGATATCAGAAGAATAGCGTGTGAAAGATAAAAAGAGAAAGGATTCTCTTTTCCTTCCTTATCAGATTGAATAAGACCCACAAGCCGGTCAATGGCGCATTAATGCAACATCAGTTTTCTACCACATTTGAATTGACAGAGAAAAAGAGATAGAGAAGGTTGAGAGAAAATGAGGCCTCGATAAAGAGTTTGTGACCTTGGAGACCGGTCAGAGAAGGTCGGTTGACGGAAACATGACGAGTACGCATCGAAATGGGCGGCCACAGTGACAGATTAAGAAAACTTCCGAAACTAACATCATTTGAATGAGCAAATTAAAAATGAACGCGTAAAAACTATTGACTTTAAGTAAACAATGCAACAACGACTGCACGAATGAATAACCAATTATTGCAAAATTCTCAATGAAAGTATGGATCAGAGCAAATAAATGAAAAAACATAAGCCAGATCGATAAGGCCAAGAATACGCAGAAAATGGAAAGAGCGCGGCATAAATAATCAACAGACTAGCTACACTGATAAGAGTAGTTACATGAGTCAAAAATATATGTAGACAGACGATAAAGTGATGACGCGAGAACTGAAAGACACAAAAAACGAAGTTGCCAATAGCTAGACAGAAAAAAAGAGGAACATCGAACAGGGGGAATAATGAGACAAAATATTGAATAAATGCGAGCAGTAAGGATGTGTATACCACTCAATTCTCTCCTCAGTTGTCCTTCTCTTTCTTTATGGTTGGCTCGTGGGAATGGACTGAAATGGGATAGGCTCCAGAACAAACAGACGAGGAAGCCAGTAGGACCAAAGCACATCCCAGTAACAAAACCAGAACCAGTATCAGACAAACAGAGTGAGCAGAACAAAAAAGTGAGAGAGAAGAGATGCGGGAAAATTGGCTGAGTTAATTTTATTCAAAAACAAAGTTGAGGACTTATTAACTAGATAGATGGAAAAAGATGCAGAAAGTAAGAATGTGAAGTAAAGCAGACGAACTGGTTCAATAAAGCATTGACCACTCATATCAAGCAAACAAAAAATTCCATTTATAAGTATAACTGCTGTTTATACATATTTGGAATGCTACATTCATGGTCTATGAATTAATCAACTGAAGACCTACACGAGGGAAATAATACGCGCCAACAGCTCATATCATAAGAGAACGAACAACAAAAGAGGAAATGGACGACTCAGAATATCAATGAGATCAGCTGAATAACAATGACGCGGAAATTGAGCAAATAGACAGCTAAAGGCAGGACATGCACTCTACGCCGAGTGAAAAAATGCTTTTCATTATTCTTTTCCTCTCGTCAATGCTCTCGATTTGTTAAATCGATTGCTTTGACAAACGAAAAGAAACAGAGAAAGGGAGACAACGAAAAAGGATGAAAAACGCGGCTAATCATCTGGCCTCTACAGGGTAACACAATCATACGGAAGGAGAAATAAAAGATCACAGAAAGAAGAGGCGTGACCAACGAAAAACGGCGTAAGAAGAACGAAAAGAAAGAAAGAACTCTAATAGCTCGCCGCTAGGACAGCCACCTCGTCTGATGCAGTGTAAAGACGTTGTAATTGATATGATATAGGCTATCTAAGAGAGAACAGATTAGAAACAAGTGAAATACATATCAGTAGCAGGATAAATAAAGCAAATTGACAGGTTGCTATGATTAAGAGAAAGAGGTGCTTTAAGAAAAAATAAAGCAACTATCCTGAACATCTGAACTGAGGGAGAAACGCAGAACAAGAGATGAATGAAAAGGAGAGAAATGTGAGAAAGAGGGATGAGAAGAGAAAAAGAGGGAGATCGCAGCCGATCTAATCGTGCACAGAAACTTTAATAGAATGCAACAACTATGATGATCTAAAAAAAGAAATGAAATAAGAATGCAACCGTTCTGATCGTCCACAAGGGTACTCGCAAAGTGCAATCATCATAACCGTTCACAGGAACAAAAATTGCAATGAACGCAACCCCTTTCTATAGTGTACGAATGGACACCTACGGAGATGGAAAATTCCCGCGAACTTTAAGAAGAAAACAAGAGGAAAGAGAAAACATCTCATTCATCACAACGCAAATAGAAGCTTCTTTTCATTATCTCCAAAAAATGTTGCACAACTTCGAAACCATTTCCAGTAAGTAACAATGGCCAACTTTCAGAGATTAAGGGAAGCGAAATTCGATTGAAATAACAAACAAGGTAAATTCCATCGGAGTGTATCATTCATTTTGAAAGATAGAGTTCAAAAAAATTATATTTGTTCTAAGAAGAAAAATAACACGAAAAACACATTAAATAGACAAAAATTTGTTTACATTTCCTCCGCTTAGAAACTAATAACTCGAACCAACACCCAATTTTCACTAGCGTGGCTTTCAGTTTAATTGGATCGAAGATTTGAAGCGGAAATTGGATAAATATAAGCCAATGCGCAAGTAAATGAACTGGAATCGCACAAACTCTGACCTCATCAGAAGCTGCTGAAGCCAGCCACAAACATTGCAAAAAAACGCTAACAATCAATAAATAGTATTGTGATTGGAGATGTTTCAAATACATTTGTGTATAGTCTATTATGAACTTCAGGTTTGGCACTAAATTCGGAATTTGAAACTACGAATCAGATCACAGACTGAACAAGAGGGCAAAAGGAGAGAAATGACCAAAGAACGCAAAATAAATTACTCGCGATGACGACAGGCGTTGACTACAACTGGCTGGCAAGTGGAAAGAGGAAACAAGGGGTGGGATAGAAAAGAAGGGAAGAAAGAGAGTTTAAGAGAAGGATGAAATGAAACGAAGAGATGAAGGGAGTATACGAGGACATAGGACGCGTTGCACCCGACAAGTATGAAAAAAAGCAGAGATGATAGAAGTGAACAAGAAAAAGATGACGATTGATGAAGCGCAATTACAAAAAAATGAGAGGCGCAGTTTGCTTTAAAAAACTGTAACGTTCAAGCAATACATCTCTTCACTCAAACAAGCGAAATCCAAAGAAAAGATGATGTAACTCAATATTATTTAAAAAAAGAATTGCAAACGAAAATCGGCCGATTAGGGAGAGAAAAGGTCAAGAGAGATGAAGATCTTGAACTTTTGTAGAGAAATAGTAAAAAAAACTGTTTGTCTGCATGAAAGCGAGCAAACAAATGTTTTAAGAATCAAACAAGTCGTAAAACTTCAAGTGTTAGAAGTTCTATGGCAAAAAAGGACAAAACCGTATTATCTACGTGTAATATTAAACAAACGCTAAAAGGACATACCTTATCTTCAGTCTCTATACCAAAGCTGGCGATGTGTTTTCTCACCAAATTATCAGCAACTAATACAAGCTTCTTATTCGCAATTTGAGCTTGCTTTCCTTTCACAAGAAGAACACGTCGCTTAAAACTTGCTTCGATGTCCCTTTCGAACTTTGCGGCAGATTCTACGAGCTGTTGTGCTCTTTCGATTTCCCTCTTGAGATATCTATGCTTATCCAATTGGAAGCAATCAAAAGCCTGGAATTAAAGCTGATATTTTGAATGCAATGAAGAAATCAAACCTCGGATAAAAATGAGGGGAATCTCAGATAGTAGACACCTGTTGATAAGTCTACACGTTCCTCTAGTTCATTAGTGGTATTAGGTTCTAATATCACGTTTCTACCGCCCTGCTTGATTTCATACGCACGTTTAGCCACTTCAATACATGCAGCAGTAGAGAGTGCGTTCAGTTGTGTATGTATTCTCAACAGGTAAGCAAAGTAAGTTCGCTTCAGAACAAGATGTTTGATAGCCTGACGAACTTTCTGCAGCCTCTTCTGCTTTCTTAATCCTCTCGTGTTTTTCCTTTCTCTGATTGCCTATAAAGCATAACTTGAATGAGCATCGATGAAATGTTAAAAGGGTAAGAGAACAACAGGCTGTAAGCCTATTTCAGAACGTTCAGTTCAATTATCATGAACCATGCGATTGCGCATCGTCTTCATCATCAAACCGCTATAAATTCAATAGATCTATTTCATCCTCTATCTATCTGTGTATACATGTGCGAGTACGTGGCCAAGCAGGACGATTTCAGCCAAAACCGATTACATACACACGGATACAAAAAAAAGAGAATGAAAGTGTACAGACAAAACATGAAAAGATACGGAGATGACGATGAGATGGCGAAAAATCACAACGCATTCTGTCCTTGACACATTCATAAATAAATCGGAGCGAAAAGTGAAATTTGTTACGAACTAACCCTTTGAATAGAGCACAGTTTCCTTTCATCAAGATATAGCCTTCTCAGTAGTTTCGTCAGATCGCGATTGTTTTTGGTTCTAACAATTCGTTTGTTAATTAATAATCTGTTCCGTTCAATCCGCTTGATCTCGTTCTGTGTCTTACACTTTTGAACTATCCTTCTCAGATGGTGATACGATTTCCAGACAAGTCTCTGAAAAAGTCAAAGGTGTAATGGATGTGTTCAGGTAATAAATCATTTTTATAGCAATGATCAGACAGGAAGAGTTGTATATAAAAAAAGATTTCTCTCTATTGTCATTCATGACATTCAAATGTTTTCCCGCTTGACGAAAAAATGCGATGACCAAATGTACTGCCAATGTATCGAAAAATAAATCCGTCAAACGTGTTTATATTCCCATCATGACTAGCAAAAAATGGGATAGGATGGAAAAGGAACAAGAACGAGATCAGCGGGATTCCCTCTCCAATGATACCTTTGCTGTAACAGAACCACCGGTCTGTCGGACAAAAGATGCAATCATCACGCCCACAAGAGACAGATGGAAAAAACCACGATTAAGGACAGCTGGTGCAAAAACGAGAGGAAATGTGATGAGTGGTTTAAAAGAATCAGAAGAGCGCAAAGTCAGGATAAGACGATGATGAAGAAAGAACATATGGCTCAAAGGGAAACAATGCGGCTAAACAAAAAAGTGTCATGTACGCTAACTTTCAGAGAGAAAAAAAAGAGGAGAAACACGAGTGGTCAGCGTTTGTTGCTTCTCTGGACTTCCCATGATGAACGATTACTAGTCCTTAAGAAAATGGAGTCTTCAAATGATATATAGATGGAGAGGAAGACAAGTTTATGAAAGAATGATAAATCATTCAAAAAGAGCAACCGCCCCCATCCGATCTCCCACAATAAATGAAATTCGTTTGGCATCCATCAATAGGATATACACGTGCAACTCAAACAAGATTCGAGGGATCGGTTGCAAAGAGAATTAATGAATGAGTAGATCCTCAAGATTTTAGCAAATTGTCAAGGACAGTAAGTAAGTATGAATGAAACCATCTGTTGGAAAAGGAGAACTATTAGAAGGCATATGAGTCGTCGCATACAGTTAGCGCAACAAAAAAACAGTACAAATATTGAGAAGAAACTTAACAAGAAAAAGAAACTATGCGTGAGAAGAGGGAAAAAAAGAAGAAAAGCAATTTTGTTTGAATAAGTGATGCAAATACAGAAGAAACGGCAACTGAGTAACTTTCAGAATCACATGTTGAGGGACACGATAAGAAAATATGAAGCGAGCAGATCGTAATATGAAGTATGTACTAACCCGAATACGTTCCAATATTACAGATAAGCGATAATCCAAGTTTTCCTCCATTTCGTCCATATCTTCCTCAGGAGTACATTCCAACAAATCCTTCTGAGCTTTAGTAAATCGCTAAAAACCAGAATATGAAAAAATAAAAACATGAAATGTACGTCGCAATCTTGAGCTGTAGTGAAGAGAACCAAGGAATAGTCATCAATAATCAACTCATCGGAGAAACTAAGACCAACTTTTGAGCCCATCTTAATTGATTTAACAAAAATTAGAAACATGACAAGGTTCTTACTCTTTCCATTGAAGTTATGCCTGGTAAGTCCCTCTTAACTTTCTCATCCTCTGCTCGCTTTTTATTCACTACAACTTGAATCCTTCTCCAAACTTCTCTCAGGTATTTCTAAAGCAACAGAGCTTGTTAAAGATCTTTTCATAGTTATAACATACTTTGTTGTCTTGCAGTGAAGGATTAGTAACACCAGCTAGACACAGTTCGCGTACTTCCTAAAAAATCAAAGTGAATAAGTACAATAAACGAATTTAGACTTCCTTACCTTACTCATCACAGCCTGTACGAAATAATCATCGGTAGTCAAAATATCTGGATATGTGAAAGGTTGAGATCTATAGTATCCTATTGTGTTCTTCTCATTGGCAATCCGGAGATCTTCTTCAGTAGGCTCTTTGTTCTCGTCTCTTGACTCTTCATCAGATTTTAATGCACTGATGACTTTCTCGAACAACTTCATATACAACTCTGTCTTTGTTCGGCGTGCGTTAATTCCAGTCTCAAACTTGATCGCTGACCTAATGGCAGCTATTTGTTTCTGCAGGAATGTAATATTGTTGGCAAGTTGATACTTTTTCCTGAGTAGCTGCGCCAATTCATGATCATGATTGTACTCTTCAGAACACAAAAAGAATCCGTTGCTGGAGAACTCAGCGTCATCTAATGTCATGCGAGCCAGAATTAAGAGACTTGCCTTTCTTCTTCTAGGATTAACAAGCATTACCTTCTTCTTGGTTTCTGTATGTCGTAAGCCTTTGAGTAAGAAACGGAGGTTACGCTCGTGAGTGTCTTCAGTCAAACTTCTCACGGTACTACCGTCGCTGTCTTCACCGTCAATATCTTTGGTGTTTTGATTTTCTTGCATTGCGCTCTCAAGTACATTTCCATCACTTCCGATTTGGGCACACTGATCTTCCTTGACTACTTCCTTTTCATCCTGATCCATTTTTTCCTCTTGGACATCATCGGGAAGAATCAGATCAACTATACTCGTACCCTTCTTCACGCCATCAATCGCCGCTTCTGTTCCATCGGATATCTTATCTTCATCTTCTTCAAGCTTGATCGCAATCGCAGACTGGACAGAACTTTGATCGTTGTTTTCAAGAGTTGATTGTACAGCAATGTCATCTGCTTCTTCCTTTTTCAAAGGTTTCTCGGCAGAACCAGATGTTACTTTAGTTCGTTTTCTACTCTTCATCTTCCGCGATTCTGGCACAGTATCTTTGTTATCCGAGATGGTGACACGTCGAGGTTTTTTAACTTTTTCAGTCCTTGTGGCAGCTCTTTCGTTCCGTCGTGCTTTGACTTTTTCCCAGTCATCATCAACCGTTTGAGGTACATTAGCCTCCTTCTGTTCATTCCTTCTTTCTATTCGATTATCTCTAGCTCGGTTTAAAAGCAGCTTTGTGAAACCGTCTTTTTGGCTTTGAAGGTGAGACCTCAACAATTCATCTTCACGTTGCAATACTTTCTCGAACTTCTTAAATTCCCGCTCTTGAACTTTTTCCAGGAACTTGAGGTCTTCCCGGTATTGCCAGGTGATCAGTGCAAAATCTCTATCTTGTTGAGAAAGATTTGGGAACTGTGCTATAATCTTATCAACCTTTCTCTTTCGTTGAGCATTCACTAAACTAACTTCCTTCAAGTAGCGCTGATAATTATTCTTGAGAAACTGTCTTCTTTTCATTACAGCTTCCTTCAGTTCTTCATCTACTAATGATTCCTTTTCTTCAAATTCGAAATTGAGAACTTCTGAAGCCTTCACAAATTGATACACAGTCACAAAATCTTCATCCTCCAAATCAGAACCATCACAGAGCTCGGTTTTCCTATCTTTCACGGCGGAAATCACAGTCTGATCCAGAAGGTGTGAAACAACTTCTCGAACTATCTTCTCGGTGTTTTCAGGACGTGGAATACGTTTCTTTCCTTTTGCTTTCTTTTTAGATACTTTCTTCTTCGGAATGTTCTTGGAATCGTCAATACTGTTCACATCATTTATAGCGTCAAGAACACGCTTCTTCTCCAACTTTTGATCTTTCATGACATGCTTCTTCTCTATCCGATTTTTCTTCGATTTCTTGACCGGAATCCTCCTCTTAGCTGCTATCTTCTTTTGGTCTTTTTTCGCATGGAGCCTGACTCTTCTGAATCGTCTTCTTCTCAACTTATTGATCTTGGCTAGTTTGGACCTTCTAAGCTGTCTTTTCCTTAAGAACTGTATTTCTCGTAATTTCTGAGAGAGTAATCGGTTCCCCTTTACTTTCTTCAAAAATATTCTGACGCGCCTCATCTTCCTGATCAATGCTCTTGTTCTCTTCCTGCGAGCCAAAAGTCGTTTTTGTCTTCTGTGTTTTCTAACAATCATCCTCTTTTCTACCATTTTTTTAGCTGAAGCTTTGATCCTCCGGACTTTTCCAGCTAGTTGACCACCGGACTTGGCTTTCTTCGCTATTAGAAACATTTTCCTCAGAATCAATCCGACATTACGACGCTTTTTCAAGTGCCCGCATAAAGCTAACTTCCTTCTTCGTCTTCTTCCAATGGCTCGTCTCCGTCTCATGTTTTTAACAAATAGTTCTAACTTGATTCTTCTTGCGATTTTTGGATGATTCCGGTAGATGCTCTTCGCTAACTTCACGATCTGACTCATTTTCTTCTTCAAGACTTTCTGCCGCTTCCTCTGAATGGCTATTTTACGGTTCCTCTTACGTCTGAACGCTACAGCTCGCCTTCGCTTTCTCTTTCTGGAAACACCTTTCACCTGCTCGAAAATTCTTCCCATTTTCAGATCATTTTTCATTCCATGGATCACAGGCTGCAATTTCTTTATGCTCTGAGCAAGTCGTCGAATCGTTCTTAATTTTTTAGTCAATTGTTTCCTTTTCTCGATTTTGATAGCTGATTTCCTGGCACGACTTTTCGTCTTTCCTTTTGCTTCGCGTGCTGGAATAATATCGAGCTGTTTGGCTAGAACTGTGGCTTTGAGAATCTTGCTCGCCAGAGGATGGTTTTTCGGAACAGATTTAGCTAAATCATAGAACTTTCCAAGCTTCGCTTTAAGCTCATCTCTTTCTGTTGGCACCTCGGTTTTCGGGGGGTTCCTTGAATCATTCGTAGGCTCATCTGCTTCCTTGTTGATAGTCGTTCGCTTAGAGCTCTTGCTTCGAGCTTTCCTGATCTTCTTTGGCTTGCCTGATTCGCATTCGTTAAGAGAATTGTTCTTTTTCTCGACGTTAACAGTAGGTAGTTTTTCATTAGTTTTCCTACTTTTCTTGCTTTTCTTCGATTTGGAGGAAATTTTCTTCTGATCTTTGCATCCTTCCGACTTTGATCTCTGTGTAGTTTTTGGAGTTTTAATAGATTTCTCACACAGGCGCTGCTCTGACTGGGTTCTCCTAGTACCGCTTTTCAAGCGTTTAGTATCTAATTCAGCGGATCTGGGTTTCTGACGCCTCTTGAGTTTGTCTTCAGCAGTCAGTTTTTTGGTAGACCTGGATCTTTTTTTGGAACGGCGAGAACTTTCAGGTTTGGAAGATGGTTTAACAGCATTCGCGAGCTTGGAACGAGGCTTTCGCTCAGTAGGGTTGACCGACTCGGATTTACGTTTCCGGGAATGACTGAAAGCTCGTCTTTTGTGTTTGACTTCTCGACTACACGACCGGGTTCCTTCTGACCTACTCCTTGTGGGTTTCGCCTTATATCTTCTACTTCCACGGTCAACTTTGCCTGTCAATGATAGTTTAGAGGCGACAAGCTTTTGATATTCATTATTAATCCTATCATTACTTTCTCTATCCTTGCATTTCTTCCGTTTCCTCAGTTTTTCTCCTGTCTGAGGAGGTTCTGCGAGTCTCTTGAGCCTATGCACAATTCTTTTAGTTCTGCTCTTCACTTCTCTTTTCGGCATATTGACTAGTGATCCATAAGTTTTCAATTTTTTAACTCCTAGCTTTCTTCTATACTTCTCCTTGATCAATCTGGCAGCAGCAGCATCTTTAACCTCAAAGAAATCACCTGCGTTTGGTAAAACATGGCGATACTTCCCACGTGATCGATACGTAGACGGTTGATAACTACGGAGCGGTGGGTCTCTGGCTATATTCATTCCTAATGTTCTTCGCAGGAAATTAGCACGTTTCACTCTTCTTAGAGCTTCCGTACACCTTTCATGCGTTTCCATCTTGTTCAGAAGTGCAGAAGGAGTAATTCCTAGTCTATTGAGCATATAATGCGATTCTGGATCCATACAGTTACCAGGGAGCATTAGAACTCCGTCTGCAAAACTTTTAGGAACAAGCACTCGGGTCCCATTCGGCTTCAATGTCTTCATCATGAGGTCTTCCAGCGTCCGTTTAGTTCTAGCAGCATCCAGCTTTTTCTTTAGTAGGAAGAAAAGTCGCCTCGCTCTGTTCTCAGATTTTAGATCCTTTGAATCCGTCTTTCCATTCTTCAGATATGTCTCGAGCCTTCTGCATACACAGCCGCTTTTCTTACAAACATTAGGATTGTCTTTGATCCGTTTAAGATAATCTATTGGAGGTCCTTTCGCTTCTTCCTGTCTTTCCAGCTCCGCAATTTCGTTTTCAAAATTTACCTTAGAGAATATATGCGGATACACCTCGAGTTCTCCTCCGTAAACAAGAGGAGAATTCTTAGATAGGCCAAATGGCTGTTCTGTGGCTAACTTGGGAACCCGCGGCAATTCTGAAAAAAAAACTGTAGAGAGCTTACACTACATTGAGAAAACCTGTATATCTATCTGAGAACGGACATTTCAAATTATGGAGAATGAAAGCTCGTGAATCAGAATCTTCGTCCTCCTTATTCGGAAATGTGTAGCTACTGAATGCGCAGATATTATACATTGCTCACATAAGTTTATTACGTTTTAGCACCTCGGGCAACAGCTCCTCCTCTTCTACGACCACGAGTCGCAAGTCCTCGGCCTCTACCCCTACCTCGACCACGGCCTGGAGCTGATACAAACTCAATAAATACGGTTTAGAAGCTTCTTACTTTTCGACTGATTTTCCTGGGAATCCGTCGGATCATTTAAATCTGCTGTCTCTTCATCCTCAATATTTTGTCTAAAAACGGAACTTAAGGCAATAGCGTGACTCTAGCTTACTGTAAATCGTTGTCATCTTCCAAATTAACTGTACTGTTTCCGGTATTGAAAAAGTTGAGTTCGGCAAGGTCTGAACCAATCCGAGTAGATGTGTTAGGTGCTGTTGGATCAAAAGGGTTATTGTTTCTGGGTTGAAGACTCCTCTGGAATATTTATAATTACAGATAACCACAAAACATGACTTACATTCCAGTTCAATTCCGCAGGAACATCGGTAAATGAACCTCTCATTATAAATGTACAATTTCTTGCATTACAGTTTTAAAAACCTTAAATGAGAAACAAATTCAAAAGCAACTGAACAACACGTAATCAACATACACGTCATTAAACATGAGAAAAGCGGAAGAAAAATCTAATCAAATGGAAAAAAAACCAAAATTTAATTTTTCTCTTAGCAGTAGCGGAAGTCTAATAGTTCAATTGATTTATAAAAAAAACAGCGCAAAACTAATCAACATGTAAGAAGGTTAATCGGATATAGTCATCTGCTTTGGTTATCGAACATAGATACGACTTTTCTTGAAAGAGCTTCAAGGAAATTCAGTCATAATTTGGAAACTAGTCATTTGGTACACAATAAAAGAGAAGAATGAGTATTTTGAAATCGAGTATGCGAACGCTAAAACAAACGTCAAGTCCAAAGAGAACACCAAGAAAAAGCTCTTCAACTTTAAAGGAAAAACAGTTATCAAGGGTTATATAACAAGTGTAAAGAGTAAAACAGATAAACAAATTTGTGAGAGAAAAAACTGATAAGGCTTTCAATATAAAAAAATCATAAACCTTTTGAAAATTAAATGAGCGAACACTTTTTCACACACACTCAGGGAGGTTTCGGAGAACGACAGCACATGTGGGAACAGTTGAAAAAAAAACGTAACCAGCAATGTGGAAACAAAAAAAAAAGCAAGATAGCAATCAAGTGATGAATACCACAGAATTAAGCTATGCGCGCGTGGAAGCCAAAGAGAGGTGACTTAAAATTCGAAAAAAAACGAAAAGTTCAAAGGTAGGATGGAAATTCGAAATAAAAAACAAGTCAACTGTTCTACATATTGACAGTATGGAAGATTGATTAACTAAGAAATCAATGACAATGACAAAAGAATTGATTCCATAAAAAAAGATACTTTTGAAAGGTACATCAGAAAATTATGAGTACGCTTTCAAATACACTCATATTAAAATACAAGCACAACAACAGAAGTATGTTAAACGTAAAAAAATGGAGCGAAGCAGCAGGCGCCAATAGAGAACAGCGGGCGATAGGAGAATGCGGCGGTCGGTGCCAAACACTCTGCGTGTCTCTCCTTGTGTCATTCACTCTCTTCAATATCTACTATTTCCACCCGAAACCCACACGAACCGGACCATTATCTTCCATTTCCACTTCTTCCCCGTCTTGGATTTGACTTTGTTAAACAAAATATGAATAATCAAAACAGTTATTGAGTTCGTGTACTCGTAACCTATCAGTTAATTGGAGCATAAGATGATTTTAAGGAACAAAGAAAAAGTCTTAAGATATGCTTACGCGCGTGGTCATACTCCATAAAAACCCGAAGAAAGTGATAATGTTATAGCAGAGAATTATAAAATATAAAAACAGTTCTTAGAAAAATAATAAAAGTCAGATTTATAGACACAAACATATGCTGAATTTCAACTTACAAAAAAAAAAGTTAACAAAAGAATAAACAAATGGTGCAAAAATACAAAAACCAAGAACAGATTTAGAAAAAAAACTCTGTAACGATAATATCATCGAAAACTTTGATACGTTAAATGAATATGGGATGTAGCTGTTTTAGAAGACCCAGTGAATGAAAAGGGAAAGAATAAATAGAGGCAAAGGGCTAGAGAGCAGAGAAATTGAATGAAGAACGAAGAGCGAGGAAGTAGTGAGACGATAGAGAAAAAAAGACTTGGTTGTCCAAGTGGTCTCCCACCCTTCCTAGTCATTGCAGTAACTCTGTCTTCCTCTCAAAGAATGACCATCAAGGCCAATATTTTATTAAAATAATGTTGGCTTGATCCACATGAGGTAACAACATAACTGCAAACTATTTCTAACTTATGCTGCGAAATCTTAAAATTTTTGTCTAGATCTTCGTATACAATGCAACAATGGCCTTGTTCTTCACTACAACTACGTACAGAGAAAGAATGCGTCAGACTAGAAAAAAAATAAAAACTTAATCATATTCATAAGCTTGAGCGTAAGGCGGGACATGATTCACAGAGAAGATCGAAATAAAGCAGCATTTTGACTTTCGATTGATAAACGTTCCGTAGAACACATGAATGAGATCGTAATCATAGATTAATAATAGAGAACAATGAAATTTCAACTTCTTCATAAGCAATGACCTCACTTACAAAATATAGAATATTTGGAATAGACTAGCGCACCAATTTCAGAATAATTAAAGTATTGAAAAGACATGCAGACAACACAGTAACTCATGATAAAGTATAAATAAACTAACGTTGACAGACTGGACAGCTTACAGCATTAGTTACCAACCGAAACACTTTGAGAATTAGTTGAACTGGTGTTAGTTTTCACTGAAATAAAATCAAATTAGAAAAATCATACATAGCACGTTGAACTAAAAAAAGCAACCGATTGTCTTCAATTGAAAACATAAAATGAAAGGCCACGCGCCATTTCACGTAGCGTTTGCGCAATATGCAGATTAGCGTGATGGCAACAAATTGAATACTTTTAAAAATCATTATTTATAAATAGAATTATAAAAAAACAAGTAAACATATCCAATCGTTATGATAATCATAAACACTTTTAAAATATAATACGTGAAATGAAGTTGGCGGGTAATTGTGTGTAATTATCAATAGAGCACGTTTTCGTATTTTCGCTCAAACTTGCGATTGCGATGTCGTCGTCGTCTGACTTTATGTGTTTGTGTATGTTGTGTATCGATTACCTTCGATGTTATTGATTAGAGGTATTTCTTGGTGAGTAACAAAAAGCTAAAAAAACATAAAAGCCTGATATTTATTATTCGCATATAATGAAGATAAATATGTTTTAGCATTATTAAATTGAATCATGAATATGTTATTTTAGGAAAAATACATTTATACATAGCAGTAGTGCAAAAAAAAGGAAGAAAAAAAAGATCCGCAGAAAGATATATGTTAAGGAATGTTTTTCTCGAAGATTGACAAATTTCATATTGAAACAGTTTTGTAAAATGATGTAAATATACTTTTGTGAGATCCAATTTAACGACTATGCAATGCGTTTTATAAAAAACAGTTGATTAGATGAAGACGGTTGCTTTGACTGGCGGATCACAAGCTCGGATATCAACAGCAAGATCAGCAAGCAGCTGAAAAAGAATTATGAATGTAATTAACAAGGTAATCTCTTTGATGCTGTCATTTGTTCAGCAAAAATTTTTTTTTTGCAACAAACCTGTGTGAGTGCACGTAACCTATTAGCTGTATTATCAAGTCGTTGTGTTATCATCTTGTTCATTAATGATATATCGTAACAAATGTCATTTTCCTGAAATGCAAAGTTCGTTAGATCAGAAGTCATTTAGATGGATGGCTCACTTTCTCGCGAGAGAAGTCTAGAGTATCCGGCTTTACTTCCTCCGTTATTTCATCAATCATATCGTCGTCTACAGAAGTTGAAGAAGAACAGCATGGCACCGTCTAAAAATAATAATATGAATTTTGAATGGAGGAAGTCACGCTCACTTGGGTGTCAGAGGTTTCGGTGGATAAACACTCAAAGCTTCGTTTTGCTTTAGTCCTGAAAGCGAGAAATGGCAGAGATTCTTTGATTGCTTTACAAACCTTTTTTGAGATATTTTCTGGATATTTCCTTTGTTCCCAGACTCACAGTTATAGCAATGATCCAAACAATACAGAACGTTAACAGAGCTGAATTGTAAAAAAATTGAATTTACTTTTGAAATGAGATTGCAGCTTACCCATCAGCTTCATATTCAACATGTACAAAAGCTGTACACGATACAACATTAATTCGATCATATTGACGCCTGCCATTGAAAGCTGAGACGAGGCGTCGACGTTTTAGAAGAGGTGAATCTCGTTGGCGACACAACAGGTAGTATTCCTAGAAATAATCGTATAATCATGACAAATATGAGAAAGCAAGCTAACAGATTCATCGGTGGATGCATCAACATCATCGCTGGCGAGAAAGCCGCCGTCGGCACGGGCAATTTCAACGGAACTCAACCAATTCTGAAAAAGAGGAAAAAATGACTTTTGAAGAATAAAAAAAGCTATTTTTACATGGAAACTAGTGTGGTCATCAAACTGCTTCTTATGAATTACAACCGTTAGTTTATGGTCGTTAACGATGTGATGACATAATTGTTCAGGTGATGATAATTCATGATAACGACAGTAAGGACAAAATATGGAGATGTTACCAGCTGACATCTGGAATAAGGTAAAATGAGTAAAATATATATAATATAATATATCATATAGTATGTATAGAGATATACACGACAGAGAGATATACACAAAAGGATTCTCGACATTGAAACACAAGAATCAGTCCAATTGCAATGGATTATGAGAGTAGGAGAGTAGACAACAACAAAAAAAAATGTGATCCAATCGAAGTATTTGGCGAAAAACAAAATAGAATAGGTTGCTATGTTAATAAAGGAGTGAAAAAAAAGGAGAAAAAAAAGATTTTTGCTGCTGCTGCAAAGAGGTAGAATGTTGGAGAAATTGAAAAGTCTTTCTTCGCATAACGATTTTTAAGGAAGACTGATGAAGATGATGATGATAGAGAGAGAAAGAGAGAGAGAAAGAGAGAGAGAGAGCGCTTGTGAGAGAATGAGAATAACAAGCTTTTAAGATAAATACTTAATGACATGTGATGAGATATGACTTATTTATAAAAAATATTTTCTTTTCGTCAATGAATTTGCAATAAAAGGAAACGTTCGGCTGCTAATGAGTCTGGATGTTGGCAGTTTGTGCCCATCACATAAAAAGGAAATTATGCTTTGATTGTTCCAATGTCTGGTCACACACACACAGACACATACACACATATATGGCAATTGGCAGCTTCGTTGCTGCTTGCATCTAGGCAAAGGATCAGGATATTGAAGTATCTCCACCAATTTATGACTTTGTTGAAGATGAAAAAGCTGAACCAAGTATATTTAGATGACTGGCATAGAGAGTAAGATGACGAATGAAAGAGAGTTGAAGAGAAAAAGAAAGTTAGAGAGAGAGAGAGAGAAAGAGATTCAACCATTCTGGCCGTCTCTACAGAAATGAAAGGAAGAAGAGAAGATAGTTGAAGTATACTTTGATCATGAAAGAAGCTTGACATGTTATTAAGTATGAAATGGGAAAGTCACGGCAAGTACATGACAGAAAGCAATGAAGGAAAGAGAAAGAAGACGACAACGGTCGAACCAAGAATAAAGGTTATCTCTTTATCCCTCTACCTCCCCTCTTCTTCCATACTTGGAAATGAAGGTTATATTCGAATAGCTAATAAGACACAAGAGAAAACATATGTCAAATCTAATGGATTAACGGTTAGATGATCGAATATCATTGACGATTCTCGAAATAAAAATGGAAAAGAAGAAAAGCGGGCTGAATGACTGCAAAAAGATGTTGTGTAAAAGGACTGAATTTCTCATTTCAAACGTCACTTTCCTTATTTGGCAAATGACAATTCATCAACAAAATATGCTTAAATCAATCAATTATTATATATATCATATAATCATCAATAATACAATGGATATGATGGAGGCTAATGTCAGATGATACCAATGCAGAAGCTGCGACAAAAAAAATGCTCAAAAATGATTGGAATTTCATGGAATTAATTAAACAAAAGCTTAAATTATTGCAAAAGTTCTGTGATTGTGTAAGATCTCACAGAGTTTCGAAACAAAGGAACACGTGAGAGAGGGTGAGAGGGACAGAAAGAAAGATAGAGAGAGAGAGAGAGAGAGAGAGAGAGAGAGAGAGAGAGAGAGAGAGAGAGAGAGAGAGAGGGAGGGAATGATGATGAGACAGAATATGCGAATGAGACTGAGAGTTAGAGAGATAGAGAGACGTACATGAATGACGAAAAATCATATCGCAAGCGAGAAGCTTTATGGAAGTTATGATCGACTTCTTCGATCTTCATCGTCGCCTTCTTTTGACGTCGTTTTTAGCAATTTCTCTCCAATTTCACATTCTGTTTTCATAACATTTTTCTCGCAATCTTCTCAACTATTTTTTGTTCGCATCCATCGTCTCTTCGTCGTCTACGTCTTCGTCTTCGCCGTCGTCGTCGTTTTCTTCACCCAAAAAAAGTCAGAAACAAAAGTATTTACAACAATAACAACATGACAATGCAAGTAAACTATTCGTAGACGTTTGCAAGTGAACAGAATGATCTGTAATTTGTTTATAAGAAAACGACAGTATTAAGGGCTTTTCTTCATCTTTGACATTCAAACTTCTTCTTCCTCTTCTCTCTCTCTCTCTCTACCACCCCTCCAAAGTTTAGAAGTGAAAGCTCAAATGGAAAGTGCACAAGTTCTCATATCATACTTGCAAAATGTGAATACTCAAACAGAGTATCACAAGAGGATGGAGATACAACGAATGAACGGAAGACAATTACTTATTCAATCTAATTAAAAAAGAGTTCGGCTGCATATCCATAGAAAACGAAAAATCGAACGAATATCACATTTGGTCTATTTGAAACATATGCTTCTCTTTCCCTGACAGAGCTTGGAGTTGCACAAGTTGGAAGAAGATAAAGAAATGAAAACATCAATTCTCAAAGTTCTAAGTGATAAGAATGATTTCTTTCTGCAAAAAAGATATTTCCCCTTTGATAAACTTGTGAGATAACGTTAAAACACAGGTCATTCCTATCTTTAAGAGAGACAAAGAGACAGAGAGGGAGGATGGTGGGCAAGAAGAAGAAGAAGAAGAAGAAGAGTGGCTGCAAGATAGAGATTCATAGAGAGGTGGAGACTGATAGCTAGAGACTATGAGAGACTTACATTATAATCGAAACAACTTTCATTATCGACACAAAAAGTAAAAATACATTTTTCACTCAAGTACAAACGTCTCTCTTCAACTTGCTTAATTAAAAGAACAAAAAAGTTTGAAAGAAGAAAAAACGAATTTTTTTGGTTCAAAAAATTCGATCTATAATTAGCTTCGGAAGCATCTAAGCATCCCAGCTAATTTTCGATTGAATTGGTGACCGGTGAGAGTTGCAAGTCAAAAACCATTTGGATAAACAACTCATTGAATCTTATCAATCAAAATTTACAAAATTGCCAGACAATATATTCTTTCTTTTCTTCTCATTCAATACATTTTTCCCAAAATATCAAACCAAACGAAGAAATAGAATGGAAAGGACAATACAAAGCTATAAAGAGAGAGAGAGAGAGAAGAGAGAGGGAGAGAGAGAGAGAAGGGAGGGTGGATGAAAAGAGAGAGAGACGCTAAGAGATAGATATTGAAACACAAAAAAAGAAAGTGTTAAGCATTTACGGCAAAATTCGTTGAATGAAAGCAAATAGCTAAATTCGTCAGTCAGGCTAGTCATTCAGTCAATTAAAAGACGAATGACAAGCCCATCAAATGGCCCACAAAAGACCAACACATTTCAATTTATTCCATCTTCTTTCTTAATTTGTAACAATCAAGATATGGTGGAGGTAAAGACAACAGTTGTAATATATATTAATTTTGAACTTATACGAGAGAGAGAGATCGAAACATGTATATGAATGTTCATAAATGGTCAATGAACAGGACAGAGTCATGTGCTGCTGAATTGGTTGATGTCAAAAAATGTTTTGTCAAATAACAACCGTTTAGGCTGTATGCATGTACTTGTATGTAAAAATGAACACGTTCACGTGCTTTTTTTCACGTGAAATTTAAAACGAAGGCGTCATTAGGTCTGGTGTGGGCGATGAATGATATCAGTTGAAATGAGATATTTAACTAGTTGAACAATATCGAATATAAATTTCAGCTACGAGACAATGCTTCAGCTTCAATAGAAAGAATGATAGAAAGAGAAAGAGAAAGAGAGAGATGTTTTCTATGCAGTAAGGGAATGAGAGAGTAGAGAGAAAGAAAGAGGAACATAAAAAGAGAGGAAGGGAGGGTGCAAGAGAGGGTGATGGAGATGAGGGAAAAAGGTCAGATTTGAAGGAAAGTTCGTTCCTAGCAAATAGTTCGAACTAATATCTTTCTATATATTTTTTTTTGAATAAAATTGAATATAATAGTACATGAATGTATTTTAAAACGGGCACTTGTGCATATGTTTCTTTGCCTCTGAATCGTTTCGTTGCGTTTGAAGAAAAAAGAAATCGAGCAAGCGGAAAAGCTGAGTGAAAGAGAAGAACCATTCTCAAGAAAGCAACAAGTGTTAGAAGCAAGACTGACGACGGCAACGACGACGACGACGTAGCCGTTTCCAAAAGTACAGGAGAATAGAAATTAGAATCTTGATATTAAACAAGTATAGTATAGATTAACTATATGATATAACTATTATGATCGAAACTGAAACAATAAGATTGGGCTGCAAACAAATTACGATAACATCATTAAGAGGTTTTTTTCCACGAAAACTTGGAAAGCTTGTGCCTGTGGGTGTAAAGCAGAATCAATAAATGTATTCCAAATACCTTTTCATCAAAAAAAATCATTGATGGAAGTGAAAAAGAAAGAACGAAATACTCAAAACAAGCCCAACGAATTTCCTGGGAAAGTTAGTCTTCAAAGAGTAAAAGCTTAGAAGGACAGAATGAGAGAAAGGAAAAGAGAGAGAGTAAAACAAGAAAACAACCGATCTGCACGAATGAAAATGAAACGCAATGACGTAAACCACGTAGTTCACGTGAAATATCAATCAGAGATGATTTGGAACAATATGGATGATGATGATGAATGAAATTTGAAAGAAGAAAGGATGAGTAAGTAAAAAGGAAGTTGAAGAGAAATGTGTTGCCGAAGGATAAAAAAAGAGAAGGAAAAGTGGAATGCTGTCAAAAGCAGAGAGTGCAAGATATGTAAGACAACTATGCATACTGATGATGCTGCTTCCACAATGATTTTGCAAAAGCAGCAACAACGTCTTCTTAACGAAAAGAAGCTGAGGAAGGAGAAGAAAAAAAGGCTGTAGAATTGAAGAAAGAACAGAGAGGGAGAGAGAGAAGAGAGAGAGAGAAAAAGGGTGGCCGAAGGAGTGAGTGCGAGACGAAAAGCCATTCCGTCTTCATGCGTCTTTACGTATTTCAATATTATGGCCATTTTTGAAACTAACATGATACTCTTCGTATGAATTTTATGAAAAGCTCACCAAAAATTGAATAATAGGCGGAACTTAGAAGTTCCTACATTGAAGAAGCAAAAGTCGAACTGTACTTTAGGCATAGATCGTTTCCCATTTGGAGTAAAAGCACAAAACGCAAGAGAGAGAGAGAGAGATTTCAAACCTTTTACTTTTCCAATTTTCTTGTTTCTTCATTCTCTCCCTCAGTCTCTCTGTCTGTGTTCTTTTTATTTATTATGAAATACAGCCGTTTTCAACAATCTTCGAAGCCTCATAGAACAAGAAGAGATAGAGAGAGAGAGTGAGAGGGAGAGAAGAAAACTGAAAAACTCACAGATCTGATATAATACTTTCTTATACTTTCTTTTTCTTCATGCAAAAAAAAGGAGCAAGAAGAAAAAAAATTTAAAAACTATACTTGGCAGGCAGAGCAGCAACTGATCGAATGCGAAATTCAAAAAAGGCAAAGTGGGAAACTGCAAACATTAAAATGCTTAAGATATATGATATATTGCTACTTCAAGGTAATTCAAGTCTCAATTTGAGGGGAAAGGAGTAGAGTAAAGAGGGGTGGAGAAGAAAAAAACTTTTTTTCGTGTCCTCTCCTTATTCTTCTCCTCCTCCCTTCTCTCTTCTCCTTAATCCTTTCTGATATTGGGCAAGTAAAGCAAACTGCAGTCTTTGCATGTAACAACTTTTTTTTATTTTTACTTTCTTCAACAAAAATTTGTTAAAAAAGTCCCGAGAGCTGTCAATATAAATAGTTGTCAAGCACATAAACGGATAGATCACAAACATTAGAGTGAGAATATATATATTTTTTTTAAATGAATGAAGACTAACACAAGGTTTCAACAGCAACTGAGAAATATGAATTGGCGAATGTGGAATGTGGAGAAAAGCTTCTGAGGATTGTAGAACGTTGACAAAATGAGAAAAGGTAGAAAGTAAGAAGAGATAGAATGATAGGAGTGGAGAAGGAGAGGGGGTGGTGGAAGAGAGGGAGAAAAATGGAGGGATAGGAATGAATAGAACAGTATGAGAGAGGAAGTGTGAGAGGTAGCTGAGAAAGAAGTTCACCAGTTGATATGATATAAGGAAGAAATAATTGTGTCGCAGATATGAATACTGCCTTGATTAAATTCTTAAAAATAATTCTCAACGAATGAGGAATGATGAAAAATTGATAAAATAGCTTTGCAAAGATGATAAAAATACAAATATAAAGCATATGCTATGTTCCGGTTAAGAATCATCATGGTGCTTGACGAAGAGAAGAGAGCAGCAGTAACCGAAACTGTTCAATGGAAACTCAATGAATTGTAGTTTTTATAAAAGCAAGTGGTCCTGATTATTCAGATTGTGGTAACCGATGACAACGATAGCATAGTGGCTGAACAAACAGCTAGAAAATGAAAGCTAATTATGGCTTTTGTTTATGAAACGAAAAAAGAAATACAGCATAATGAGAGTGCGAAAATAATGAGAGAGAAAGAAGAGGGAAATAGACGAAAGGATACTATAAGAGGGTAAGATAGAGGGACAAAGAACATGTACAAGTTGAAGAGGAAAACGGAAGAAAATGAAAGATAAAAATGTAACCGTTCACAATATTTCTGGACAAAGTGCTTAAGAATCGAGTACATAAGGTGATGAACGTAAGCCGGGAGTTTCGGGCTTAGATTGCAAAAACGTATTCAAAGAAAACTTGAGAGAGAGTTGTTGTAATCCAAATAGCTTTGGAAGGAAGGTTTGGCAGATTCAAATTGATGGCTGAAGCTACTAAGTTCGCAAACTATTATGTAAACAAAAAAGGAAACGAAAACACAATTATATAGCGGATCACAAGAAGCTGCACACAAAATGTCAATTTCATCCCGCACTGATAGACGTCAATTAGTGTTTTTGAACTTTTATCTGCAACACTACAATTACAAAGCTATGTTCCAATTGAAGCAACGAAAATGTCCATAAATGAGACAGATTATGGGAATCGAAACGAAAAACATGAGAGAGCAAGAGAAAGAAGCTGAAGGAAACACCGACATTAGACAGCAAGCTAATGGAAAAAAGGACGCACTAAGAACTACAGAAGTTGAGATGGAACGAACGCCGAGGGGGAAGTAAATCAGGCGACATACACACATATACACAAGAAAGCTTTTGGCCAACCAAAAATGAGTCTAAAGGTATAGAGAGTATATGCATGTTGAGCTAAAACTGAACGAACAGAGAATGTGAATGAGAGGAAGCAATGAGTGGATTCTGTGAATTGTTGCATAAAAGGTAAAAGATACCAGAAGAAAGTTCATTACAATTTGGCGCGAGTTGCAATATTTGGATGGATAAACTTCATATCGCAAAGATTTTGGCGCATTTTTTTCTTTTTTTTTCTTTTATTTTATTTTAGCATAAATTCTGCAGGGAATGCTCATAAACCAGCAACTTCACAACATGAAGTGAAGATAAATAAGAAAAACAATGAAAAGGCGGCTGAAGACAGTATATCAAGATATAACATAACACTCAATTACATAGGAGCGTCAATGTGAAATGGATGAGAGAGCAATAGCAAATCACTACTTTGAGCTATGAAAATTGAAAGGGAAGTCGCTCAATTTGCCTTAATAACTGGAATTTTGAATATTGAACAAAATAACAGAAAATAATCCTTGAGGCAATTCACAAATGGCAGAGTATATAAAAATTCTTGAACGATTAACGAATGCGATATGAAATGAGATGAAGAGAAGAGAAGGCGATATTGGATTTGCAGCCGCAGCAGCAACATCAGCAGCAGCATCAGTGCTATATGTACAGCTATCAGTTTAATTTAACATTTCTACAACAAATCAAACATATTTCATCCCAAAAATACTTGATCAATCTGCTAAAAAGAGCTGCAGAATCGAGGAAAATTGAAAAAGTCTTCTCTGCACACACGCAAAAAGAAAGAACGACGACGCAGGCACGACAGAGTGAGAAACGAAAGACAGACAGAGAAATGGGGAAGAGAGAACAATCAAAAGGAGAAAAGATGATGAGATAGAAACACAGACAACAGATGAAGAAAGCTGCAACTGCATGGGTGCACCAATCGAGTTCATAGGAACCTGGTGTAGATAAGTGAAAAACGGAATGCTTAAAGCTACAAGCTTTGCAAACGACTTTTACGTGATCATTGACCAGATCAGTGATTTCTACCTAATGAGTAATGAAACAAGTTTCTATTACATATACAAATACAACAAGCAAGCCTGACTTAATTACGTGGGCTTGATATAATTGAAGCTTCAATTATAGCTGCAGAATGCAATCAACATATTGACAAAATATGAATTGGAAATCCATCAGTAGTTTCTCAGATTATATACAGCTTCTTTGAGCTTCAATAACAAATTACTTCTAATAAATTCGAGAGGAAGACAAGATCTGCCAGGAAAGAGCAGCAGCATGAAGGCGAAAAAGGAAATGAAGCACCTGCCAAAACATTCATTTTCATTTCCATTCAAATAAAAATATAGAAGGTGGATGAGAGAGAGAAAAAAAAATGTAAAAACTGAAACAATATCCATTCGAGCTTATCATATTGTCTGGCAATTCGAATTTCACGAAAATAAATGGTGGCAGTCATATAATAAGCTTACATCTTCGATTTCACATTAAAATGTACATGCAAGATAGATAATAGGAGGTTAGATGAACGGACAATCATTGTCAAATGATGGATTGTATGAAAAACAATTCGTATTTATCACATTTCCATAGAATCACAAGGTAAGAAACGCGCATTAGTCATCAATATCAATGAGAGAATTGGAAATGAAAAAAGCGTATGAAACCAGGATTCAAAAAAGTCCCGGCAGCTGACACTTGCAAATAGCTAATAATGTATGATTTCGACACTGCCATTATAAGAAATTTATGAGCTAAGTGAGAGCTAATTAACCAAAACGTTTTTTTTCTTCTCTTTTTTTGAAATTGGAAATGGCTTCTATGATTAAAAACTTCAATTCAGATAGCAGAAGAAGAAGAAGAACAAGGAGATGACGGGATATATAGCAGGACGCTGAAAGAGATAAACGAATGTTATCAAAACAAAACATTATACATTATAAGATATTAACACGAATGAGAATGAGAAATGTAGAACAGAAATATACGAAGAGCAACCGTTCACTAACAAGCCGCTAAACTTGAATGATTTCAATGAGTACGCGGAAAAGCCACGTGAGTGGACGCACGTGGCGTCCGTGTGATACGTCACTTTACGTAAGCAAATGTATTTCAAAAACTGCTAAGCCAGCATAGATATTGCTAGGCAAGTAGTTTTTACGAGATTATATTGCAAAACTGAAGTATATTAATAGTATGACAAAGAATAACAATTTTCGTCCGTTAAAAAGACATTGCTTCACGTTTTTCGAAACGCCGAAATGAAAAAAAAAAGTTTGTAAGTTTGCAAATTATTTTTAACAGAAGATCAATGTTCATATTGAACGTCATTAAGCGAAAAATAGTATAATAAACCGTGAACAACGACAATATTCATCATATTATTGGTTGCATAGATCAATATATAGTTAGAACAAGGGACTCAATTATCATTTTTTCTCTTTCTTCGAGCAATCAATCACACGTAAATCCGTGAAGGGGGAGCTTTGATGTGCTATGCATTGTGTATCTTGCAAAGGTGACAAACAGTTTCTAACCACCAATGAACAATCTGTTTGATTCGTTGTCACAAAAAACATTCAACCGTTTTCTACTGCTGCAATTCACCCAAGAAATCGGGTATAACTGGCCTCGGAATCATCGTACATTACAACTTCAAAACATTAGTGGTGACAGAAGGCTCTAACAATGAGTGGCGCTATAAATCGATTGACTGTCCCCAGGTCAACATACTAAGCTTTTTTTTTAAATAAAACTATTTGTTTTTAATCATTCCCAACACTCAGTCCATTATAAAGTCTCTCCACTGCAGGTAATAACATCAAACCTCAATCTGATCAGCATGAAGTTCATAAAGCAGTTTGCGATCCTACTTATGGTAACCGTTCGTTCAATACTTTTATTCTGCAAAACTTATTTTAGTTCATTGTTACAATCAGTTCAGCATTTCTATTGCCTCCTCCCAACATTAAATTAGGAGAATTGAAGAAGCAGAAACCTCTCGACAGTACACTCAGTAAGAAAAAAACAAAATTTATTGAAATCTCATTCTAAATGTATATAGTTGCCTGTGGAGGCTCATTCTGCCTACCAGAAAACTGCAACGAATATTGCGACCAAAATGGAGAAACTACATTTGAGTGCGAGTAGTAAATATTATTTTGAATAAAATTTTGAAAGTTCGATTAATTATTCTGACAGTAATGGACAGATAACAGTGTTGAAGATCATTCGCTGAGTATTAAAGCTGGCATCATCAATATGATAAGCTAACATGCTGATTATCCGAGAGGATTACTCGGATATCTGATGATACTTTGTAATATGCGTTTTGAGAGCCATTGAGCCTCTGACCATACGATCACAAAACGGACAAACGACATTTCTTGTGCTTAAAAATGGGCAAACTTAAAAAACTGTCTGCAAAACTCACGAATGTTTCTCGGAATGTCTCTTAGCATTGTAATCTCTGGCAAATTCTTTGGAACAACCTATACATGTGTATTTGAACGTCCATTTCTTATCTTGAAAGTTATATTCCTAGTAAATTGAAAACATGAGATACACAAAGGTAAATGAAAGAACATACAATATATAAGTTCATGCTTGCTATGTTTGTTCTCTGAACAAGAAGATCTTTCTGTTGTTGATGAATGGCGTCAATGATATCATCTGAAGAAATATTATTCAAAAAATTAATTTGTTACGTAAAACCAACTGGGACATGTTTTCAAATAGACTTCCAACTCTCTTTGATTACGGATCGAATAGTTGACTTTAACCTTAAGAAGAACTGCAAAGGTAAAACTACTCGTTCGAATTATAAATATGAACCTTGGAGATTCGTTCTCTCTTCCTCTCATGTATACTCATCAGGTTATGCTGTCTTACATGAGTATTGTATTCCTTTCTAGTTTTTGAAACACTAAAAGGATTGTTTTAAAATGCTGAAATCATCACTTACTACGAGCAAAACTCAAAAGTACAAGCTTTATCAATAATTTGGTGGGTCATACATATATGATGCTTTAGGGATTTAGGCGATGGCAACACTTTATCGCAATATGCACATGTTGCAGGCTCTGTAAAAGACTGTATTATTTATTATCGATATACTTTGGACATACGAGGAGTAGGCGGTTGGACTTCGGGAATAGGAACCTGTGGCAGAGTTACAGGTTCTGATGGAACAGGGATATACGGATTAGGAGATGGTGGCACTTCATTAAATACTACAGTTGAAACTTCTTCTTCGAAATTTCTAGTATTTTCAAAAAAAGTGGAGATTGGAGGTAACGGCCTATTCAAATTGAACGAGTATTCATGTGGCAACCAAGAATACGAATCGAAATCATCTGAGGGAAACTCAATCTGAAATTGAGTAATGCAAGCTGATCGAAGCAATGGGTATCTTACACTATTGGAGAATCCATTAACTGGTGAATCTATAAAATTTTCAAATTCAGGTTCTGAAAATTCTGTTGAAAAGTGAAAGAACGAAAAACCTACTTGGCAGATCGAGATCGTCAGGTATGCCTTCATCGAAACAGTCTAGAGACGGATAGCCAGAATCATAGTTAGGCCAGTAATTAGGAAACATTTTAATTTATCAAAATTCTGTAAAACATAAGATCCATATAGATTAATGCAACATGCGAGTCAATTTCATAATCTGTTCAGCTTTATTCAAATTAGAGCTCCGGCTGTTTTACTCATGTACGCAATTATCGATTACAATTACAGCACTGTATGCATGAGAATGTTTATTTCCTGGATAAAGCGATCGGATTCAAATATCACACAATCGAACACGTATGAATTGACTGAGGTACATCAAAGCAATAAACACTTTCAAAACATTTTTAGAAATTTAACAAAACCATAGGTCAAGCCGGCAATGATTCCAGGAACTGCTAATCTGCATAGTAAAGGAGTCCAAGAGCTATTCAACTTCCTTATCAGCTCCTCGACCTGAAATGAAATGTCTGAGAAAATTCCTTGAAATATCTCAATACTTGTTCTCTCAGCTCCTCTTTACTCCCGTTGTTATCTAACACGATTGTTGCTCGTTTCTTTTTCTCTTCTATGCACATTTGTGAAGCGATCCTAGATTTGGCATCCGCTAGTGTTGATTGATCTCGTTTCATCAGTCTTGTCAGTTCTTTGTCACCATCACTTAATTCGATTGTACTTTGATGAGTTTAGCCTATTCAGATATACCACCAAACAACAATCGTTGTGCCCAGAAACTTATCATATCCAACTTCAAACAAGAGAGGAGTATCCAGTATTACATAACTGGTTGCTATAAATGGAATGATGCGGCGCTGTTGGTGATAAGCAAACTTGTAAAAAAGTAGTATATAAATTGGTAAAACATCCTCCATCGTATAGCTGGGTGAGTTATTCGGTTCAAACGTTTTCTCTGCTGAAATAATATTAACAAATATTTGGTTTTCTTGTAGTTTCATGCTTTGGAATCATAGAAAATCAGTTTTCCTAATTTCTCGCGGATCAGTTCGCCCCCATTTTCATCATCAAAATACTCAGATCCGAATTCTGCTCGCAACTGCTTGTAAGCTGATTCACCAGGCCGCACAACTGGAAGTAGATGGATGTTTACTATTTTCCTTCTTGGATCAGTTTGCTATATTGATGCGTAATGTTATGATAACGTGACGTGTATGACGCCAACCACGTGGTAGTGCGAAAAATAATTCATTTCTGTTGATGCAGAGAACGAGACTGGTTGCATAATACTATACGCGAACGACCGGTTGCTCTCCGGTTTCAAGAAGTTTCAATATCTTCGGTATTTGATATGACGTTATGTAAAAAAAAACAACCTTCACGAGCTATAAGATCCGCATCAATCACTGGAATTGAATGTTCCTGAAAAATTTGAGAAACTGTTGTTTTCCCTGTGGCTACTCCGCCTGTCAGACCGTATACGACCATAGCTGAATATTGAGAAACTGAGAACGGTAACAGATGCAAGATTATTGAAACATAAGGAAACAGGAAGTTAAAAACAGGCAGAACGCCATTTTTGCAGATTATTTCTTGATATACCAAACTACATAAAACTTTGTTCTGCATCAACCGGTCCTTACCAACTGACTAACAATAACATTGCTAGACTAGTTGTAAAATAAAGCAATATTAGAAAACATTTAAGTACATTTTACGCAGGATACTTTCGTCCGATTGAAGTTATAAATTAGGCTGGGTGGATGAATTCCATGGAGCGCGCTTTGGCAACAGTATGTCTCGGGTAATCTTCATTCAAATATTGGTACTGAATACCTTATGCAGTAAAACAAGAAAATATGGTTTTAAATTTTTATTAGAACGTAGTTAAACCTTGAGTTCATTCTACGCGTTAATATGGAGGACAACAATGAAAAAAATATTTAAGTGTTGCAGATTTGGGATAATATTAGCATATGATTTCGTTTTATGACATAACACACTTTGAACAACAAACAAGAAAAAGGAAAAGAATCATTTTGATACTTACAGATAGTAGAAAAAGAGAGTACAAACACTATAGGCTATGGTCGAGAAATTGTGGAGGAAGAGTTATTAGCTATGAGAATGATGTTATGGAAATAGATGACAACCCTTTGGACGATAGCATCGAAAATCATGAGGAAACATCAGAAGAAAAAAAAATAAACGAAACAGGAAACCAATCCTCCTCAGAGATCTTCGACGATAGGAATAGAAATGCTTCTAAGAAGAGTATCAACCAAAAAATTAGGGTCCAAAGGTAAAAAAATCTGTATCTCAGAAAATTGTTTACAATATCCTTGAGGGTACAGCAAAGGCACACAATATATAGTGGAACATAAATGGAAATGTGAGGTATTTTAAAGAAGGCCGAATTTATAGCATCATACGCTTGGCAATGAACAAAGTCACCTTTAGGGACAATAAAAAAATAAATTTCTCTTTACACATGTGCGCGGCATAGGTAGATAAATTTTGAGAGGTTTGGTGGAAAAGGGAAAATGATTAATATACATCAGTTACTAGTTGGAACACTGGTACATGGTGCATGATACAGACTTGCTTCATAAGGAAAATAACGATCGTTTAACCGCGGCACATTATGAAAACTATTGAAAAAACTAATGAAGGCTTAAGGCAGAGTGGTTCAAGAACTTCACAATCTTCCATAGGATAGGCACCTTGTATCATCAATTATTGGCCAACATTACTTCCTTGCCCAGCACCACCGTTAATAGTTGGCATCAGACTTCCGAAGGAGGACAATAATCCTGCAGCAGAGTTCTGTTGCAACCTTAACTGGCTTTGGGTTACGGCAGCATGTTGTAATAAGATTTGAGCCATGATCGAATCCTGAAGTAACTGATTAAATATATGATTATTTTTGTTAAAAGGCTTACAGTTGGTAACAGCTGGTTACTACTCCTGTTGAACAGCGAGGGATTTAATGAAGCCACTAAAGGACTGTTTAGGTTCAGTGAAGACACTAAGTCATTAATGCTCGCGTTCGACAAAGATGTTGGTGGCTGAGTAGCTTGAGGTGTAGATGGTGTTGAGGAATGATTAGCTGGTACTGATGTTGTTACAGCAGTTGACGCTTGCACGGACGGGATGTTACTAGTGTTTTGCGTCCTGAAATAAGTGGAAGCTAATTTTCATAAACGATTGAATTGTTTACCTCGCGTGCGAAACATGTGTAAAATGGCTAGAAACATTTGAGGGAGGTATTGGATGGGAAGGAGCAGAAGAGTTTGGTATTCCGGAAGCGTTAGCTGCCGCTGCAGCCGCTGCTGCAGCTGCGGCTGCAACTGCTGCTGTTTTCATCCCTCCAGTTGCTAAATTCCTCATTTGACTCATGGAGTCATCTGATATGGAACTTGGCGGAACAGGAATAGGAAGAGAAGCAGATACAGGTGGAGGAGCCGGATGTTGAGCTACTGGGGCTGCCGGAGCAGTAACCTTCGGAGAATGATGCGGACTTACAAGCTAAAATAAAATGAAGTTACAAGCAAATAAAGCTGACAATCTTACCGGTATTTGGGTGTGCTGTGCTAATGAGGTTACTGGCATGCCATGATGAGACATGGGAGTTAAGGTAACGCCAGCAGAAAGAGGGATTTGGAGTCTCGCATTAAGAGCCAACAAATGGTCTCTCCTCCTATTCAGAGCACAGAGTTGTTCTTCTAACCGGATATTCTCTGACTTCAATTGATGCAAACAATTTAATAGTTGAGCTACATCAAACTGAGCCTGAAACAGAAGATTATAGATATCGGATTTCAAAAAAGTATGTACATGAGAAATCAAGAATTGAGATCCTTGCACCCATTGTCTCTCCAACAGTTGTTCCATTGATGACGGTAAAGTGCAAGTTGTTCTAGTTGATGTGGGGCTGGAGCCAAGAGCATGAACACCGGGGGCTCCTGAATGATATTGATTAAGAAGAGTTAACTTGTGGTTATGGGTACCTGGATGACCAAGAGGGACAAATTGATGAGGGTACTGACCAGAAGTCGGCGAAGGGTCGTGGGAAGTGCAAGGGGTAGCCTGTACAACGACACGACGTTCAGCTTCGCTACGAACAGCAGCACGATCTCTTTGGAAATCGGAAACTGTTTCGGAAACAAGAGGCCCAACGGCATCTAATAGAGCCTTCATGTTTTTAGATTGAGTTTGCCGATGATTAGGCCTAGGCCTCTTTGATTTGTCACCTAGGGGATCAGGTTTCAAATCACGTGGACGTTTGTTACCTATAACTAAAGAAAAAAATTCAAGAAAAACTGGGGTAAACAAACCTGGGATAAGCTTAGATGTTAATGGACTAGTGCTATTAAAACCTTCTATCAAAGACTTTTCATCAGAATCGTGTGAGTTGTTTAACCGATTATGATTTTGTCCACCGATAGCTACGTTACCGAAATCATGTAACGACGTGTTAGAGGGACCGTTCGGCACGGGATCTGACATCTCATGCTTGGGCTGAAAATCAATTATGTAACGAAGATTTAGGAAATAAGTAAACTAACCGTGTTACTAGACATAGGAGGTGTAGCATCTAGCACAACAGAAGATCTACTAGAAGTTGTTAGGGGTGGCGAAAAATTGTTAACCAAATGTGCATCGTCCGCTGTTGGTTGTGTTAGACCCAATACCGAAACAACTTGTTCAGATCTGGAAAATTGAAAAATAAACACCGTTTCTCAAACTTGTAACGAAGGAGCGATTGTCCGAAAAGTACAAAAAAAAGGACTTTTAACGATATCAAAAGAATATAATGCTCGGCCCTCGTATTTGAATGTAAGAACTTACCGGGCTATAGGGTCAACTAACATATGACCGCTGCTGTTGCTGCTAGGTGGAGTTGGCTGGCAAATCTCCGGTTTGCTCGAAGGATGAGCACGGATTCGACAGGGAGGAATCCGTTTTATACAGGGATCTAAGGCCTGAAAGCAAAATTCTTTAGTAAAATATCTACGATAAAAAGCCACGATAGGGATAGAGAGAGAGAGAGAGAGAGAGAGAGAGTATGAAACACTAGCGCTACCGATTGTGTTAGCGTTGGCATCTGAAGTGCAACGTGAACGCAACCATAGAATGAGAGGAACAAATAAATGAGAATTCATTTCAAGGTAAAAACTGGCAGTATACAAGTAAGAAAGACAAAACGATATAGATCAAGCGGTTATATTCGAACGAAATGTTCATCTAAGAGATCGATAGACGGAGAAGAAAGAAAAAATGATAAATGTGGATGGGCGATGTTAGATTTGGAGAATCTGTTCATAAAAAATACGAATAAAAACGAAAAGTTGCTTCCCACACTATCGAGAAAAACTAACTGAGGCTAATCGATAGACACGAGATTGGATCATAACGTTTGAGAGATATATTTTAGTGATGAGATCTGACTTAAACTTAAAGAAGATAACGGAACAAACGGATGATTCTAAAGTTAGCTAAGTGAACATTAGAAACATAATAGTTTCACTCATGAAACATCCTCCAAGTTACTAGAACTACTAGAACTGGAGAAGAATGCCTTCACATCTTACGATCTTTTTCGAAAATTCGCATCAAGAATAGGAAAGTCCTTCTCCACTTTCCGCATTCAGCCACCTATTCATTTCATCGATTCAAACAGCGAAAGAAGACATTAAAACGAAATATAGAGACAGTCTTCTAGCACTTCCAACATGGCGACTGAGAAGGTCTTTCGTTTTTATAAACTGAACCCTGACGTTTTTCGTTAAAAGTTTAAAACTAGTAAAACAAATGGAAAGCGATAGTACAAAAACTAAACAAGGAAAATCAATTGCGCAGAGAGGATAGACATACAGTATAGGAGTATCATATGTCTCTTCGAAACGAATATTGAAAAAATAAATAGAAAGAGTGAAATCCTGAAAAAGCTCTCTGGAAATTGTTATATTTTCTGTTTTATGTGAATTTTGGGGCGATAAATATAATGAAACGTCAGCATATCAAGTTCATAATGAGATATGCCGAATACTTCATAACTCAGTATACTAGATGTATATTTCAAATGCAATATGGTCATGAGCTTATCAAAGATTGAAGGACCAAAGTTAGTTTGCTTCGAGAAAATCAATTGGAAAACTAGCACTTGTTATGTTTTATATCTAGGAGCGATAAGGCAAAAACGGAGGTGAAAATGCGAGAACAAGGAAAGAACGCTAACTGGAAATGAAGTGTTATGGCTGACTGCAAGCTGTCTTTGTGTTGCAAATGTACATAGAGGAGCAGTGAGGGTAAAGCAAGGCAGAAATCGATTGTGGGCATTAGTGAGGGGAAGAGATAGAGAGGGACAGAGTAGGAGCGCCACCGCCTCCACGACCTACGACCCCCATTGTTATTACTACACACAAACAGCATACACACATACACATAGAGGATGAAAGGGAAAGAGGAAACTGGAGAGACAAAAGAAAGAGAAGAGAGACGCATCTATTCAGGCAGACTAGACTAGTATGAAGAGATGGACATGGACACGTCGTTTAATCGATCAGGCCGCGCATAGAAACCATGATTCTGGATTGGAGCCAAAGCACCATGAAACAACTAGTAGTTAGTATAATAATTTTACTAAAGGTATAAAATCATGCGAAACTGGATTATATATGTCCAAAAGTATTGACTCATGTTCAATACGGAGCATTATAAATAGAATTCGTTAAAATTAGTGATAATTGTATAGCTGGCAACACTCTTATCTATAAACTAAATGTTACGACACAACATTAGCAACGAGATTATGTATTTGTTAAACTTTTGACTACTTCAACCTAGATTATTCTTTTTAAAATTATCGAGAAAAAAAAGTATGGGCGATGGAGAGAAATTGGCTAGAAAACCCTGCGGAATACGTTAACTATCCAGACCTCGACCCAGACACCTTGCACTCACAATGCTATCTAATATTGATCGAATTCTGCGGAAAAGTCAACAAACGAAATGAGAGAGGTTGATTCTCTCACGAGGAATTCAATCGTTTCAATCAATGATATCATTGCGAAACGCCAACAGAGCGATAAGTTCTGGTTGTTGAGAAAACTAGCGGACAATTCTGACTCACCAGACATATGACCGAACTAGCAGCAGTCGATAGCTACATAACCTAGGAGGAAACGATCATGTGCAGCTGACGCGTAAGCTGCAACGTTATTGAAACTATTTTGGGCCAAATACTAACAGGTTTTTACTGGGGACTTTCACTCAACACACAATGACAACGAACATCAACTAAAACCATCGATCGTTTTTAAGTCATAGCCAGTATAGAAATGTAGAAATGAGTTAAATAGCTCAAAAATCAATAAAATAAAGTGCAGGGTTAACAAGATGTGCATAATAAGAATTGTAAGACGAGAAAACAACAGTCGAAAGCCCAGAACCGACAACAATAGCTTTCAGATCTATTTTCCAAAGATATTCATGCATCAAATATATTTCGAACGACCAAATATCACACAATGTTATAGAGATGGCAAAATCTTCTCGAGAACTGATCAGATAAGTGATTACACACAGTGATGATAGCGTGACAGGCATGAGATAATTTTTTCAAGGACAAACATCCTTTCATTCAGTTGTTACAGCTGGCTAAACGCCAAATGTAGACCCCACAGTCACTTCACTAGCCCGTGTTTTTTAGCTTCGTGTACTCCTAGTATGTGTTGTGAATTTTAGCGATAACGTAAAATGAATCGTAAACTGAACAAGAAGATGCTTATAAGTCAGTAACACAGCAATTGATAAAAAAGATAACTATGAAGTATTGAGCTGGGAATGTAACATATCTAAACAATCAAGATCGAAGGCTGAGCTCGTTGATAACGAAAATCATATCTCAAACGTCGATAATTACGAAGTCCCGGGAAGAATGCTAGGATGTCATTATCACACTTTCGACAGATTATCTCTTACACATAGAACTATCAATATATGAACTAAAGAAATAGAAAATGGTATGTGGTATTCGAGTATTTTGCTCAACTTGATTGTTTTGTATATACATATATACACGTTCTATGCATTGCTTTTCAGCTAGATATCAAACAATGAGAGTATGACGAAAGCGAGAAGTAGACACACAAGCTATGAACAGACAGAACAACGATGCTCTCAGACATACATAACATAGAGCGAACGAAAAGAAGGAGGGGAGCAATTCATGAAAGAAATAGAGAAAGAGAGATAGGCAGAGACTTAGAGGCTCTCAATGGGTTTGTTAGGCTATCGTAGTAGTAGATGAGGAAAGCGACTGGGTGTCCGTCTTGTATCGATCAAAAGCAACGTCGCATAATTCAACATGAGGAACCGCTTGCTCTAATGTATTGCTTTTGGCAAGAATATATATGCATGCGTATCGACTAAAAGCACTCAAATGATGTTTTCAAGAGTGAGTTATGAACCTTCTTCAGCTGATTGTGATTTTTGAGTAGAGAGGATTTGAGCGTGGGGAAAGAACGAGATTGCAATCAGGAAAGGGAAGTTAGATTAGCAGATAGGGTGCGAAACCAGACTCCTTCATTACTAAAGCTCATGCTACTCAATACCTATTCGATTCTTTCTCAAAGAGGTAATCGTCAAGTATGAAAGAGTATTTTCTCATATCAATTTTAAAGAAGCCGTTCTGTTTCAGTTGCTGAGACTATACAACAGCATTTCCTCAAAATAGACTATAAACCCGTCAATAAAGAAAGATATGATGAGAAGATAAGGCAAAACAGTAAGCAACGGTTCAGAGGAAAGTAACAGAAAATAAACAAAAATGATATAACTTACAGCTTTCTTCATGTGATGAGCACAATAACCACAATATTTCACATTCTTTCCGGCACCTCCTTCTTCACATAATAGACCATGCTGCTGGGCGCATGTCACATGAAAGCCTCTCTGAAAAAAGATATGCTCAGTATATATTCTCAAGTTATAGAACTAACCTTGCAACCGGTCTTATTGCAGTACATCGAAGCTCCAATTGCTGCAGCAACGGGGTCCCCAGTTAACTCACAGAGGTAACATGGTTTATTAAACCTTTCAACGGGAATATCAGTCAGAATCACAGGGTCCATACTGTGTACATCACCGAAACGAACTTCGGGTATGTATAAGGCGCAAATAACATGAGCCCATCCTTCGATATTATCATAAAACAATGCATTTAAACATCACATACCATTCTTATTCGTTCGTTTGAGTGCTCCATAACTGAAAGAACATAGCTCACAGCGAGCAGCTTTATTTTCCCCTTCAAAAGATGTTGAAGCTTGGCATTTAGCACAAAGCCATTCCCCTTCTGGCACCACTTGAATACCATAACAACCTTAAATAACATATATGTTTAAGACGTCAAACCATTCGTTAGGCTAAAATCTTATGCGCGCCTAATAATATGGAAATAAGTTTTTCACTACTGACAATATTCATGTCACATGATTTACAAAGAATTCCGAGGTTTTTTTCAAATGTCATACAACACCACGAACCTTGATGAACAGCAACTTCACAGCCGGGACCATCACAATAGATAAGGGGGTTGTCTGCCCATCCATTCTCGTCGGAGCAGACACAACATCCCCCAAGCATTTCTTTCATTTTAGGGAACTGCAAAAACCAAACATATGAAAAAATATCACTACAACTTTGTGTACCTATTGGGTGGAAAATCCGTGTTGGTAGGAAAAAACAGTACAATGTGGAATGATTTTATAGCATAAGCTCATCCCGCACTTTAATCAAACTGTCTTTTGGAAATCACAATGACATAAACGTTTATACTCTCTGGAAAAAGAAAAGATTGAAAAAAATGGAAGTTAATCAAATATGCAAAGAGAAGAACAGTAAGATACGAACACTACACGAAAAAAAGGAATGGAAAACGATAGTTAGAAGAAAATTTCGAAGACACAGAAAGTCGGTCGGCGTCATTTTTTACGCAGGCTGGTATCTAATTAGTACGAGAATCAATATTGACGACAGACTATTGATGAATTGATAAGAAATGAAATGTAGATGGAAAAAAGACAATTGTCGAAGTGACAAGATTGGAGTGGTCAAACCATTAGTTTAAAACGAACACATACAGCCAATCTTGAAGGGCTGAAAATATAAGACGGCGAAGTGAAGCAAAGATATCAATCAATAGTAAAAAGAAAGATAACGATATCTCTGTGGTAATGAAAATTCATGAATTTCTGCAAAAGCCTACAATGACAAACGAAATTTTAAAAAATGCGTACGCGCACACGTTATGTTATAAATATATAAAAAAATTGCTATAGGGTATATAGTAAAAGGAACTAGACCACCAATATGAAAACAAATCAATAGCTATTGCAATAATAGCTTGCAGATGTTCTAAAGAGTAAAGTATAATGGAAAATTTAAAAAGAAGAAAACAAATACAAAAACATAAAAGCTAAAGGATTTTTAAAATGCGCGAAATATGCACAATTAAACAAAACCAACCGATCTAGGACGCTCACTTGGTGAAAAATAAAATTCGATCGATAACACTTGAACGTCACGTCAATTTGACGTGAACACAAAACTTGAAAATAGAGAAGACGATTTATCGATCGAATTCGAAACAACTTCGAATCGAAAAAAAAGTGTTCATCGGTTGTTTCTAATTGACGGGGAAGCATAATAATGTAAAGCAAATTGCATATGCGCTTTATTAGGACACTTGCGACAAGCTAATTAAATGATCTAATACTATTCCCCCACAATTAGCTTAAATAAGTAGGCAGATTAAATGAGAAAACGTATAATTGCTAATAATGCGTAACGGCACATACAGACACATAGTAAAAAAAAGAAAATTAATAACTTCCTACTGATCTTTTCAGTAGTTGGCATTGGAAACTGGATGAGGGCACATAGCACGTGCTACGAAGCGAGAACCGGAGAGTATGAAACAAAAAAAAATGGGGAACAATTGGTTCGGGAAAAAAAGAAAATTCATTTGGAAATTTTTACGGAAAAGGACAAGAAGAAAGGATTGGCTTAGTTTAGGAGAAAAATACGAATAGGTTGTGTATGTATGCTGGTTGGCTGGTTAGTTGGGAGTGGGCTGTTGGTGGGGAGGGGGGGGGAAGAGAAGAGGAACAACATACTCTCTCTCCACACAACCACGAATGCTAAGGGAGGGGTGGGCGTCGAAAATCGATATTAGCGTGGCCTATTGGTGGAGAAGGGTTGTGTGTGCGTATTTTCTCTCTCAATGTTTCTCTCTCATAAATTTTCGGAGACTCTCTTCTCTCTTCCTTTGCACTCTCTTGAAGTAATATGATGTATCGTTGAACATCCTTTATTCTCTGATGTGATGACCCTGTCTACATTGCACTGACTACACACAAGGCCTCAGAATCTTCAATTCTTTCTCTCTCCTCCTCCCTCTTTATCTTTGTCCCTGTGCGGTTTGTGTATAATGGAGTCGAAGGGTAGACTATGTTAGTCTGATTCTGGCCCACTTCCTCTTCCTTTTCCCTTCTCTCTCGTTACGTCTATCCATCTCCTTCTGGCCCAATGTGTCCATTGACCGCGCTCCATATATTGGGGTTGGGGTCTCCTGCTGTTGCTGCTAGTACTAATGCTAGTAGCTGACTAGCTGGCTAGCATTCTCGATTTTCCCGTCTTTTCCCTCCTTTGGTTTCGTTGAATATCTTTCAGTTGTTCGCATCCAGAATGGTCTTTCTAAACGATACTGATGAAAACATGTTGTAAAAGCTTTCAATGAATCTACTCAGCATTTCAATCGAATCAATTTCTAAATCTATCGTTCACCTGAGATTACCTTCTCTTTGTAAGTTTGCTAACATCTCAATTCTATTATTTCTTTGCTGTTCTCAAACTGTTCGTGAACAATACTATGAATGTTCAAAAGATTGTTTCTTATTGATTTAAGAATTCGGCCTAAAATACTTTCCCGTTTTCATTCTCTCCGTTCATGAATAGGCAACGCTAGACAGTAAGAACTAACTGAATGATGTTGAACATAAAAGAGTACATACTGTCAGCTACGTCGTCGAATTCGATAACGACTTGGCTTTAAAGGTAACACGAAGAAGGTCATAGTTTGTTATTCTCTCGAAAGCAATATTGGATCGATTGAAAAGTGACGATTGACTAGCGACGGTCTTCTCAGTTTCTCTAGCTCTCTCTCGTTTTCTCCATAACATTCTGTCTACCATCGATTATCTTCGCTTCTCTACTCCTTCATTTGTTATGTGGCGTCGTAGCCTTTGAATACACCACATATTCTCAATACACACAGGGCCAAGCAGCTACGGTAAACGAGAATTGATCTGTTTGCTCGACATTTCTACGCGAAGGTCACACAACCATTGTCTCTTCACTTCACCGTCTGCGTATGCAAGATGGTACCCGATATACAGCCATGAACATACTATCCATCTTTCGTTGTCACATATTTTTTCTCATGCAAACCCTATAACTTCCTTCTGGTGCTCTAAAAATATTGATTACCATCAGGTTGCTCATTAGTAACTTCTGGTATGAGTACTTCTACTTCCATTTAAGCAGTTGCTTATGACATCTTTAAAACGTGTTGTTCACTCTATAATAGTAGAGGGTCAATACTCTAGATGTATTACTCGTACAAGCTTGATACGCGCTCTTCTTCTTCTTTGTTTATTCCATGTGGTAGTAGCTGGCTAATTGAAAACCAGTAAATTTATGTGACGAAGAACTGATTAGAAGGAATGAAGATCCCATAACAACTTGTAGAAATGTAGATGATGAACACAGGTTGAATAATCGAACAGGTCAAAAGGCTGTTTATGGTCGATGAACATTTATTTTAAGGAAATTCACTTTACAATTTCGTGTGTTAATATGCTTCTTCTTCCTCGAAATATGTGACACTCATTGGACACAATTTTGCGAAATGTTCATCTCCCTAAATTAAAATATTTTGTTTCTAACGGATATTGATCTACTTGAACAGCTAGTGAAACTGACACGAGTTAGAGCATTTACGATGTAGTTAATATCGAGAAAAGAGCACAAACAACTAAAAAAAGTTAGGAAAATATAAAACATATTGCAGCTCTAAGGACATAGATTGGCAGTAGATTGAGTTGTAACTCTTAAAGTATAAAACCATAAGTGAGCAATAAAACGTCCTAATTTGTTAGGATTTAAGTAAAATACATAAGTGACTTAAGCCAAATATGGAGATGAGGAGGATGCGACTAATTTTACTTGCGTACATTAGCCATATGTCCTACTCAAAGATAGAAACAAACGTCATTTAGGAGCGAAAATTATCTTGAGTGGTAAGAGCAAAAGTCGTGTTATAACACTTATGGCAGAAAGGCCGATTATCAACTTCCTTAAACGTTCCTTTCGTTAATTGACGACTACAATATGTACAACGGAAGTGTTCAGGATGATACTTATTTCCAATAGCAGTCACACAACGTCCTGTTATTGGTTGACGGCATTTGATACACAAACTTCCACGTTTTTCGTGATAATGTTGTTCGCAGAGTGGCTGACCAGCATGATCGAAGAACGATCCTCCATCAAATCCAATTCCACAAGTCTAGACAAACAATCAGCAAACGATATTAATTTAAAAAGGACAATCTCCATGGAGAAATGAAACACGGACGTGTTCACCGCAGAAACATGCCAAAAAAACGAATTTAGTATACCTGGCAAACGAAGCAGTCAGGATGCCAATGCGTTCCAAGAGCTGAGATGAAGTTTGCGGTTATGGATTGCTGACATCCATTACATCGTGGAGCGAAAAGACGGAAGAAATCTTTCTTACAGAATACTTGTCCGTTCTGGAACACGCACATTAAGATAAACTTAGATATATCAAAACGAACCTTCTCGTGGAATCCTTCCTCGCCGAGTTCTTTTCCACACTCTGAGCAGCAGAAACATTGCAAATGGAAGTTCTTGTTCAAAGCAGTAACACAACGCTGAATTGAAAATTAATAAAACGATTCGTATAATAATCTTACATCTTTAATAGCATTGTTACATCCTCCACAACGAGGGCTGAATCGATTGTGATAGTCTTCTTCACAGTAAGCTTTTCCATTTCTGAAAAATCTTTTTTACTGCAAAACAGAAATGATAGTGTTGACGTGGACGTTTTCACGCATATGCAAAATAACAACTTCATTTCTCGCGTGGTTTTGATGAGGAGCGGTCGCATTTCGAAAAAAAGGGGTTGTTATTTGTTAAAATTTTGAGATTTCAGACATGTTCGAGAAAAAAATAGAAAGAATGATTGAATAATAGAGGAAGAAAACAAACCGTTCAAAGAAATTACGATGTCCCAACTCAGAACCACATTCACAGCAGGTATAATGCTCGGGATGCCACATCTTGGCCAGAGCTATGACTACCTAAAAGCACGCACATCATGAAGTTCATTAACGATTAACTCACCTGGCCAACAATTGGCTTTCCACATAAAGCACAATCTCCTTTAGGAATTGTAGAAATTCCATGCTTGCTGCTGTATTCACTGTTCAGTGTTCCAATCATTGAATCAGCATGTGAAGGGTCACGAGATGGCGAACGTCCTCGCTAGAATGAAACATAAGCTTATATGAATATATTTCTGTGTTTCATCTATTCCTCAAATATTCTGTTTCTGTCACTCTGAGTTCGCAGGCTCTTTGGTAAGCATTGGACCTCTGTCAGAGAATGGCTTGTTACAAAAGCCGCATAATCTCTTGTCATGCCTGATCGGTAGTGGCATAAGCTGCGCAAATCATGCGATGTCTTCAATTTTCTTAGTATTTTCTTTTTCACTTCCTTTTCACCCCCTCATCTACACACAGCTTCTTCTTCTCGTTCAGCAAACATTCCACTACGACACTTGCAACCACGACAGAAGAGATCGAAACAGTGCTTCATAACGCCCACTCCACACACATTACCATGGGAAATAATTTTAATGAACAGCTGATTATGAAAATGCGACTTTGAGGAATGAGAATCATCAAAAAACCAATCTCGAGTCTTCAAAACCAAAAACTGTCACACCGAATATCATACACGATTTGGAACTCTATCATCACAACAAGCTAACAGTGAAGAGCTGTTCAAATTAACGAAACAAAGACTCACCACATCGTTGTAGGAATGAGCTTGACTTGGTGGACCCAAACTTCGCCGGGAGCTGTAATGATCAAACCGTTGTTGGAGTTCTCGCATCATTTTTGATCAGGATAATGAAAATTATATTAGAAGGTTGTAAGAATAAGCGGATGCCACGCGGTAGAATATGAAGAAGAGCACAAGGAGCAGGTAGCGATAGAGATCGACGGAAGAGAAATAGAGAACTTGCTGGCACGCGGAGCAAACAGGCCCTTGTTCCGCGCGAAGCACAGTAAGTGTAGAAAATTGATGGGTATAGGAAAGAAAGATGTCTCCTCCTTCAAACGATAATGAAGAAGACAGAAGAGGAACTCAAAAAGTGGGAGAAAGTGAGAAAGCAACACGATCTAATGACAACACACATGTGAGAGATTATTAAGAGAAAACGGTAAACTCAAAAGAGAACGTAACGAAGCTAGTAACAAACAAAAAACGAGGCTTACCTTGTCATCGTTTCATCTAACTCATTGAGTAATGATTGGACAGTAGGTCTAGGTGCTTGTTGCACACTATTTCGTGGACTGTGAGTTTCTGAACGTTACAGCGGTTAATCATTTTCACAGCAAACAGTAAAAAAATCCGAACAGAGGGAAACACACCATCATAGCTACGTCTTTTTTCTTTATTTCGCTCATCTGAGTAGCTGTGAACCATTCGCTCGATGTCATCGAGATCGTTAGCATAGGAGCCATTTCTAAATTTCACTTCAACTGCACAAACGATTTGTTAGAACAAAAAAAAAGAGATTTCGATTACAAACGTAAACGAACGCAATCTAGCAGCTAGATTCTAGCTTAAACAATTGAGAGATTTTCTCACCTGGACGCTCGTCTCGTTTGTTCCTGATAAATCGGCTCTAAGTCCTCTCGAGATTGAGAATAACTGTCTCCCAAATTGGCTCTGCGCAGAACTTCTGTAGTGTGTTGAAGGTCGGAAAGAAGAGCTTCTGCAAAAGGCAAACTTGAAATCTTTCGAACAGGCGCCTTGCGTAGAGTTAGATAACATACGCTCCATATGTTAGAACATTAAAATTACGACATGCTGTTCACATACACACACATACTATCGAACTTTTTTTTTACAATAAGCTTGTCCTCCGGCTATGCTGAGACATTCGGCAGAAAATATCAGCTGCTCTTGCGATTCGAAAGTTTCTCTTCTTTTCATAAGCAAACGCTGATGGCAAGCCTCACTTCATGTCAGAAGAGAGAGAGAGAGATAGGAAGAGCATGCTTTACAACAACGAAAAGAACGAAAAAAGAATCTCTGGGATTCCAAACTAAAACATGTAAAGAAAGACGGAATAAATAAAAACATTAGGAGATCGTTACGATAATTATAGTTGGATATTAAACGGTAGAGCTACAACAATGAACTCACGAAGTTATCCGGATGCGATTAGATCTCAAATTAATCAATTCAAATCCAATAAACATGGTCATGACGGTCAGAGTGTTAAAAACTTCGAAAAATAATGCTTTGTTAGTAAGAAGAAGCTTTCCAAGCAATTATTATATCGCGGAAACATCTTGAGAGATGAAAGGATTCAGTCAGAGAAAAACGAAAAGCCGCCAAAAGTTTACCTAATGCTGGCTTAACAGCATCTGCGAAACGATCGTCTGGCATAAATAATCTGCAATTTATTACATGCTCAATCCAAAAGTGAACTTCCAGTAAAACGAAATGAAAAAACCCGCGAACATCAAAACTATATTTCCAAAAAACTAACTAATTATACGAGCAAATAAGGATGTTAACGACAACCTGTTGAATAGGGAATCGAAAACGAGCTTGAAAAGACGGAGATCTTCAGTTAAATATGAAAATTGATAGGCTCAATCGATTGATCAAGCAGTGAAGGCAAGAGAAGCTGCTATATTTTCGTAGAGCTCTCAATAGCCCAGAGGCGGAGTCGTTAAGATCGAAGCACGCCCCCGCCACCTGCAGGCGTTGAAACAACATGAGAAAACAAGAGAAATAAAGGAAAGTATATTAACAAGCTTGAAACATTGTCTTTGAATTTGGACAACGTACCGGTCAATGAGTTAGCAAATAAGCGCGGAAATAACTAACCAAGGTCCTCAAGCTGGTTCATGTCTTTTAGAGATGAAGTCGGGTCCTCATTCGATCTGAAATATATTGATTAAATGGAAGAGTTGAGTCAGGAAGAATATACGTCTAAAATATTGACAGATAGGGAGTGGATGCTAACCACATACCGCATATGAACATAAACTACAAGAATGATAACGTTGAAGGCATTTGGTGTGCTCAAGAGCACAGACGCATTTTCATTTCATCATCAACAACATAAGAAATAACATACGAGATCATTGAATCCTTTTGTAAAACAAAATGTTAGTGTTCAGAACTTAAAAGCATTTAAAATATCTTGAAAAACTTATTTAAGTTAACAGCAACAAAACTTATAATTAGCATAAACTTTTGGAATCAGTGATCATGAGTCTGATTGGATTTCGACTATAATTTAATAACGTCTTTCGTAACTTCTTCTCGGTTGTCTTGATCTGTCTCTGTCTCTGTCTCTGTAGTCTCTAGGCTCACGTCTATCATAATCATAGTCAGCACGATAGTATTCTCTATCTCTTCCTCGCTCGTTACTTCTTTCATTCTTGTACGGGAACGTTGGTCGAGGTTCGCTTCTTCTGAATTATCGAATGCCAATGAGAAAATTCATTAATTTCCAACAAACCTGTTTGATCCAGATCCACCAGAATACCTGCCGTTCATATCGTTTCTGTTGGGAGGTGGAGTGTGCCAGGTATCTCGAGGATGACTGAAGACACAAATTTGATTCAGAAAAGAGAAACAGATGAAATGCTTACTCGTCTCTTCTTGACATTGGTGGAGTTCCATAAGGTGGTTGGGGAGGTGGAGGCAATCCTGAAATGGTCCACTTCAAAAGAATCTGAGAGAGAAAAACACACCAGCAAACGCTAAGGGATTGAACCTGCCCATGTCAATTTGATTTAAACTTGGAATGCTGAAAAAGAGTGTTCTAATTAGGAATAAAAACTTTTTTTTCGTACTCTGGACACGAACGTCTCTTATGTGGATCATCGCGGCTTTTATCAAGTCTTTTCTTATATAGAATCTCCTGTAGCAAAAAAAAATTCACAGCTTATGGGAAAGAGGAAATACTTGTTGACTCCCATTTCTGGGTTTCACAGTGATGGCAGCGTCAAATAATCGAACGCCGTCTAACGTTTCGATAGCGAAAGGTACAGATTCTTCATCTGTGAATACTACTAAACCATATCTGTTAGAATCGTTGTTACGTAAGATGACTTTCTCTAATGGTCCAACCTAAAAAAATAACTGAAACTTCATTGAAAACAGGAATTAACCTGTACGAACAGTTCCTCAAACAATTCCTCCGTTACATCTGGAGGTAAGTTTCCCACATAGCAAGTTCTCTCGTTCTCAGACATCTCTAAGTTAAAGCGTAGAATAAAGAAGGTAAACGGAACGAAGAGATAGTAAGAGGTTCTCTAACCAAACACATGAAGGATTAAATTTTAAAAGAAAAAAGTATTATTAACAAGATATATACACGAATCTAATCACAGCGGTTTTTCATGAGATCGTTTTTGAATACCCTATTTCTAATTCTTCTAACTCTGACATCCATACATCTTTCCATGATGATGATTGAATACGTTGAAGTTCTGAACTTTTCCTTATTTGTTTCTCTCGCAACTTAGCCATCTCGTCTCTTGAGAGCTTGTTCAGTGGTAGATCCAACAGATAGGAGAAATCGGCACTCTTTAAAGGTAGATTACGATTAATCTTCGGTTAAGACAATTCTTACTTCCATTTTCAACGAGGATATAGGATTTCTATCAAATCCGCTACTTTCTAAAGACGTTATAACTTCTTCAGTTGATCCAGATAGATCTATACTACGATTAATGAAAGACTCTATAAACCTAATCTGAAAAAAACATGATGTATCAAACGATTTAACACTGACCTAACCTGATTACAAATATATGAATTTTGAGCATTAACTAGTTTCGTTTGATGATCGAGGCGTTTTATGTACATATCTTTCCTAATATCGAAAAAAGATCGAAGAATATCCGTGGTTGTACTATATACCCGTAGAGAACCGGTGCTATCGAATAATACCTGTAAAAGCTTCATTCACAACCTATAAAGCGTTCTGACTGACCATAGAGTTGGTAGAGAGGTTCGAAACCAACTTCAGTTTCATTTTCATTTCATCTTTAGAAACAGAAGCAGCTTCTTTACTCAACTTCAGAAGAAACTTAACAGTTGCTTCTATGTGATACTCGGAGACTTCCCTTAAAAAATATTTTAATATGAGAAAAAACTGGAAGTCTAACCTTATGAATCCTTGTTTGACTAGAGGCGTTAAAACCTTTTCCTTGTATTTGTTCGTCCACATGAGAACTGGCAACTCAGTGATCAGTACCCTACAGTAGATATATCAATTTTTCTAAAACTTCCAACACTTACTGGGGACACCCATTTTTCTTAGGAAGAAACGTTAACTTTCCCTGTATACGATAACTGCTATGAGATAGCTCAGACACATCCCCTACAAAGTTATTCCAGTAAGGTTTCTGAAGGGATTCATCACAACGGATCAATATAGTGTCACATACGATGGCGAGAGGTTCATGACCTTCTATCATTAGTTTCACATTATCGATAACATCCCGAAGATTGTGATTGAGTACACGAGTAGCCCATCCGGTAGCAATTCCCTCTGCACCATTGACCAATACTAAAGGAATAATCGGGCAGTACCTGCAAACATATAAACACTATATGACACAAATACTATCTAACCAAGTGGGTTCAACTCTCAAATGCTCATCAAAGTTGTACTGCAATATAGCATCATCTTGGACTGGGAACAACAATCTCGTTAAAGGACTTCAAAGAACTATTTAAAAAATATCTTGAAATCGAAAGTAACCTCAACTTTGTATAGATATAACGTCCACTTGCGGAATCATCACCTCCTCCATGACGAGACCCAAACTGTCCTAGAATTAACTGGGTATAAGAAATAAGTCACAGAATACCGATAGCAGAAAGGAGAGGAAGATTGTTCGAACCAACAAAACTTTGAGCCATTTTAATGATCGTTTTCACCAAAGATTCCTCAAAAACGGAGTGAACACTAATAAGAAACGGCAGCTTACTTCACCATGATGGTATGATTGCTTCATAGCAACAGCACCAGCGAGTTGATTAACTTTCATTTCTTTCACATTCCCTTGTTGTAAGAGTGTGTGAAGAACTTTTCGCTGCGATGGTTTCAAGCCATCCACTAACGACGGTATCGACCTCTTAAATAAAAATAAATGAAAAAAAACCTCTTTCATTAGAGACAAAAAGGCTACCTTCAGATCCAAGCATGAAAATTGAACCAAATCATTATTTATGAAATCTGTTAGTGACATTTCCCCTCCTTGTTGCTCGCTTTGAACGGTCTTATCAGCGTCCGGCTTAAAATTAATTATGACTGAACAACAAAAAAATTGTCATACTTTCAAAGTTGAGAGAATCCAATTCTTCCTAAGAGATGAATTAGCTCGTTGGAAAGCCATGCGGAACGTTTCATCATCAGCATCCCCATCAGAGGTAAATGTCAATACATTTTCATCCAATTTACGAAAATAATCTTTGGCTTCCGAAGATGTGGAGGTTCCTATGATTTCATTCCTTAATAACATGCAATGACAATGACGTTACCTAATCCTTTATAGTATTTTATGGAGTATTCATTCGCATCAGGGTTTGAGGTTTTCCATCTCAAGTACTCGTTTATAGAGTAGAATTCATGAACTGCAGAACCTCTGCGAGCCTAAAATAAGTTTAAAATTTACGTCAGCTCATCTTACTTTGATGAGAGGTGTTTTCAAAGTGCAGACAAATCCGGCTTGAACTAACGAAGGCCAGTACGTGTTGAAGAAATTGAGTAGAAGACCTCTGATATGAGAACCATCTTCATCCTGTAAGCGAAAAAAAGTTGAATAATAAACAGAAAATCTCACTTGATCAGCTAAAATGAGACATCTCCCGTATCTCAAACTGTCTCTATTGTTTGGAGATATGTACTCAACGCCAAAGTTCAACCCTATCACTTGCATCATGTTATTAATTTCGCTATTTTTCTTCGCTTTCTGGCTAGCTATATCGGACACATTCAATAGCTTTCCTCGAATTGGGAAGACACCATAATAGTCCCGACCAGTAACCTCTAATCCAGCTACAGCTAAAGCTTTCGCGGAGTCACCTAATATTTCCTTTTTTTCAAGAACGGATATACTTAATACCTTCTGTTACAATCAAGGTGCATTTGGCAGATGAACTTGTTCCCGCATAGTTAGCATCTTCCAACTTGGGTATTATTGTGGCATTTTGAGCACTATTTTTCTTACCCTAAAAATATAATTTTTCATTAAGGTAAGAATGATGAAAAACCACTCACACTTCGTTCTCTGAGGTGTTCAAGCACATCCAGAATAAGACCAGAACTTTCAGCCCATTCGATTGCTTTACTAGGGTTCGAAACTGATATACTTCCCAGTGATTTAGTCTGTAATGAAGCGAATACTTTATATATATCAGAAAAATAACCTTATTGTTGAGGAACTCTTTAGATTGACTATCAAAAGATGGATTCCGAACAGTCGAATTTAGAAGTACAAATAATCTGTTTTTGATCTGAAAAGTGATATTCAACAAGGAAAAAAATGTTCGAACGTACAAGACTATTCCTAACAATTAGGCTTCCACCATAGCGTTGTTCAATCTCAGATTTTATTATAGGAATAATGATTTCGAGGACGCTTTCAACATGATTTCCTCCCTTGTATGTTAGGATGTTATTGACAAAACTGATTTGTTGAAAACCGCTGTCCGATAAGGAGAGTGCTACCTGAAAGACAACAACATTAACACAGTTTGAGTTCAGATGCTCTACCTGCCATCCATTTTCCAAAGTGAGAATGCAACAAGACGGATCGTACATGCGAGCATAGTCTTCAAAGGTTGAAAGCTAAATCGAAATATATCAAAGATTCGCGCAAATGAGAAACCTGAATTTTTTTATCATTGAAATAAACATCAACTCCTTGCAATGTTCCAGCAACATCAACACATCGCCGTTCTAACAACTTTACAAAGTTCTCATCGAACGATACCCCATTGAATCTCTTCATGTCCGGTACAAACGATATTTTCGTGTAATCATCTTCAAGAGAAGAACATACTTCGGGCTCATCACATTTAGCCATATTATCATACCAACGCTGCAAAACAAAAAAAAGGAGATAGAAATATAGTGAAAGACTAACCTGGCGGAACTGTAAGCCATTACTCTTCGATACTGTTTCTACCTCGAAAAATTCGGAATAGATATTACATAACTTCGCACCATAACCATTTCTGCCACCTGCAATTGATTCCATTAAACTTCCCTCAGAGATATTATGATGAACTTACCTATGTATTTGTCTTGTTCATCATTGTAATTTGACGATGTCAGAAGATTACCAAAAATCAGTGTTGGAACATACATCTTCTCAATCGGATGTTCGACAATTGGTAAACCTTTGCCATTATTCCAAACTGATATCGACTTTCTGCCACTACAAGAAAAAAAACGAAAATTGAAAGAAGCCAACCGGTCATTATCTATTTTTTAAAAAAAATGAAAAAGCGCGTACGCATTAGTAACGAGCGTACGTAGAAATTTGAATAATTTCAAACTTCACGTTTTTTACCGCTCTTTAGCTATGTGTTTAGCTATTTTTTGCTGTTTCGTATAAGGATAGTGTAGGGGGATATTATACAATTAATATGAAAAAATGAATCCTGGATGTCTTAGCGGATATCCAGGATGCGCTCTATAGTGCAGTGGTACTTGTACTAGTATTGTCAATTAGTAAAGGGTTCGATTCCTGCCGCACACATGCAGTCCATGATTTACGCATGGATGTGTATAAGACCCGGCACATAAGATAAGTCCAATTTACCAGTTCCATATCAATAGTCAGATAAGGGATTAAAAAGGAGACGTAAATTCTTTTTACCTATCGACCGAAATTTTAATTTTTGACATCGTCTGATCCCTATACTTGTTGTCAGCAGCATTTATGAGAATTTCGTCGAAAATTTTCAATAAGCCGGGCGAGAAAGAGGAATATTTCAGCTCCATTTCCTTTTTTTCTCTATTATACAACCAAATTGGCTAAATTCTAGAGATTTTATTTGGGTAATTATATTGAGACTCACATAGTTTTCGAAAACGTTGGTGGAGCCTATGTAGCTATCAGGTCTTAATAATACATGCTCTCTAGGAGTCATCCTAATATATTGTAAAGCTTCCTTTTCATCCTCTGTAAGCGTATGGTATTGAAAGATAGAGAAAAATCTACCGTACTCTGGCTGAAAGTTCGCTTACTCGAATTCGAGTATGAAAGACTTCTAAACGCTATTCCAGGTTTATAAAGTTTTAAAACTCTTCTGATCATATCTTAAACGTTACTTAGTTTGCATACTGTTTGAAAAGAAAGATACAGTACAAGAGTAGAGTACAAACCCCGCATGAGAACAGAAGACGTATATGTAGAAATCTCTTCATTAAACTTAAAATAACAACTTCCCTCCATCAGGAGACAAAAAAATTATGAATACTCGTATGAAAAAAAATTTGGCACTTCTCATTCTTCAAAATCTCAACACGCCTTTACCAGTGCATAACTCTGATCCACAGAAACAATAACTGGATTGGGAATTTGAGGGATTTATTTCATAATCATAATCCCAAGATAGCTCCTGAAGACAGTTATGAAAGCTAAATGCACGTAACATCACTTACTTCGCCTGCTTTTATTTCCCTGTTAGTAAAAAAGGATACCCAAGGTAATCGAATATCATGAGTATCAACAAAAACAAATTGAGTGAACATATTAGGCGAGCAAGAATGATTGAAGAATCTTAAACAATATCATCAGAGTCCTCACTACCTTTCTTACCTGGCAATATTTCCTTTGATTGAAGGTTCAATTGTGAATAGTTGTTCTTCTCCTTCGAAATAAGAGGACCAGTCTACTCCATTTCTCTGTGAGCCAACTTCAGAGCTGTAAAACTAGATGTTTTAAGAAAAAAATACAGAAAAAACCGATGAGATCCTCTTCGCCGTAAGAACTGATCCCGAGCGAACTCCTTCTGTCTTTCAATCTGTGAAAGTTTGAAAAGATGAGCAAAACAAAAAGCAACATACTGTGTCTATGTAATCTATATCAGCTGAATAAGTAAATTTAGGCACTGCATGCAGGGTGTCTTGCGAGTGAACCTCGCCGACAAAATTTGTAACGAACGCTCCCTTTGGAATATCAGTTAATGCTCGGATGCCCCAACCTTTCAATGCTGTCCGGAACATCTAAAATTAACATATTGATTTGGAAGTTTGGGATTGCCCACAAACCTGGAGAGGATATTTCGGGCGCAACTGTACAACCCTGTTGGGACACCGATTCTTCCAGCACTTACAGTTAGAATTACATTCATAAACACCTGTTTGCACCTTATCAGGAAGAGATCGATTAGAGTATCTGGAAGATTACGAGTTTTCATAGGCAACAAAGACTTCCCTCACCCGAACATCATGCTTAATCTGTTGTGGAACCTACTTGTTCCTTCAGCGGTCAGCATCTGACACTCACACTTAGCACTGTTCACACAATCATCTGAGTTATCAAAATAAGATAACGAATAAGAGACAGGAAAACCTTCGCAAGAACATCCGGAGCATGCGTTCTTACTTGTTTCTAATACCTTCTTGGCGTTGCCGGTGAACTCTCGATGTGTGATATACTCTATCTGAAAGATAAGAAAGAATTTAAAACAAATAATACGTTTTGTATTGCCTTTGGAATTTCTTCATAATCAATTGTGTTAACAACTTCAATGGGGTATAATTCTTGTCGTTTGGAAATGTCCGGAAGCAACACAAAGTCATCTGCGGTCTTTAAACTCACTTTAAATTCACACAAAACAAATAAAATTTCATACTTTCACCATCTTCGAGGGATCAACTCCAACATCGAAGCAGAAAAAGTCAATGGATAGAGCAGAATTAGTAGCCTGAAGACGAAGAAGCTACCATAAAGTTTGTAACAGGTTAAAATACCTTCAAAAAAGTGTGTAAAGATCTGTGATTGAAGAAACACTTTCCACATGGAGCTGTGTACACCACGAATTTCTGTACATCCGTTGTCGTATTGTTTTTCATTACAGAAATCTGAAAGAGGACTGAACGATAACAATTTCAAGATGCTCACCTCTCTTTTCCATCCGCACGTACAAGGTATATACAAAGGTGATATATCAGAGAAACTCTTATCATATGGATTCGGATTGCTTAGTAGGCAAGACGGAGAGCAGTTATGTTGTATTTTATGAATTTTATTCTGTTCGAACATCACAACTTTCCCTTTGACCATCTAAAGAACTTTGGTTCTTCTCTCTCATTCGAATCAGTTACCTCGGCTTTCTCCCGGTTTATTCTTCGCCGTATAATCCTCCTTTTACTTGATAATAACTGATTTAACATTTTTCCTTGTAACTCCTGAAGACGAACAATGAGGTTAAGAAAGTTATAAATCACAAACCCTAATTATCTCCTCCTCAGAATTTAATGTTTCGAGACTAACGAGTTTAGAGATGGTAGGTGATGGACTGAGTATCTCATCATCACTATCCAGAGTTATCAAAGGAATAGACTGAGATCCATGGTTACGGGGTGAACTATATTAGAAATTGAAACCGAAAAAATCAGAAGAGTCTTACACATTTGTTTCAGATATATTTATTTCATTTGATGAAGAGCTCGAACTTTTAACCATTATCGACTGGTTTGCGAAAGTAGCCTGTAGTTTTTTAAACAATTCTCTACTTTCATCATCGTTCAAAGTAAAAATATTTGCCATTTCTGTTTTGTAGTTCACTCGTTCAAACTACAGCATAGATGATGGCAAATCTCATTTGATGTGTGCAGTCAAACTGCACCCATGGCAGGAATAAATCATTTCAATGTATCATTTTTTCTCAAAAAATTGGTAAATAACACGTGACGTTTCCTTGCGTATTATTTTGAATATTCTACCGCACATGCAGAATATGGTGAATGCTTGAGCTGAGCCATCACCTCATTTCCATAGTACTCGAAGTTTACGGAAAGTCGTGGATAGATTTGTTGTCGAGCAAGATGTTCATTATCGATAATTGTAATTTGAACATCTGAACATGAGCTCTCGTTGGGATTGGAAATGAAGAGACGTTTCTTTATGTTTTCTGGAAGTGCATTCACATAACACCAGACAAATTCACTTCAGTAACAACGAATTGAATTCCATTTCCCCACATAGTTGGACTGTCTTTGCGGCTTGACACACATTTCATAGTCAACATGTCGTTGGCATGGGAATGATTCATGAAGATAGTACTACTGTTCACCAAAGATTGAACTGTTCTTTAGAACTATCATGAGATACTTCGTCTAGACTCTGAGAGTATGATAAACACAATCCACAACTAATTTCATTAAGAGAGTTTACAACTACTGGAGTAATACACAAGTAAACTATTACACTACGCACATTGGTTTCAAATCCCACGGTTTTTTCTTCAAAAGATGAATGTGTCCTCGATAACAAATATATAAAATAATTACAGAAAGCAGCAGGGTTTTCTATTTCTACAAGGCATTTCGATTATAAATAAGATGTAAGCGTCAGTTATTCAGAGTCTTCTTCATCAGGTTGTTGCTGGGCGTTTTGCTCTTCGCTCTCTTTCTGGGCTTTGATAAGGTCCCCTATGAACGGGAATGGATCTAGTAAATCCCATCCAACAATCTAGAAAAAAATATAGAATAGCTGTTGGAAGAAAATGAGCTTACAGCTCCATGGACGACGACGGAAGTGAAGTAAGACTTGATATCTGAAGCTCCGTGCAACTGGAAATCATTCACTCTTATCATACAATTAGTAAACTGATACATACGGTGTTCAAATCAGCCAGATCGCAGTTCTCAGTAGAGCACAACATATCAATAAGAGCTTCAAACTCGTGGAATTTCAAGCCGATAGCATCGGCAATCTCATACGTACGAAGTCTACGACGAGTCTTGGGATCTGAAGAAAACTTGAATGAAACAAAGCTTTGACTCAAAAGAAAGTGTCTCCCATTTACTTTTTAAGACCTGTATATACAAGCCTTAGTATATAGTTAATGGATAATTCATTATTCCCGAGGATCCTAGTAACAGTTCAATTATCTCAAAGGTCACTTAAACGTTTCGGGTCATGAAGGATAGAACTCTCAACACGTGTTCATAGCGCACACTCTTTCCATCACACCAAGAGCGCTACACTTACCGTGGCAAATAACAACCAAGAGTTTGGCGACACGGTCGTAGTCGGAATCAAATGGGGCAGTAAAATCATTTCCATTAATACAGAGGGTAACTGTCCTATCACCATAAGCCAAAACGGTATTTATGACCTCCTGAAACGATATATTGAATACAACAAGTATTTTGATTGTTAACAGACTTCACTCTTCACTTGTACGCATCCGTCATTTTCTTGAAAATCGCGATAATCTCTGTCTTTGTCTGACAGGGCATTTTGCATAGCTTTCATACGTTCCTTATGAAGACGCTCCTAAATCCATAAATACTTTTCTTCTTCCGTTTTCAAAAAAGCTTCAACCATTTTTTGCATACGTGACAAGTCCTTAGCAACTTCATAGAACAAGCTTCTGTAAAAAGAGGAAGTTAGAAACCAATATATATCTTATAGAAGGACTTACGCTTTCAGATTAATGACATTCGTTTCGAGTATGCTCATTTCGAAGGGACTGTAGGTACGAAGTTCGGCTTTCCAACTTCGTTCCATTTTCCAAGCGAACAATGAATGAGCAAAAGCTATAAAAAGATTTTGCGATTAAGAGCAGACAAGGTGGTCGACCATGAATAGGATATTGAGGCAGATTGAATAGTAAACAAAGATTTAATAGAATATTAGAAATAAAAGATAACATTTGCAATCAGAGGCTATAGAGATAGATGGCTACAAAAGACAAGCAAATCATTTGACTAGCCTTTGCATCGGGATTTAAAGAAGTTAATGAAATTCCTGACAATTCCATAGAATTGTATTATGCAGGAAATCAAAAAATTCTATTCAGGTTGAAAACGATGATGTGTATCAACTGCCACCGGAATGAGAGGATATGACAGCCATATTTGGATGAAAAGAGAAATCTGAAGTTTCTAGAATGAGACGGTAGCCAAGAGAGACAACATATAGAGTTTGCGATTTGAGACTTCAGTAGGGCTTCTTCAAAAGAAGTTCTGTGTAGATTAATATATTAGTTTGTGCTTCGAAAACATAGTTCCATAGTTGGTAAGAGTGATTGAAATGAGAAATATTGGGGGAGGGTAGAATTAAATAAAGTCACCAGCAAAGTAGGAACTCTTAGACCAGACTGAATTCTGAGATAATTCTAAAGGGGCGGTACCATAGTCATAGAAGAGAGAGTGTAGATGATGAGAAATGTTCTCCTTATTAGTAAGCAGTGAGTTATACCCATGGCATTTATAAAACATTACTAACAATTATGGTAAGGTTGAGAGAGCAAAATGAGAAGGAGAGGGAGATACAGAGCAGGCTGAAAGTCGAAGAGCGGAGAGGATAACCAACCACCCCAGACTGAAATGTTTATTAAGAATAACCAAAATGGGGCGGTCCTAAATGGCTCAATTCTACCAACGTAGCTGGAGCTCTCTGACCAAGTAACCAATCATCATGCGCGAAAGCATCAAAATGAAAAATTAACTTAGTTAGTTCACTCATTTGCATTATTGGAAATTTCCATGTTAATTGAGGCAGTACGATCTTAGAATGAAATGAAAAGCCACCATGTGTATGGAAATGAATTTGTTGGATCTGAAAAGCTAACTAGCCATATGAGTAATGATGCTTCATCTTTTGTCTATGATGCATTGAACTTGCAAGAAGCTCACATGGAAACACAAACGAACAGATTGTTTAGCGTAATTCGATAATATGTTTTCAATTATAGGTTTCTAATATGATTGCTGCGAACTTTTCTCATGATTATAATCAAATTTGAGATTTGTCAAGCGTGTGAACAGCAGACAACGAAAGTTTGAGACCAATGTCAATTTCAATTTAAAAAAAAAGTGGAAAATTTAATGAACAAGCAAATCTGAATGAACGTCAAGGAAACAAAGGAAATCAAATCGTTCCTATAAATAATAATACTTATCGTCATTTGTCCTGTCCGATATGGGCATACAGTAGGTCGACCAAAAAAGCGGAAATGACAAGTTGAAAGAGTAGAGAGCTTTGTCAGATTGAAATCAATACACGTATTTGATTAAAATAGAAACTTTGAATACAAAAAAATATATGTGACAATGACAGCTGCATATGAAGAATACCTATTGAAACTTGCAACTGAATGACCAGCCATGGTTACAGTACGACAATCCATTCAAAGAAAAATGGTTGAGTACGGAAAGTGACAGTCAAGACGATGCCAATGTGTGTGTGTGTGTGTGTGGGTGAAAGAGAAGAAGAAGAAGAAGAAGAAAAGAGAATGAAACCAAAAAAAAAAAACAAAACCGAACAAAGCGATAAATACAACCGATCACAGTGCGTGCGGCTTCCGAAATGAGCTGCCGATACAGAAGTCAGACGATCTCGTTTACTTGCATTGCGCATTCAAAAGGTCGTATGGTCATGTTTATAAACTATAAAATAGTTTCCATCAAATCAATATCTCTAGAATAAAGAATTTTCCTTTTTTTTGTTGTTTTTTTTTTATGTTTGTGTGAAAAGAAAAAAAATTAAAAAAGGAAATCAATGAATTTTCAGACAAATAAAGAAAGCATGGGAAAGGATAGAGATGCGATTGAATGGAACTTTTTTTTTGTTTTACACCCCAATCGCTTTTTGCTTTTCGCACTCCCACTCTTCCACTTCTTTACTCTCTTCTACTTCCAAAAGCTTTTTTTATTTTCCACCTGTGTATGTATATAATGTGTGAATGAATATATATATGTTTTATGGAAAAATGTTTGTGAAAGTAATCAGATGACATTTATAATATTTTGTTCATTTGAGAATATGGTAGAACTAAGCGTCATCGAAGAGCTGTGATCTGCGTCTCTATAGTTTCATAGATGGCGGGCTTGTGTATGTGTATTGGTAGTAGTAGTAGTCGTTGTCGTATTAGCACTCTCTGTGTTCATGTCGCTTCACCATTTTTCAATTTCTCTAACCTCAAACGTTGAATATCCTTTGTAATTTGCCCTTCGTATAACATGCCTCATTTTGGCAATGAAATATGGAATTAAGAGGCATACTGACTGATATTAAAAGATACAAAATGTATTTTATATGAACTTTAAAAGCTTTGATGTGGTAGGGTAGTATGTAATACACACACACACACATAGACCATATACACGAAATGGCCAATTCATTCAAAGCTCTTTTCGGCCTTTTTTTTTCGGTCACAAATGAGTATATGTATGTAGTGAATGAGCATGTGCGTGTATGTCTGTGTATGGATGCATTTCGTTCAGGGGCAACGTTGTCGTTGTCGTCTTCTTCTCTTTTTTCTCCTCCTGAAGAGAGGGAGAGGAGTCAAAAAAAAGGCTTCTTAGAATGAGCTTCCTAAAAGGCCATATGTGAATGAGATGAAAGCTTTTGAATGGAGAAAAAAGAAGAAAAAATAAATAAAACATTTATAGATATGTTTCGTATGAATAATTATAATAATATTTTATAAAATCTATATACAAAGGACCCTATTGAATAATAATAATTATTATGGGGACCATCTATTGCACACCAATCCCCGGACAATGCGGAGATGCTTGTCTTGACAACAGATCAGACGATTAAGGACAATGAACTACAGCTCAGCTTATCCATAGCCTTAGTGTCTGTTCAGTGTCTATGTGTGTGTGTATGTAAGTGAGTCGGCTTTGCATACATGGGGGCATGACAAGACATCAAGAAGTATACGATTGGAATAAGGAAATATACTGTAGAAACAAGGAAAAAGGAGAAGCTTGAATAATAATATTGACTAATTAGTTACATGATGAATAAACGGAACTGAAAGTCGAGTAGCTTTGTACGGGATGATATTTAAGAATAAGAAAGAGAGAGAGAGAGAATGTATGAAAGATAGAGAGAGAGATAATACAAGTAATCAAACATTAAATTACAAATAATTCTTTTTCTCAAGGAGAAGAAGAAAAATAACCGTTGAGATGGGAGGAAATTGCATAAATTACATAAACGATCACAAGCCTTTTGAGAGTCATTGATGTGAAGAGGGCAAAAGAGCTCATGAAATATTAAAGAAAAAAACCTTTTTTTTAGCAAATTCATAAAGTCATTCGACTACGAGAGAATGGAGGGCTTGGAGGGATAGTTAAGAGAGAGAGAGAGAGGGGGAAGGAGGAGAAGAAGGATTACAATCGTTTTTCATAAAAGTCGGAAAGCATATTGTATTACGAATCCAATTATTTTGAGAAATATATAAACTTTTTTGGATATGAAAATGGTGATGAGGTTAGTTTGATGAGCTCACATAAAAGCTCAAATGGATGCTTCAAAATGAAAGAATGAAAGAGATAGGGGGGAAAGAGTATGTTGAGCGAAATATTGGAAGGTAAAGAAAGTAACAGGAATGAAGCTGCTCACTACACTTAGGGTAGTGACATCAGCAGCAGGGCAGGGAGATAGGGGGATCACAAACAGAAGACGACTTAAAGATGAAGCATGATACGTATGTATATCAAGAAGCAGAAACAAAATGAGATAATGCGAAGGAGTGATAGGTATTGATGATATCCATTAATTGATGATGTATACTAATCAAATTATCCTTTTGTAGAGCTACAATCTTCAATCAACTGATTCATCGGATAATCGTCGATTGTATTAACTGATTCAAAAATAATACGACTGCTTGTTGATTTCCTGTTTTATCAGATTGCACAAAGCGTAAAGCTTGCTCCTACAACATGATGAATATCATTATAAGCTTACTATGAAGCTTATATCTAACCTGGCAGTCTAATAGTTTTCTTTGAATATTTTCCGTGTGATCGCGCAGATTGCGCGTCTCATTTTCCAATACTCGGATTGCTGTCTCAGCTGCAGCTGTCTGCGTTTGTGCTCGAACGGTCTCTCCCTACAAAGGTTGTTATGAGATTACCGACCTCATCAATAGATATACCTGCAGCGTATTAGCTCGACTTTCTAAGTACCGACACTTATTATCTGCCATTGTAAGCTTAGTTTTATACAAAGCACATTCATAGCATGCTGGTCGGTTTTGACCATCTGGCGATATGGACGAATTAGTTTCTGATGGAGAAACGTGGGAAGGTGAACTGACGGTGACAAACGCTCGGGAATCAACATTCTGAAAATACGATAATATCTTTGACTAATCTGGCATATCCGCTTACTAAATGATGGAAAGCACTAGGCGAAGTACGAGATTTCTTAAAGTGATTGACAGGTGAGGGTAATGAGCCTGTATGAGAAGGAGATGATCCAACGGTACTCGAGGTACAAGCATTTTCACAGGGGCTATCCGTTCGCTTTGTTCCTTCAGATTTTGGATCTTCCGAGTCACTTATGGATATGTTCAGCTGAAAACCATATGTAAAGCTTCCAAAGCGAAGATGATTTTGAAACCTTTTCATCGTCATCATCAGGCTTGGGACTATCAATGTCTTTCTCTACGTTTATCACCATATCTTCATCCGCATCATTTGTGTGGCTCAAATCGAGAGGACGGGTAGCTTAAAGAACAACATAGAAAATTGGTCGATAAAGCCAGGAATAGCTTACTTGGAATAGGCTTCGGAAGTTGGTTAAGCCACGAGAAAGTATTGTTGAAAGCATGTTGATTCATTAGCTGATTGATCATGATTCGTTCACGTAATCTTCCGAGTTCATCTCCTCCAGATGTTAAAGTTGGTTGGGGAGCTACAGCTGAGAAGAACGGTAAGGCAGATGTAGGTGTAGGGGCTGACAGAGCTAAAACATGAAAACGTATGTAATCCATTAGCTGATGCTATCTCATACCTTGGCCATTGATTGTACTAACGACATGACCCGTTTGGGAATTATTATTATTATTATTAATATTATTATTATTATTATTAAGATTATTATTAATTGTATTGTTATTATTATTAATCTGAAGTAGGGGGGCAAAGGAAGTTGTCTCAATGGCCAGTCCATCAGTTGTCATTCCTTTCCCAATAACGGGAACTGACACTGACTTTCCTTCTTCACGCGCCTGAAAAATTTATAAATTTCATTTTTTTGCTCCTTTTCACACGTTCTCCATTCTTTCTTTCTCCTTTTTTTAATCTTTTCCATTCTCTTCGTTCTCATACCCTTCACTACTTTTTCTGCTCAGTTTTTGTGACGTCACTGCTATCGTCAGACATCAGTAAAGCCAAATCCGACATCGATTGTCTTTCTCATGCCATTGGATTGCATCTACAGGGGTTTCCAGATGAATTTTAATCAAAACTTCATAAAAGCTTCATTCAGAACTTTTGATTCATTGAAATATGTACAAATGAGTTGCAGTCAAAGTTCATTTGAAACCTTCGCTGCATTTCAAACAAGCAGAGCTTTTAGTCAGATTTCAGCTTCATCTCTATACCTCCAGATCTATCTCACTCTTTCGCTCATTTGAATAGCTTTGCAAACCTATCGTTTATAATTCTTTATCCATATTTCATGGAATTAAATATAAATTTCTATTTATATGGCTTATGCTAATCTCTCATTTATCCTTGTTGGCGAATAATTTGAGAAAAAGCTCAAACTGATTGTTCATTATGAATTTAAAGCGTAAGATTGGATAACTGAAAGCTTATAGCTCTAATCGCGTGAACAATTATGTGATGTCATATGATTGTAAGCGGAGCTTCATCTATCCTATTTTGTTTTCCTTTCTTGGTCAGTACTTACAAAATGCTTTTTCCGTTTAATCAGATAGAGGAGGGGGTTGGAAAAAAAAAGGAAAAGCTTGTAAGAGTTGAAAAGGAAGGAATTGAGGGGGGGAAGAGTATGCTTATAACGCTTTTTTCTCCAAATTCTCCTTCATTCAATTAATGATGTGTAAGCTTTGAAAATGAACTAAGGATATGGTAACTAACTACACACAAATTCAATTCATTTCATTTCCTCTTCTCTTTTCCCTCTCGTTCCCCTATTGCATCATAACACGCAATTTAAAAATAATTTTAAATTAATACCTGAATATGCATATGTAAGCTGGTCTTATCTGGAAATGCCCAATTGCAACATCTGCACATGAACATTCGAGAGATTTGATGTTGTTTATACATGTGAGCGCGTAAAGTCTCATTACCTGAAGGAGAAGCATATAGATAGATCTTATTGAATTATATAATCCATAGATGAATAACATTTGATTTTTGATCATTTACCATGTCTCTAATTTAAAATTACTTTTTAAAAGCAGCCGTTGAACTTAATTATTATCTTAAGAACAATTAACTATGAATTTCCAATTGAGATGACTGAGAGAGAGGTTCAGAGAGAGAGAGAGAAGGGCAGTTTGCCAAGAAACATTTCTACTTCAGCATGGCAGCAGTTCACTCCCTCTCAGAGACTCAGAGAGAGAAAGAGAGAAGGGCAGTTTGCCAAGAAACATTTCTACTTCAGCATGGCGGCATTTCACTCCCTCTCTCTTTTTGTTAATTTGAGCTTATATCGGCATGCGAGAGAGAGAGAGAAGGAGCTTTGTTTTGAAGGGTAAAAGAGGGTTAAGGTTGGTGGTGGTGGTGTTAATGTTCGATTTTCAGTCGAATACCAAAAAAAGTTTTTTTGTTTCCTTCATTTTGGAACAAAAAAAAAAGCTTCTCAATCATGATTTTCCAGAGATATTTTATGTAGTTTTCGCATGAAATCGAAAACTTATCAAAAAATTTCATGCTTGACATAACCCAGAATAAGACGAACTGAAGGGTGAAAACTGAACAAAAAAAAAGAGGAAACAGTACATATAAGGAAACGGATCGAAAGTGAAACTATTGGCCTAGTAGATATCATTCTGAATGCAAGCGTCGAGGGGGGGGGAGGGGGAGAAAAAAACCAAATCTTTTCATTTATTTATAATATATATTTGAAAACTAAAATGACCATTTGGATTCTGGCGATGTGACATTCTGACCTACGAGAACGTTGATGCGCGGCAGAAAAAGGGAAACATCTAATGGAGAAAAGACTATCTGATGATTGGAGTGTCAAAGATATAAAGTCTAACGTATAAATTGTATAAAATTAAGATTATAATCATCTGATTCAGTTCAGAATGTTTCTTTACGGGTATTCAGGTAAATCTATGCGTTCACGTCACCCTCCACCCTTCCTCTTTCTCTTCTAACTGAAAGACAAATGAAAGGAAGAGTAGAATTGGAAGAACTAGAGAGAGAGAATTAAAAGAAAAAGCACAACCATTCCATACGTCTTGAAACAAAGAAACTAAATCACGGAACAAAGCATTTTACGTAATACGTGTATTACGTGAAAGCTCACGTGAAAATCATAGAAATATGTAATTTCATGTATAAAGAAGGAAAAGGTAACAAGGTAGGAATGGTTACAGACGTTCGAAATTGTCCAAATGGTTGGAATGGAACAGATTTTACATAAATTGAAAAGAAGAATTCGCTTTCGATGACATCTTATCAGATAAAATAAGAAAAGAAACAAAAAAAATGACAAAAGAGGACAATCGGTCAGGTTTGATGATCCCTTCCATATCATCAGTCTACAAGAGCAATGAATGAAATAATCAAAGAATGATGCCTTTTTAGAAAATTTTTCTTTTTTTTTTTTTTTTCAAAAACTTTTGGCAAAAAAAAAAAAAGAAATTCCCAATCTGTTTTTTTTTGTATCCATGTATGGTATGTGTGTGTATGTGTTGTATATGTGTGTGTATGTGTATGTATGTGTGTATGTGGAAGAATGAAACAATATGCGTGTAAGTGGGTCGTCGCTGTTGTTTCAAATGAAACAAAAAATGGAGAAAGAATGTTTCAAACTTTTGTGTTTTTTTCTTCTTTTTGATTTTCAAATGCAATTCTTCGAAAATGGCTAAATGGTATATGAAGAGAGAGAAGGAGAAGAGAGAGAGAGAGAGAGCGGCAAGAGTTATCATGATACTCATATGAGTAAGAGGCATGAAGACGTACTAGATGTTTGAGGTAGAATTGAAGTAGAAGTTAGAAAAGAGCATACCGTCAAATGGTGCTGGGACTAATAGTCCACTTGATGATGACGATGTCATTTGATGATCCAATAGAGAATTACTAGACGATGTTGATGAGACGTTAGCAGATGTTTTGGCATCTTCAGCTTTCAACTTTCGTTTACGATTACCGGCAAATCCAGCTGACTCATATGCCGTCAGATATTCCGATTTTCGTTGTAAAATTCGGCAAACATTGCTCTTTGCAATTTTGTATCGCTCAGCGATGGCGGCTTGACTCAATCCAGCATTATCTTCGGCCAGTCGAATGAGCTGGACTTTCTCTTCTAATGTTAACTCCTTGTACGGTTTCTTCTTACGTGGCTCAGAGCTTGGAGCAGATGAGTTAGTTGAATGAGTGAGCTTTGATTCATTAGTGATATCAAGGCTTGTTATGGAAGTTGTAGTTGAAGAGGAGATCGGTGAGTCAGAGGAAATAGACGACGAGGATCCGGGAATATCAGATTCATCAAACTTGAAAGCATCAGAATTACTGTGTGGTTTTTCATAGGTGCTTTCTTCAATCATTATACATGAATAAATGTGATTATAAGATTACAGACTAACTATATGTAGATAGATAGAAATATATTATAGGTTAGAGATCAGTTCTCAATAGTAGAAGTAAGAGTGAAGACAGACACTACGGATAACGGTGAAAGCAGCTGGTCGAAATGGAAATGGATGGAAGAAGGTCGTTGTCGTTGTAGTTCCTAGTCGAAGGATTTCTGATGTCTCCGTAGCAGTTTCTATCTCTATCGTTCAGATGGATTGATGAGTTGACGAAAAGTCGAGAAAGGTTGGAGATCCACACAAAATATTCGAATCAACGCTCGAACGAAATGAAGAAATACACGTGTGTAGACGACGAAACGAAAGAAAGGCGGTCGAAAAAGCCCTGTCGTCTTTCTCTCAGCGTTATGGTACTGGCGGTAAGAGATGCGAACCACTGTTAATGAGCTGATGCTTCTGGGGCGGAGATGAATCCAAAAATCCGACCACAGGTTACGTCAAAAAGATGTACACAGCCTGACTGGCTGAGCGGTGGTGAAAGCGTAAAACAGTTCAGTTCACAGGTCGTGAAAAAGTCACGGAAACCGAAAAGGATAAACGGTCAGGCTTTGCTTGATCGGCGATGAAAGCTTTCACGAGGTAATCAGCGAATAATGTTATGAATAGATATCAGCTGATTATATCACGTGTTGACAATATGCTAATAAGCACAGAAGGGAAGCCGGGGGGCTTCTGATGATGAAAGATGACAATAAAAACTAGAAGAGGACCTGATGAGATGGTCGGTTGACGCTTGCAAAATCGGATGAATGAAAAACGATTTAAGATGACCTGAGGTTTATCGGTGACGATTTTTGATAAACGGGAAAAATAGAAAGTTTAAAAACTTTTTTATGCGTCAGAAGCTGTAGTGAATAAAATTGAATTATATGATATAGTTAGTTAGAATATCATCTAGAAGTTATTATTAAACCTCTGACACACGGAAGTGAGGGCAAGCGTCGTTGACGAAAAGAACAGAAAAGGCCCCGATAGACGTAGTCGAAAACGACTGGGGCGTTTTCCGGACTGTAGAAATATGAGAAATAGAGAGAAAAATGAGATGTAACTAGACAGTCGAGGGTGAGCTTGCATCAGGCGCTCCTCCCCTCCGATCACCTCGCCGCAGGGAAAGTTTGAACTTGTAGAAGCGAGAATGCACAAACTTCATTAAAAACCAGCGAGACGCAGAGCATCATTATTTCCAACCGCTTTCTGCGTGCGCAAACATCAAAATGGTACATGACTACTGTTCATATTTCACGTGAACAAGCTTCTATCACGTGCATAACGTGTATACAAGATTCGATAGAGATATGAGTCTCAAATTATAATCTTAATGTGTCAGCATCAGCAATCGTAAGGCGCGAAAAGTTACAAAACGAACTTTACGGTTGGACAAACGATAGGTATCGGCGAGAACGGAAGGACAATTCACTAACAAATAAAAGAAAATTAGCCATGAATAGTAGAGCGATAAACTATAAAAGTCTCAAAAAGACAATTCGTTCAATGAAACTCTTCGGGTACACAGTAACCTAAGATGTCCAATCAGCTTTTTCTCTTCTAAAGCACATTTCATTAGGAGCTTTCGTTTCGTTCGTTCGTGTTCCTACTTTTCCACCCGTAAACTCTGTTCATGTGTTTACACATTATTCTCTACAAAATCAGTGTTTTTTCGTGATGCCCTCAGGCAATAACATAATAATGACCATACAATAGCTACAATTTGACCATGAGACTCAAGTCGTCAGACCAAAAACGGTGGTGCCTGGTCCGATATGTTTGCCTATCTATCAGTCGCTTTGAATCTTCCCTTTTTTGTCCTCTCCATTTAATACTTTATTTCTTTACTTCTCGAATATCTCTCAATCGTTTTTGAACAAATTTTTGAACTGTCTCCCAGTAGTAGGAAGAAAGTAAAGAGAGAGAGAGTGAGAGAGTATGTGTGTTGAAGATAGATGAAATGAAATAGAGAGAGAGAGAGGTGGAAGAGAAGAAGGTTGAATAAAGAGAGAACGAGAAGTCCGGGCTTTGTACTATTTGCAATACATAATTTCCACGCATTTCCGTCCCGAATGACCGGACGACGAGATGTCGTAGAGCCGATAGTTGTGTAAACAAAAATATGAAAAATAGGAAAGTCATCCGCATCATTCATATCATATTGTAATCAAAAACTAATCTGTCAGCATCTGTGAGTTTGCAACGAGTAACAGAGAGCTGAGAAGATGAAAAAATGTTTGAAATGCAACAGCTCAGCTCGAAAGATTCGCAAAATGACCTCGTGAGAATTCTGACAAACAAACCATCCGAGTGGTCAGTCTCGTTAAGTACGAGGAAAAACAGTATGCAATGAAACCACTATGTTTCATCTTCTCTTTTAAGGAACAAAGACAGTAAAGCATCACAAAATGAACTTTCTTCACATCAACATCATCATCTTCATCTCCATTTTCATTAGCATTTTGGTTTTGATCTGAATATGCATATGCAAATGATTGTTGTTAGTCAAGTCCTATATGATCATATATGGTCACTCAAAAATGACTGACCACCACAAACAACAGTAAACCTGTCAAACCTGCTTTAATAATCTTTTATCAGGTAAAATGCTCATAAAAGCTTCATCCTCTTAATATGGTATTCATATCTAGATGGATCATAACAGGTCACTCATCAGACTTTGATAATCTGACTAGTTTTTTAAACTTCTAACAGGTCTAATTTCATGACAAATCTCATACGTGAGGGTGAGAGAGACAAAGAGAGGCCAAAGATAAGTAAAAGAGAAATAACAAGAGAAACGAGAAAAGAAGGTTCAGAGACGAGATCCGATTCCATCTGGTTACTATTATCCCTTTCCTTTCTTATTGTCTTCATTTTTGTTATTTCTTCTTTTCACCTCACATTTAAACATGCAAAAACACCAGTCATGAGATAAAGAAAGATTTAGAACGTTTTAAAAATGGACAATTTCAAAGAGGTGAAACAGCATCCGAAGCCTCCAAAACCGTTCAAAATGCATTTGCCCTCAATTCCGCTAGGTGAGCTGGCCGGTCCTCATATGTGTCAATCGGCTTTTGCCTAGAGATCAACTATGTGCAGGAGAAAATAGAAAACGCAGGTTATTCCATTTTTATTATATTTTTTTTTCCCACACAAAAAAAATATTCAAAAAAAGTTCCGAGGTAGGAGGTGGGGGTTGAATGAGGGAGGAAGCTATGTAAAGCTGATCGACGTCGTCAACGACGACACCTTTGTTGGTTTTCATAACCAACAAAAAAAAAGTTTTGAAAGATTGTTTTCAAATGTTGTATTTACAGCTTTTTCTGGTTATTCAGCTGCAAGCGTGAACTCATCACTGGTCATCATTGCATGTGACGTCAGAAGATAAAAATCAAACATAACTGAATATGAATATGATCAAACACGAAGATGAAAAGCTAATACAATCTCTTTTTTGTCAAAAAAAAGAGATAAAGCTGAGGTCGAATGGAATAGCCAAAGTAAACATGATGTTGATACATAGTGTGTGGCCGCAGGTCAAAACTGTGAAGCTGATTCGTTGCAACCAAATACGGAAAAGGGAGTATGAAGATGGGGGAACTCCATTCTCACATGTAAACCAGCTTATCCTTCAGTACAATCTCAAACCCATGAACTCTATGTGTGTATGTGTAAAACTGAAAACGTTCTGAATGCACCTAATGATATCGTTTGCAAAAATGAGCTGTGATGTGTGAAATGATTTTCCTTTACAATAAGTAGATAAGGGTAGAGAGAGGGGGGGAGATGGAACGGTTGCGTTATTCATATGAATATCTTGAAACGATCCCTGACCTATTGTATGTTGTTATTGGAAGACAATTACATCACCATTTCTGAAGATATTAGTTGGATGGCTAACGGCGATGATGGAAAATGCAAAGCAACAACAGGCCATTTACGGGAAAGCGAAAATGGCCTGGATACAATACGCAACAATCGCTTTCTCTCATTTGAACCATCGTTAGGTCAATCAAATGTATTTCAAGATTTCTGTTTTCTTTTATGCTTTTTCATAATGAAAAAGAGAAAAATTAGCCTATTTACACATATCGGGAAGATAGGATAGATGGAGTTGAGAGAGAAATGAAACTCGTGAATCAGTCAAGCTTCAACAACTTGGGATTATGGAGATGAAATTGAAAAATCCAAAAACATTGTCTCTCTTGACCCTATTGGATGGTCAAAAAGCCATACTGACTTCACTACCTCGTTTGATCTACCATCTTCTTCATTCCCACCTCACTGCATCTTCATCTCTTCTCCCTCACTAACCTCCATAAATGTTTATTCCTTTCTTAATTATTACGTCATATGTTGTAAATTGAAAGTTTCAACATATTGATTGAATAAGAAAGATATAAACTTCGTTTATATAGAAGATAAGCGGCTTTTTATCAGAGAGATATGTCCTGAATGCTTATATTAGGTCATTTCCTTAATTTCTATAATAATAAAAATATATTTGACAGATCTTGTACAATCCTGATCAATACTTCATCTTCTTTCGATGTCGTTGGCCATTTCCTTTTTTGGGATAAGAATCGGATGCTGCTGACCAGAATCATCTCTCTAAGCTATTCAACTCAATTAATCTTTTCAAAGTTTGCAGGATTCAGGAAAAAAATATATAAAATGAAAAAGAAGTTCAATCTATGATGAAGTGAAAGTGCGAAAACGCTTTTGAACATCATTTTTCTGGATTTCGGAGTCATACGTCGCCCGGTACGGCCAAGCCTTTCCATTTCCCTCAGGCTGTTCGGCAACAATTGAGTGAAAGTGAGAGGAAAAGTTGGTTTTTCCTTTTCTGGTTGGTCAGCCTCTTGATGAAGGTGACGACACGAATAGCGCATGTTAGGTCAGTCGAGTCTATGTCCTTTCAAAAACTAAATTCTGAATAGAACAAGTCGATGAATGAAGTGAAAGCA